CGCCCTCCTGAGGAATTGGCGATCGACTTCATGACAGATGCGCGGGATTGCCGTAGCCTCTACCTCCAATAGGAACTCTCCTGCCGCCAATGGAATTTCATAAACGGCAGTGTCTAACATCTGTGAGGTTCCTCCCACCCCTGACACTTTAACTGTACGTCCGCAGAGGCGTTTCAACCTCATACTCTCTGCCACCCACTGCAACACCAGACTCTGGTTCGCTCCGCTGTCCACTAATATGCACATCGACTGTCCCGCAACAGCGTGTTTAATTACTGGCAGGGTGGCGTCTCTTTGGAGACTCACCAACACCAGTGAGTTCCCCCCAGCTACGCAAGGCGGTAAGGAGTCCCCTGACTCCCTGTTTTCGAGCCTCTCCGCCGCCTTCGCAGAGGGCTCGACCGACGTGGCCTCGCTAATTGCTAGCGTGGCCTCGAAAAAACCGACGGCTACTCCCGCCGGAGGGGCAGAGCGAGGTGTGGTGCTTATCTCCACACTTCCTACACGGCTCCGCGTGGCATTGACTGGCGAAGTGGTTGGGGCTTAGACAGTTCCAGCACAACCTTCCACTACGAGCTGCCGCCCTCTTCTGCGACAATTCGAGCCAACATTCCAACGCTCGGTGGTCACCCCCGTCAAAGGGGCACCGAAAAGCGTTCTGCTCTTGCCCGCCATTCCTTTTCACGCCATTTCCCATCTCTCTATTTCCCCTCCCGTGCGTCGTTTTTCCTTCGAGCCCACGCCAGTTCGATGACCGCGTCATCTGGTACGGTCGATGCTCCGCAGCCAGGGCGGTGTGGATCCGCGCGTCCTCCGGTTCCCACGTGTACTCCCGCGGGAACTCCCCTTTCTGTGACGATCTCTGCCGGTCTAGGTGCCTTCGGTACAGAAGCACCTCTGTACGAAGGGTTTGCTGGAGCTCTTCTATCATGGTCCAGATATCGAAAGACACATGGTACCGCGCCATCTGTCTATCAATCTTTTCCTGTACGCTCTCTGGGAACTTCTCCAGCAATCGGCTTGCCATCATCGGCGCTCTGCCCAGATTGAACCGGGCGAGGCGACGAATTACGCCTTCGCAACGATCCAATAAGTCTTGCATCTCCAATGGGTTCGCGTTTCGCGGCAATCGGAGACACTCAAACTCATGGATCCACTCTTGCTCTCGTTCCTGATCCACCTGATACCGTCTTTTCAGTAACCTCCATGCTTCCTCATAAGATGAAGCGGTACGCGGGAGCCCCTCTATCACTCTCGCCGCGCGTCCTTTGAGCTTGCTCAACAGCAAAATCAGTTTGGTTGAGGTGTCCAGCTCCTCGTTGTTGCCCACCGCAAACATAAAGATCTCGTAGAAGGTATCAAAGTCTCCCCGCTCACCGTCGAAACTGGGGATCTCAATAGTGGGCAAACGAAACGTGGCCACGCCGCGCGTTCCTCGGTCTCTTGCCGGAGAGGTAGCCGATCCGCTCCCGAAGGGCGATCGCTCCACCGGCGATGCCGTCTCTATCTCCTCTTCGAGTCCTCTGAGAGCTGGTCTCGCCTCCCGCCTCTCGACCTCCTCCGCGGCAGCCCCCTGCCGCGGGAGGCCGACATCAACAGCGTGACCGGCGTCCAGGCAAGAGCCGTAACGTCCCTCGCTGTTCTCGAGGATCTCATCCTCTCCTCGTCCGAGCTCAGTGCTCTTAAACTCTGGAGCAATCCGCTGCTCGAGCTCCGCCTCGACTTGGCTCGCCACTTGATCAACCAAGTCATGGACCGCAAGCTCCTCTTCCTTAACCTCGTTCTCTTCAACTTTAGGCTCCTCAGGGAACGCTTCCCATAGCTTTGCCATGTACTCCTCAAATTCATTCACCTCGCGAATGGTAGCGAGCAGAACGCACATGTAATCCCGCGTTCTCTTATGCTCTTCCATCGCCCTTTGAGCCGCGCTCAAAGCACTCTCAGACACCTTGAGGGCGCTTAGCTTACGCAAGCACTCCGTCTCCAAGGCGCCTACTCCCTCAAGACCCTGGAGCGCTTTCAGGAGCGCCGTCCATATCGGCCTTGCGGCCAACAGCTCCTCCATCGAGGGCTCAGTTCTCTCCAGTCCCCTTAAATATGCCGCCGCAGCCGCTCCATGTTTGGTGGCGGCGGCCACGCGGCGTGTCACTTGTGTCTTATAGACCGTGACGATAGCAGTTGTTCGGTTACTCATAACGATGTTCTGCAAAACATCTCTTTAAATCCCGTCTTCCATTTACGACGACAAATTTCTCGAGACACAACAGAATACCTCTGGAGGTACAACAATCCAGATTATGATACAAGAAAGTAAAAGTGAGGAAATCAATTTTAACGACTGCCGGCCCGGTGTCGACCGTGGTCTGCCTCTCTGGTTGAGCCCGCGTGCTCACTACAGACGCCCACTCCGACGATGTCCCGCGTGACATCGTGTTGCCTTCCTGCGGCCCCAATCGTGGTTGATCAGGCCACTCTGATAACCGCGTCACCTCCGCCACGATATCGGAAGTGTGAGTGGGCGCGGACAGCTGCCCATATCCTCTTTCGTCGTGGCGAGTGCATGCGCGACCGCACCCTCGTGTGTGATCTCCCGCCCACGACCTTTCAGTGTGCCCGTGTGCATCACTGAGTTTCCAACTTGTACCTCCACCTTATCGGCACTCTACTGCCAGTTCCCTTTCCATATTTGCCAATCTCGGCCCATTATTGCTTTCTTGAACACGCTACCTCTGTGGTCATAGACCTTTATTCCAACTTCAATAGAATACAACAACAATAAACACAACTTAGAAAAAACAACACAGATAATCGCTGTCGCACAGCGATTACATTTAATCGGCTAACTTCAGTTAGCTCCCGCTCTTCCCACCGGCGCTGGGCAAAACACCTCCATGTGTGACGCTGCCTGGCATCTAGAGCACTTCAGACGCTTCTTGTGGCACTCCGTACGATGGGGGTGCGCCGCGCACCTCAGGCAAAGCCCTTTCTCCATAGCTCGGCTCAACCGCTCTCCGCACGGGTGCTCATCGAGCGCTCTTAGGAGCTCCTGGATGCTCCCGCCTGAAACCTCTTTCTAATCAATAGCCTCCATTGATTATACCACTACTACTATTCCTATTATTCCTATCCCCCTCGAGCATTTTCTTGCACACGGTCGATGCACCATTTGAAAATTCTGGGCCCCGCCCAGAATTCAACGTCCCCGAAGGAACAATTTTTTGTGTGGCAAGAAACGAAGTTATCAGTCAGAAGCTCTTCATCGCCGCCCAAATGGACGGCTAGAGCCTTCTGTCATCACTTAACTCCGGCCCTTCGCAAGGGCAATGCTCCCGAAATTCTCCCTTCCTACGGCCGCGCCGTCTTAATGAGAAAAGAAAACCCCCCCAATATCTCCCACGCGGCCGCGCCGCCAATTTGGGGAACTCTACCAAGTCAAACTACATACCTGGGAGGTTCTCTTCCCCTTGGATCGCGCATCTCCTTCCTCCGCGAGATCGCTCCATAATCCGCAATCAGAATAATAGGCTTTTACTCCAGTTAGAAAGAAAAAAGAAAAACTAAAAAACAACGTTTTTTTTTTAAAAACCTCCTAACGCCGCCGCTAGGTTACTGTCACTCCGCGCCGCGAGAAATCCAAGCGGCATTACTGTGCCGTCCTTTAACTTCTCCCCCTGCGCCTCCTTTGCGCCCGTTGTCTTTCCCTCAGCGCGCGTTATCTCTACCCTTTGGCGCGCGCTTTCTCCGTTCACACACTCTCTCTCCGCGAGAGATATTTATCGATTTCCCTCATTTTTTCCTCCTTTTTCGTCGAATTCCCGCGGAATTTGACAAGGTCCATGGACAAAGCTAATTCGTCCACGTGGTCTTTGTGACACGCAAGCAAATAAAATTGTGAATTTTCTAATGATTGTATTTAAAGCGTTTCAATAAATGAATGTAATTGAAAATAGCATAATGGAAAAAATAAAACTATAATGCAAAAAATGTTGATATCAAAATGCAATCAAATTTTAATTTATGTAACAACATAAATTTCGAAGTCATTCGTTTCATGGATACTTTAAAAATTAGTCTTTATGTTGTAATTATTTTTTTGAAGTTTATCGAAATGGTAATATTAATGGCAGGGATTATTATGATTGTCTGTTTTTTATCAGCTACATTATGCTATCAACTATAACAAACTCCAGACCAACTAGCTGAGGCGAAATGTTCACACGACTTAAATTTGAAATAAAATATGATCTAAATTATTATCTCTTGATGACTTTCAATCTAATTAGGTAATAAAAAGGAAAATGGATGCCAGACAACGATATAGAAATTTAGTTTGTAGGTACTTAAAACAGTTTGTATTACTTAAATTTATTTTCAATTGCCAAATATAGAAAATGCCACAAAAAAGCACAAGGACAATGTCTCAAAAAATGGTATTGTTAAATAGAATAGCAACGATGGAAAAAGTTGATGGAACACCATCCTCGTGTTTCATATTAACAATTTACTTACTATAAAGGAATGAAGAGAAACTCAAAAAATAACTGTTTTTGAATGGCACATATGACAAAGATCATTTCAATAAACGAGTACAAAAACGAGAATTTTTAATTGAATTTGAATAAGCATAAAATATTTAGCAAAGAGTAATAAATGGTTGAGATCAGAGAAAAAACCGAAGCTTTGTGTAATATTAGAGGTGTGGAAAAATGAGGCGGCAACCAACACAAACCAAAGGAAAAGCATGAGCTACGAAATTTTTGATGTGTCACTTATATTTTTGTTCGCTCACTCTTTCATTGATATCGAGCAGATCACGAGATGTCGCGGTACCCATCAGTTTCAAAATAAATGAGCCGTCTCCACATTTTCCGGCGTCTATTCTTATCCACGTTTTCATTTGATCGGACTCATGGCATTCAAATGTCGTTTATTCCACATGCAGATGTTACTGCGATTAATCAATGATGTAATCGAGATCGCTATTTTTTCAATGCAAATATTTATGCTGAATAATAGAACGAAATTGATAAAGTAGCTAATAAATATAATGACCAGAAATTCATAATGCTTAATCGTGAGTTATTGCATCCGTCGGCACCATATTCGGACACAAAATGGTTAAAATAATGAGTATGCCGGAGTGCTCCCTGTAACAAGTATACCAAAATCTCGATAACCAATGTTTCTTATCTTTTTGGTATACATTAATACATAACATTAGTATAAACCATTTTTGTTTCTCACAATTTCCAAGTTTAGCATTTGCTTGTTAATCCTTTCCAAAAATTTTAGTTGGAATTTTGCCAAGCTAATTCATTCATTTTTAATTACAGCTCGTGAATTTTCAATGAAGATCATGTTATAATTAAAAATGACTGAGAAGTATTTCAAAGTATCATGAGGGACAAGTAATTTTTGGAATCTTGAAGAAGTTTTCGGGAAAAGCGAAAAAATAATAATTTATCTGATATATGTATAAATTTTAAATTTCAGAAAATTTTTATTTTAATTTGTTCAAATCATTTAATATTTTCAATCTAATTAACAGAACCCAGTAAAATGTTCAATTTTTCAAAACATATTTGTTTCCATATTTGTATAAAGTAATTGTAGTAATAAAAAGGAAACATACGCCGCGACCGTAATCCCAAAACCTTTTCTTGTCGCTACATTCAAAATCCTCTCCATTTATTGGATCACAAAGCACATAATTCGTAAAATCGTTGTTATACCTTGAATTTTTTATTTTTAGAAGAAACAAGTGTTGGTTACCATATTTCTCTTGGATGATGGTAAGGATATCCATCAGCGGTCAAGTTGTCTAAATGCAATGGAGGCAAGTGCGGTACTGGATCTGTGCTATGAACGACTCGAAAAGCGTAAGGAATCACATCCTGAAATTAATAAATAAATAAATATTTTTTACTGTAGCTTTAAGTGTTTTTTATAGATCCGCAATTCAAAAGAATGATCGCCATCAAATAACTAATCGAATTTCGAAAAAAAATTGATGATATTCTATGTGTCTCGAGGCGAAGAATAGTGCGCGTATCTGCGTATGCTTCACTCATTTAATACTCTGAAAATGCGCAAAAGAATATATCTGATTTTGTTATAATATAGGAAGAAAATCATCAAACGTTTGATGACCACATATACATTTCATTCTCCTTATCAGAAAGTATTCACCGAAAAATAGTTTGCGAATCTCATATCACCAACTCGCGGCTCTCCGAATGTGTGAACTTTAATCTAAAGAAATTGGAAAATAAAAAAACAGTTGAAGAAAACGAGCTTACTTTGGTCGAATATTGCCGAAATGCAATTCGAAATGCTGTCAGTGTTGCGATTGCTCCACCCAGCGAATGTCCGGTTAACAAATACGTGTAATTTTGACGTCTGTATTGATCCCAAATATCGTTTGTGTAAATTTGTGTTTACTATACGTTATAATACTTGGATGAACCATGTTATCCCACATTTGATTCATTGCATTGAGGAAATAAACGTTGACATTTCCGACATTTATTTGATTATCACTTCCGTCTGTCTCAATAAATGGAACCAAATCCTGAAGTCCGTTCGAAAACTCGGTTAACAATTGTCCTCCGCTATTGGTACCACGAAAAGACACTATTACTTGGCTAGTTTCATCCGATATTGCGACAAATGCTTGACATTGGTTACTGTGCTAAATAAGACCCCTTTTTTAATTGTACTGTGCAGATTTATTCGAAAACAACTCAAAAAATCGGTAAAAGACCATAAAAATTAATAAAAACACCAATGCGATATGCGAGAAAAAAGTTGCGTTTAGTCAGTATTTTGAATTATTCTCCAAAATCTGTATTGTACCATAAAAAAAATACTAATATAACGTAACAAAAAAAAATGCTTACTTTATCACACGGCGTTGACATGACCATCAGCACACGAAAGTTATCATTTGGATAAGAAAGATCAATGCAGCTTTGCCGGGATGTGACATTTTCTGAAAAGTTTCATCAGTTCCAGCTCTAAAACTACGACAAAATCTGTCTCGACTACATGAAAAATTCTACATATGTATGTCTTCATTCACCTGCATCTGCATACGCCGCCGCTGCCAAATTCAAAAACTTCTCAGACTCAACTTCACTGAACGCCACGTAACATTGAGCATTTGATGAAAAAAGAATGCACTTCAGTAATAATCATTAAAATAAAAATAATATTTTTAAAAATTACCAGTAAAACGTGAAGAGTTAAGATTGAATACTTCGTTTCTGCATTAAGCGTCATCGGAAAATGATAAGGACAACTAGACCATTTCACCAAGTCTTTATCAATACCTCATGTAGTGATGGTATCACATTTAATATTCAGAAATGTAGTTTTTATTTGCACGCGTACGATGAATCATTATAACCATATGTATTCTATGTAATAATATTAATAGCACAAAGCACATTCACGTATTTAACTGTTTCATATTTGGGAGATAACCGATGTGAGTTGATAGTTTAACTTCATCGTTGCTAAATGATCAGCTCTTGTTGGACCAATGTTCACAATGAATATTGGTTTGTCCTGTTTGTGCGCCTGAAAACAACGTTTATTTTTAATGATTGATAATCATTGTTTGCATACCTGATAAATAAATCTGTACCCGGACATTACTGATAGACTGGAACCGAGCACTAGAACTCCGTCGCATTCGTCAACCGAAAAGTCACAAATTGAACTGGAGAAAAATACAATGAAAATGTTACCTTTGAATGGCAGAAGTCTACGAGATTCCTTGGAACATTGTCACCGAAGAATATCACATCCGTTTTGATGATCCCTCCACATTTTGGACAATCAGAAATAATGAATTCCTGAAAAAAAATGAGATTGTTCGAAGTTCCAGAAGATTATACTTTTTCTGCGTCCGGTTCTAGCATAACGTCGCCATCTGGAGCCATTTCTCCAGGGTTTGTATACTTTTGCATGAATCCTGGATTCAATTCTTCTAACAATCGCTGATAATTATCTCTAAAACTTTTTTGTGTAATTGTATTAAATTGTGGTAAAAATAAATGCATGCATGAGCTTGCATATTTGACAAGTAATGTAAAAATTCGGCTATTTTCTTTTTTTGTTTTATACGAATTTCGTTTTTTTAATCAAAATTTTTTGAAGTAGTATTAATGAATTTTCACCGTTTAGATGTGAAGATTTTAAAACATAAAGAATCGAATATATATCCAAACCTTTTTTCATGGTAATCACAACGCATACATCGTACAAATCGGCCGGAGCCATGCAATTCTGTGATCATTTTGGATCCTGCCCTAAAAATAATTACATTAATGATATAACAACAAAGGCTTCCAACTTCACATGTAAACCGTCAACATTTTGAGTAATGAGCCATACAAATCGTTCAGAGTTTTCCCATTGAGCTATTTCGTAATGGTTTCTATTACATTTGGCATTTCCGAAAACTGGCCAAGCAAGATAGTTTCTTGCCCAATATCTTAAGTCAACATTATGGGAAACAGCCAAAATATGCATACTACTCACCGTCTCCTAACATTTGCAGATTTCATGAAATCAATATGCTGAACGGGTTTGTGATTTGATCTCGCATATAATCCAACATCCTTTGACCGATAATCAGGAATGCCTAAACAATAAATTGCTAAAATAATTGTAAATCAAACCTGATTCCGTGGATATTCCAGCTCCGGTTAAAACTAGTAGCTTTTCAACGTATCCAAGTTCATTTGCGAACCGTCTAACAAGTTTCTCATCGACAAGTTTACTTTGCGGAACAAATCGGGACATTCAAAAAATGAAACAGTTTTCAGCAAAAATTAAAAAAAAATGTAGGCAATCTACCTATATGCGATGTATTTTTCAATTGCCTCAAGTACGCTCCATTGGACAAAAAATTTAATATTACCAACGCAAAAACGAACACGTTGTGTAATTATGAACTTTTACTCGTTTTTTCTTGAGATTGTAATAACTTTAATTGTAAGCTGCTATTTGTACGTTCAATTCATACATCAATCAGTTAAATTACGCACCAAAGTTGAAAATTTATTGAAATATAACTTTAAAAAATCTTATCATTGCAAAATTTCAATAGTACAATCCTGGTTGAGTTTTTTGTTTTTTGTTTTTTTTTTTTTTTGAAACAAAGACTTAGCCTTTCTTGGGTGTTTAAAACAATTCATTTTGACATTTTTTTAGAAATTAAAAAAACAATGAGAAATTATTTATTAAATATACATTGCAACAAAACACTGCGAGAAATGGGGTTCTTTTTAAAGCATAACCTGGACTAGAGGATTATAAAAAATTGAAAATAATGTGCTAAATAAGGAACCCGCATTGATTCAGAACCAAGCAAACACTTGACACAGCACTGAGCTTTTGTCCTGTAAATGCTATAGTGAACAATAGAAAATAATTGTATTAAACGCGTTTTAAAACTATTGGTAGATTGTGTGTGGATTCCCGTCATTTCATTAAGATCAGTAAGATAATTATTGATTGGAGAGAGGTTATTTGAGACCAATGGAAAATTAATTATATGCGGTATATAACAATATAACAATATATATATATATATATATATATATATATATATATATATATATATATATATATATATATATATATATATATATATATAATATATATATACAATATATATATACAATATACAATATATACAATATATATATATAATCAATTGATTGGGAGATTATATGTACATTGATTGCAAGAATAGTTTGCAATATTAAATTTCAATTTCATGATGAAGCAATGGATGTGTTTCTATTTTCATTTCTTTTAATGGGAAGTCAGAAGTCGATATGAAAACCTGAACAAATTCTTTAATATTTGCCATGATTTAAAAAGTTTACGTCAGTCGGTTCCTGTGTGTAGGAGCTGTTGCTCGACATCGACGAGACTCCAGAATCCATAGTAACAGTTTTTTGTGTAGTGTCAAACTGTTCCTCGCAAATTATTGAAATATCTTCACATTTTTGAATTCGCGACTGAAAAAAATAATTTTGAATTCAAATTTTCTAAAGAACAAACCGATGGTTTCTCAACTGGAGGTAGCTCCGCTGGTATTTTCATATTGAACGCGTTTTCGAAGATTTGTTCATCTCGAGGTAGTATATATTCGACTTCCCTTCGTATTTCAGATTTCACCTTCGGCGATAAAAGTACATGCACCTAGTTGAAAACAAAAAAACTAGAATGAATAAATCTTTGATGAACTAACTAGTTTTTTGTCGGTTGAAGGGAAACTAGCCAGAATGACATCATAGACTCCATAGCCGCCGCGATTCGAACTTGAGTGTACAATTATAATCTGGAATGAGCGTTCCAGCAATGACACTCACATCGAAATATAATTACCTTATCCGCAACTGTAGTTTGCTTGTAGATCCATTGGAACATGTTCAATTCGGCCTCTGCGCTGCACTCGTCAAATTTCTCGCATACAACATCGTTTTTTGAATTTCTAAAATATCAAATATTGAGCCTAACTCAATATTAAACGTCAAACTTCAATCCAAGACAAATGCGTTTCATGTATATCTCCTCATCTCCATAAGCCATTGGACAAACCAAAAAGCATTTGAATTTTTCTAAAAAAAATAGAAAAAAAACAGTTCAGAAAATTATTCTCACTGTTGTTTTTGCCGGGAAAGAAAATATTTCCAGCGTTCCGAATCACCAAATTATTCTTCAACTCCTTATTATATCTTTTTATAACGAGTCCTAAGAAAACGACGAGTGAAGCGAGGCCAATTATGAAGAAGATCACAAAAAGTGCAGATGTCGCATTTGATGGTTGTGCTGCTTTTGTCACATCTTCAGCCTTTACATATTCATTGGCTGCCATTCCAGTCTATAATAATTGCATTTAATTGCTATCGTGCTTTTATGAGTCATACATCATCGGTTTTTGGGGGGATTTTAAACAAGTTAGACGAATTTAATATGCAATGACATTTTTCGCAGGCGCATTTTCCATTTGTTGCATTTTTTGCTTGAATCTATTAAAAGGAAAAAATATATAAATATACGCAGATGATATCTTACGTCAATGATCAAACTCTCATTTCTCGGGAGGCCTTTGAAACTGACGTAAGTATTGAATACATCCAATAAAATCTGAATATAACAATTCTTAGGTGTGTCGGTTTGTTACGAAGGAATGCAATAATAAAATTTTACGACTTCACGTGAACTCGTTTCTCAGATTTATTCGTTTCATTTTTCTACTTACTACAACTTCCGTTGAGTTGATAATACGTCCATTACGATATCTCACTGTCACCTCGTACGTTTGAATACACAAGAATTTCGGAGCAGGCTGCCAAAGCACCTTCAAATATTCAAGCATTTATTTAATTATTTAATTCAATGTGACGCACCGCGACATCACCATTGCCGTCGTTAATGGTGATGTTCATGTGCGCAGCCCATTTCGCAGACAAACCTTAAAAAAGCAATAAATGTTTCCGATAGCGACAGATTTTTGATCAAATTTTTTTGTTCTAAGATCGGTAATGACCACAAAAAACTGTTTTCGATACCGTACTCTTTGTATGATGATTGGCAAACTTACGTGTCATGCTAGAACAATGCGATCTATCTTCAACATCAGGGAGCAAAGTCACTGGATACGTTGGCACTATCTGATCCCCAATTGGTAGGAGGTGTACCTACATAACTTGGAATTTCTTTCGATGCCAAATGATAAATGATACCATTGCAAGATAACTTCGGCCGAGTTGTAAAACGTCGTCAAAATCCATTTGAACTTCCATGAGCTTAAAAATGAAGAATGTGGGTATTAAGTGAAACGTTCAAGTACTTCTTTCTCTCTTTTAAATTTTTCCACAGATGCTATCAATTTCATGGTGTATCCGGCAATATGATTTCCGTGAGAATCAACAATTATTATGTGAAATCCCTCGACTGTTTGATTATTATTATGCAATTTCTTCAATGGTAATCTGAAGCGAACAATTCCACGAGTAGTGATATCAGTTCCGTCGGGCGACGTCTGAAAGATCCCTTCAATCGTTATTTTTATTCGAAACGAAAGAAAACCCTATTACTGCTAGTGAAAAATTCTAATTAAAGCGCCAAAAAGTAATGAGTTTTTTCTCACTTAAAAAGTTAGCTCAGCGAACTTTAAGCGAACAAGTAAAAACATTGTGAACTTACTCTCAAATAATAGCTGAACCCGAGATGAATTGGCTGCAAATTCCATATGATCGACTTTTTCTCGGCCATACTGATTTTTGTCGAGTTGTATTCGATTGTGCAGTTGCGGAATCCATTGATGTTACACGATGCGCTCTCCGCGGAAATCACCAAACATGTAGAAAACAAGAGCAGTATTATAAAAACTCCATAAATTGTTGAGTTTGTTACAGCACGAAGCTGCATGATTTGTGCAGCGAGGCGTCAAAATCGAATAATTGTTTCAAATGCTAGTAACCGGCGCCCAATACACAAATATCGGCGCAACAAGGCCACCACGTGAAAAATGGTCGGGCGGCGAATGAGGAGAGGACGGGTCGACGCTCGCGCTACAAAATAAATGCTGCGACGGCGACTGGGTTGCGAAAAATGGCACTCGTGAACAAATTTGCTTGTCGCGATGAAAACAGACTGTTGATCTGTTCTGCTTTCGGCTTAATGGTTTGCTGATGTCGATGACGATAACGCTTGAAATCGCAATAATCAATTTATATACGATGTGTTGTAGATATCTTAAAAATCAAAAATCATTCAACTTTAAATGAACAATTAAAATTACGACATTAAAGAAATGAAATATATCAAAATACATGCATATTTCGAGTTATCAAAAAGTAAAAGCCAAGTCTGGTTTCGTGATTTTCCCACAGCCTGGTTGATATCAAAAAAGAGTAACATGATCAAAGACGAAAATTCTTAGTAAAAGAAACATGGATAAATGAGAAAGTTTGAGAATTTATTACTTTTTCATATATAATGTTGTTACTTCATTAGAGATTTGATTTCCTGACATCAAAGGAGATTTTCCTAGTATCGCAGTAGGCATTTGATTTTAACTTTTTATTTTTTTGTATAGTTTAAAGTATTTGTTGTTGGAATCATGTGCGCGCTCACACGATTATAAACCTTCTATCAAACGCAATGTTCGTCTACCACAAATCTCCTACCACCTGGTTTATTTGATTAGCGACTTCTCGATTGGCCACTTGCCAAACTTCCTACTTAATTAATATTAATTTAAATAAATCAAAATTACTGACAACAATTTTTCACAACGTGGACTTGTGCGAGTAGGTGTTGTCAGAAAGTCAGTGAACTGAACAAGAACGATCTTTCCGACATGGAATTCGTACGGAATTCTGATTCGTCGGCAATTAGTCCAGCCACGCCCATTTAGATAGAAGTACATAGATTTTCAAAAAAAAATGTGCAAATTTTCGTCAACAACGAGTAATACGAAATTGTCGAATAGAATCATTGTACTATTTCATTCTCACTTTCACTTTTAAATACTTCATTTTTCGACCTTCAACAATAATTGTTATATGATGATTTCACATGGCCAAAAATAATTGCATCGTGGGTCATTATTATCTTAATTGTCCGAAAATTGCACACACAAGTTTTGATGTATCAACGAAAAAAAAAACCAACGAAACATTGTCATTTTCCTCGCTTTTTGCGGGACCATGGTCACATAAGTTATTTTTAAGTGAAAAAACGTGATCAGAAAAAAACCAAAGCAGAAAAGACGAAGAAAGACTAAAAGAATTAAAATGAGAAGAAAATTTTACGATGCAAAACTAACGCTGTCCTGTGACCCTATCAATGAACATATATCATGGCAACGTCGCGTAGACAAAAAAAAACAGAGATACATGAAAAGCAATTTGATCTTCTGCAGGAAACAAAGATTCTAGCGAACGCAAATAATTGAAGAGAATCTAGAGAGATTCAGCGGTTTCGATCTGCAGATAGTGGAGGTGCGATACAAAGATGATGCGATTGAATATACGGAATACGAAACCTAAATATGTCAGACATAAGAATGTGTAGTGTGTTGCATTATGTGATAACAAATGTTACGTATTCGGATGATGAGGCACGTGGATTTCAATCGAGAATTGGCAACAAGTACAAACACGCTTTTGATTCAATACGTTATCACTTTGATATTTTCCCGATATATCCGTGATATCAAATGTCATCAAAACGCGACTAAGTCATATTTCACACTCCGGATGTGAAATCGCCGATTGCAAATATGCAAAAACTCCTGGTCACGTTTTCATCGGCGGCTAGGCAAAACATGAAAAAGGACGTGAAATCTTCCATCTTGTTCTTCATTGTCTGGTATCTCTCAAATTAAATTGCCTCTACAGTTTTCTCTTGGTTTAGAGTGAATTATTGAAGGAATCCGTAACTGCGAGAAAACAATTGATCATGTGGTAGAGAGAAATTCGAAATATCGTACGAGGTAGTCGCACAACCAAAATAATGAAATGAATATGGTTTTGGTTTTTTTATCTAGCAAATTTATAGAAATGCCTAGCCCAGCGCCTAATATACGCGGGATAAGTACCAACGGCTTTTCAGTGTGCTCTCGCCACGTTTGAATGCTTATTTTGTGATTTTTACGTGATTTCAATCTTTACATGTTGCGATTCCGCGCAATATCTTGGCGATATGCCAGTAAATTAATAATAAATGTCGATGTCTCCCATCAAAATGCTATAATTTCCAGTTTATCCGGATGATACAAAAACAATGAAAGTTTCGGTGAGTTTGTGAAAAGGGTTCAGCCTTATTCAAAGACTTTGTCAAATATCTAAGAGAGCGCTCGATAATTTTAGGAGTTGGCATCGGTTGCCAATTTTTTATATTCAACTGTTTTTATATTCTATTGATAACCACAGCGCATGTGAAGAACGAGTTTAAACTTTTCAAACAGTTTTCCGTTTGTTCTTCTTGAATAAGAAGGCAGACTTTACATATAACAGAACAGACTGAGTTGAAACTTTTACAAAAAAAATTATACAAAATAATATGAAAAAATACAAGGCACGGTTTTACATAGGAATTCGCCAATTTTGCGCAAAATTTTAATCCGGGTAGATATATTGCACCACACCGTAAATATATTCCGTCACATGGTACATTATTACAAAAACTAATACAACAACCATTTTTCAAATATAAACAAAAAGGTACTTTCGAAAGAGAAGAGAGAAATATCGAGGGAACGACGCGTGGAAACATTAAACTATGCTTGAAAAAAATCGATAAATGAGACAGGTTCAGAGATTCTTATCAAAAAACAAACGCCGGTTGATTGCTGATGCGAATTTGCACTATTGTTTCTCAATCGATAATCGAAAAAGAGAAGACAACGTAAAATGAACTAAGTATCACAATGTCGAGACTACTAGATTTTTTTTGTTTCGAGGTTAGTTGAAATTCACCTTCTGTTATCCACAATGAAATGTAAAACGTGTGGGTTAGTAGCCGTGTGTTTATTTGTACTTCATCGCATGCGGCAAAAAACACAACAGAAATGACAAACCAGTGTAAACCTAACGAAGAAACGCCATTAATCTTTGACAAAGTATCGACAACGTTGGTCAAGATCGCGATGAATGTTTAGAGAAAAGGATAAAAGGTGAACTCAATACGTGCTTTCGGATATACATTGAATTGTTTTGAGTGATTTTTTTTTATTTAAGTAAAAAAAAAAGAACCTACATATACATATATAATCGGCCTCCCTACTTAAATAAAAAGTTCCGACTTGTGACCAATATGCCTACATACTGTTTTCTTCTATTACGACATATTTCATAAAACAGAAAATCTTATAAATCTAAGGTGGTAAAATGATGATGTGAAATAAAGTGTTCATCAACTGCACAAGGTCTAAATTTTATCATAAACAAATATTTAATTTTCGCACATTTTGCCAAATTAATGATTCTGATTATTATAGTATGGAATTTATGTCGCATTTCTACAGAAATACTGAAATATGACGTTTAATATAGCCTCTACTTACCTGCCTGAAGTTTTCACAACACTATAAAATGATTCAGTTTCAAGGTAATATTTCATGTAATTATGATTGAGCTCCATAGAGATGTTCAATTTCTGACCAAAATTGAAATTGGTTATAATTTGAAGAGACATTTGATTTAATAATACCGATGGTTAAAATTAGCGTATACGGTATATGTACAATTCAATAGTAATTACTTATAAAACCTCGTGATTTTCAAGGTTTTCAATACACATTTATATTCGTTTTCTCAGAAAGACCCATCTCACACATAAACAACTTCTACAATAAAATGGCATTTTCTCATTGGAAAAATTACTTTTCCTTGTCATAAGAGTAAATGACATTATTACTATTATTACAGTGAACAATTATCAAGTCTCAATGAAAGACACGAACAAATGAGAATCACCGTAATTCTTTGGTTTTATATTTAACAGTTTCGATGTTCATCAGATTTACCGATCTTCTGGTTTTTTATTCCAACGACGTACGTATTTTTTTTATCAATGTCATGAGACATGTGAAAGTTATATTTCGCAAAGGATACAAAAAGTGAACTTTTTGCCGATGCCATCTGTTGCTTTTCCTCATACTCAAAGTGAACTACAGACAGATAATAAAAAAATTTAGTCGGCAGAGTTGTTTAGAAATCATTTAATGGGACGATTTACTGGATACTGCAACAGTAGTCGATTACATAACTTATCGCACAAAAAAAAAAGTTTTTTGGAGGGAATTATTGCTTTTTGGGAGGGTGACTACTCATAAGTTCAACGACTAACTGAATGAGAAAAAAGCGGGGGAATTGAAGTTTCTTGCCAGCTTCAGTGACTCCTAGACCTATGAGTAATTACGCTAGATAATGAAAGTAAGAAAAATGTAGTTTGCATTACCAAGAATCAGATAAAACGCGGAGCTAATAGAAAATCGAATTGGTTAAAAGACAAAACAGAACGTGCTAGCTGGACCCATGAATTTCAAATAGAGGGGTCACGTTACAAATGACTTGAATATGTGATTTTGGAAATTGAATTGAGACTTGCTTCAATATGCGAGCCATTTAATTGTCTTCAAGCTCATCTTCAGACCAGCAAAAAGATATATTGGAGTAAGAAAAACTAATTTAAAGGGTTAGTTTCTTTTGACTCAGGAATAGATGTTGAAGTGCAAAACAGTATAATTGATTTTGTTCATTATCTGTCATAAATGACTTTTCGCTATCTGTCTGCGATTGATAAGAACTGCATTGCGATTTAACCTTACATAACACGAAAATAACGTACTGCTTTCTGGAAATGAACACATTTGAAAACAAAAAAATTAATTTCAATTTTTGATTTCTATTACTTTTAAATATTGCATGCCCATATGTTATAATTACGCATGCTTGATTTAACCTATAAAATTAATTTGTTCCTAATTTTCTATTCATTTTATTTAAATAATGGGTGTACGCATGTTGATAAACAATTCGATTCATATGCTCTTGTTTAATGAAGTTATATGGCCTCTCAATATGCAATCATATTGATATCATTTTTTATAACATTTCCATGCGTCAATGGCGTACAAATATGAAATATGATAATGAATTTTATACTTGCAATGATGCAGGTACAACCTTCTTTCTTTCTTTCAATTAGTTTTGGCTTGGAACAATAAAAAAATGAATAAGGTTACAGAAATGATGAAACCAGCGATTTCCATTGAAAGTGGAACTCCTGTATTTCATCGAATGCAGCTCAAATCAGCTCAAAAGGAGGACGCAACCCCACATCATGGCCGAGACTTAATTAACTTAAACGTTGGTGGAACTAGGTAAACACAACGAATTCTGACGGTGAAATGTCATATGATTAACAGATTCACAACTTTTTACAATACTTTGTTGAATGCACGCTCTTCTTATTTTGAAAACTTCATTTGCGGAGATGGTAACACAGGAGTGATTTATCTTTTTGAACAACGAGTGATCGTGAGTTGTTTACAGTCGTCAGCGAAAGTTGCCATAAATTTTTAGAAAGATGAAACCGGTGCGGTGTTTATCAATCGTGATGGCCTATTATTCTCCTACGTTCTTCAATTCATGAGAGATAGACAGAAATGCGTTCTACCAGCGGATAGAAATATCTTGGAAATGTTGATGGTATGTATTTTCTCATGACGAATTAAACGATGGAAATATGACAAGGAACATTAGTAATTTTAGAAAAACAATAGCATATAGAGTACACGAAATGTTTATAATCGAACTTCGTAGTACATTTACTTTGACCACGTGATACATTATTTCCGAAATATCATATAAAACAATCTGAAACATAATATAGGGGTTTAAAGAAGTTCTCTAGTAATCTGAATTGATGTACAGTGACATATCTTGTAGGAAGTAAATTGTTTCAAAAGAATACATATGAATTTCATCTACAGACTAAGCACTGCAAATGCAATACGAGGGACTTTATTCAAAAATAGAAAATGAGAATTTGCCGACGGAAAATTTCTTTCATTATTTAATAGACTGGAAAAAAATCATTGATGAATAGACAAGCATCTTGATGCAATTTCCGTGTTTTTGAAAATGAGAGGTCTCCAGACTTTTTAATTAATACGTATATACCGCCTATTGCGTAAATTTGCATGCATTGAATTTGCTTTGCGTGCTTGCCTCTTTTAAGTGGGAAATTTGCATAGTGTCAAACTAACTTGGACACAACAGCGAGTCGCTCAAAATTTTTGGGTTAATCATTGGTTCAAAACGAATGAGATTCGTAATCTCCCCGACATCATTTAATTACAAAAGAACCAACAAAAATTTAATGGGCCACATGACCTTTCCCTCGGGCTGGGACCCTCACCAATGTATTCGCTCATTCGAAATGATTTTGATGGAATTGCAATGAAAGCAAAATCGCAGTAGAATGAGACGAAATAAACAAAAATGTCGAAACAGTTTTCCATGATATTTATATTGTTCCCCATATTATGTTTACACGAGAAATGCAAAAATAACAACAATTATGATATATTCAATACATTTTTGTAATAAATAACGGAACACAACCAATCAATAAAATATAAACTAAACTCGAGCCAAAAAAATAAATCAATACAAGAAATGCATATAGAATTAAAAGGTGCATTTTTTCAAACAGTATAATGCCATATATATTAATGTTATAATTCTCCACCATTCATTTTCAATGACCACGCAAAAAGTTGTACTTCTTAGTTTGAAATGTCGCTACTGTATTTTCGAAATAATAAAGCAAATACATATTTTTTTAATTTGGAACCGTTGCACGTGGATTTGATTTTTTTTACACAATGAATTTTCTTGTTACTTTTGGAATTTAGTTGGCTACTATAAGGTTCATCTTCATATATATATATTTATATATATATATATATATATATAAAATAATAAATAAAATCAATATTTTAAAAATTCTATTTAAAAAAATTACCGCCAACGCTAATTTTATTAAACAACGGGCGAAACACGCCTGCGGCGTGTCCCGGAAATTCAATGAGAGCAGAAAAAAGGCTCAATTTAATTTTTAGCGATATTTTCTAGAAATCAACAGAACGAATGAAAACAAATTTCACACACGATATTCAAATATTGAATTTTTTCAAATATTTATTTTGTTCCAGAGGGAATCAGAATTTTTTGGAATCGAATCATTCAAGAACATCATTATCGAAAGACTCCGTTCAATCGAAAAGGAAATATAAGAAAAGGATAAAGATTTGGCGGCAATTCGACATGCCGTTCAACAAATTTCCAATTATACCTATTTCAATAACAAACATTAATCTGAAGGCAGCGGTCAATAAATAAATTGAATGAATTATTATCTGTACATGTGTATCAATGTGTGATTTAAAAAATAAGACTTCCAGGGACAACCAAATTTAGTAATTCCGCAACAATCGATAATCCCATTGGTAAATCTCTCTGAAAATTTTTTAATATAAAAATGATTTTTTATCAATAAATACCGTTGCGCTTATTCCAAATATTGACGAGATTAAAGTATTGAATTCGTTGATAAGCTACAAATTATTGGTTTTGATTATTTTCTTTTAAACAACAGCCTACAGTAAAGAATGAGTTCTGCATAGCAAAGTTGTTAACGGTGGTATGACAAGAAGCATACACATCATTGACAACAATATTTCCGCATGAAGTCATTGGCGAATAAATTCCCGTTGAATTAAATGCCGAAATTCGTTTCACTTTCGCCACTTTAATTGTATCAAATAACGTGGTGTATAAGCAATCTCCAACTTGAATATCCTTTGCGAGCGCCGAATATTTTTTTAAAATTTTAGAATTTTTCTAAAAAAATTCAAGAACTCTAGTACACAAAAAACAGTACTACCATTTGCTCCCCAATATTATGACAATCAGCTTTGTATATATTATGGTAATCAGTAAGTTTGATTTCGGAACCGTCCGACAGTTGAATCCTGAAAAAAACTATATTAGGAAACAAAACAAAAAACAAAATTCTTACCTTCGGAATTGTGCGAACATATCTGGAACCCTGTGTATCCAGAATGTTACTGGGAAGAATTCAATACCAGTATCTCCTATTCCCATAATCCATTCCCCAACCTCCAACTCATCCATTCGTTTGATTTCTCCCGCAATTGTTTTTACTGTACTGTCGGCTGTGAAACAGTACAACATTTCTGAAACATTGGTTTTAGTTAATATACGTAATTTAAAATTTACGAGATGGTTGGAAATATGAGTATCCAGAGTATGCAGGAGCTGCAACTTGAACAGGAGCTGGAGCTGGAGCGGGCTGAACAATTTGAGGATTTGGGGCAAAAAATTGCTGCAAGTAGAGAATCAGAAACAATTGTTAAAGGCATTATTACTAGTTGGGAAACAGGAGGAGCCACGAATTGTTGGACTGGCTGAGTTCTTACAGCGGACTGAGCAACTATTTCTTCCACAACTACTGTCTCCTGTGGTTGTACACTTTCTTGAATGGCTGGTTGGACAACAAGTTCTTCATTTACAGCTGGTTGTGGGGCTGCATTTTCAATTTCGGCTCCGTTTATAGGAATTTGCTCGTTAGGTCCAACTTCCACATTTGGTTCATCGAATGCAATTGCTTTACGAACCTCATAATCATTGAACTCGCGAATCGCGTTTTTAGCATCAATGACTTCAGCTGAAAGAATATTTCATTATAAATTCTGGTCTGATTTTAACAGACAATGTCTAATAATAAAATCAATATAAATAAAAGTAAACTTATGGTTTCGTTGATATCGCCTGGAGGCAAGCAGGGAAATCTTCCTAATGTGACTTCGTATTTGACTTTCAAGTTTATATCGTATTTCTTTTCAATGTTTCTAATATAGTCAAAAGCATATTGTTGTCCGTATTTAAAGACTTCTCCGCCATGTACAAATTGCCCGGAACCAATTGTGGCAAGTCCGACATCGGTAGCAATTCGAAGAGGTTCATATGTGCAACATTGATAAACGGTTCTGAAAATTTTATTCGAACTCCATGAATGCGAGAAGTCGTTGCATATTTTCTCATAATTTTTGTCTTATATTAGAGCATTTAATAGAGGACATGGTAAAGTTAACATATCATTTATCTTAATCTGGTCGTCATGCAGTTTTGCTCTATAGTTTTCAAACCTCTATAACATAAGATTTGTGTTTTAGTATTTAGGAAACTGTGTCAGCAGCAATGAAGTACTCACGACGATGATGAAACATTGAGAAGAGGCACTATTCCACCGACCCACTGATTTTCCGACGAACATGACCCCGATTCAAATGTTTTGTCGCATGTCTGAATAGAAACTTTTGCTGCGCTTTCGATCGTTATCTTGTCTCAAATTGTCTTTTCGCAATGCATATGGTAGAAGTTTCACTTTTTGTCTTGAACTTTGGAAGATTATCAATGACCGACCGCTTTTTGAACTGTATACGTCTGCGAGATTCCGTCTTTGAATGGTGCAATTCGATTAGGATCTATTCGCAAAAATCCATCTGGGTTATTATTTATTCTGCAAATTCCTCCGTTAACAGCTCATTTCGTTTTGCATTAATTGCAAAAAAATAATATTGTTTGTGCTCACCTGAAAAAGTTTGCATTGGTTGGCAATCTATTCCCATGAGGATCCCATCCAAAACAAGTAGGCCGACCGCATCCTAATACAGGCTGGCCATCAGGTAATATCTGAATCAATTTTGGAATTTTCTTTTATTTTTCTTTGACTAACCTCTAAACTAAAAGGAACAGCTGAGTTTCCGCAGAAAGATGTGTATGTGTACCCGACGTACGAGAGCAGTAGCAAGCACAACATTTCTAGAATGATTAAAATTGAAAATAATGTTTTTTTCATATGCTGGAATATATTTGAAAAGCACGTGGGCAAATGAAACAAACAACATGTTCTCATTGAAAATTGACTAGTGGCTATCCATATTTATATGATGCACGTTGACTCCGCCTATCAGACTAAGCGAAATGATAAAAATCATGCAATCCAGCGAGACAATGACCGGATACACATAAACGATCATAGAATTGGAAGCAAGGGAGAATGAAATTATAAGGGCCCACCCAGAAGAATAAAGTCACAGCTTGGCACTAAGCCTTATACCTCCGTGAGGTATGTGCAGAAACTCGTTAATCTTGTTCCGTTTTTTTGTGTCAAAGATGCGTCTTGTATGACAGCGGTTTTTTGCGCGGAAAGCTCGACAGCAAAGTCGGCTGCGATGATTTATTAGTGTTAAAATGACAAACATCTTGCCAATTAGCGGCGCGCAAAATCCGATAATCGAAATTTATAACGCCATTAGAAAAGTGAGGTGTGTCGGCAATGATAAATGATAGTTTATTCAATCCAATCGAATTAAATATTAAAGCAGAATACGCAAACAAACATGGTAACAACATTTTTTGAACGATCATACAGATTATGACACATTACAATTTTTCATTTCAATTTTTAGACTAAATATTTCAATTGGGAAGTATTCCATAAAGATTGAAGGTAGTCAGCTGAATGTCGTGAATATTGATAATGATATACGACGAAGTTTTCGAATATGTGCTTATCAAATCCATCGCTGTGTTTCAATTTTAAACCAGCACAGTTCGCAAGAACACCTGAATCATTGTTAAGAATATACATTGCTAAATTCAGAAATTACCCATGAAGACGTCGTCTAAATGAATAAGAGGAACCTTGCATACGTTTTTGACAAGAAGTTTTGCTCCTTCTTTTGAAAGAACAAATGAAGATCCCTTTATAAATGACGGTATGTTTTGCTTTTTTTTCATTTTACCTGAACAAACAACGGATAGCATAAATGTGGATACATATCCGATGGGACATGCCACGTCAACCAGGGAAGGAATATCCTTGGATATCCTCTAGAAACCTTTCCAAGCATTACAGGGCCTTCGTGAAAATGTAAAACCTTTAACTTTAATTATTTAAATGAATTGAGGGTCTGATTTCAACCTGTTCTAGTGCTGTTACATTCACAATAGTGTCATCATTTGTAACTACAATCTGCTCAACTGATGGTAGCTGCTCAAGTACAAATCCATAAATAGCCATCATTTTCCATGACAAATTATGATACGAGTCTTCAAAATTGAATTGTAAAATGTCTGCAATTATTAATGTTAACTCGATTCTCATGATATCATCACCATTGTATTTTTCTGCCTCAATTTGTAAGGTATCATTTTTGGAAGTTGCACAAACAAATATCACAGGAAGTAATGACTCCACGTGTGATTTCCAAGTATTTCTGATGAACGATCGATAATCTAGTGAACCAGGACCGGAACGAATGACTAGAATTCTCTTGGGCAAATTTGGAAGCTTTGGTTTGATTAAAACATCAGGAATAATGTCAAGATGGCAGTTTCCCGAATCAACTTGACGATTTGGGTAGAATTTGGACACGCCTTAAAACATTTTATTGATTTTTTTTATTGAACTTATTCGATTGTCTCCCTATTTCGCAAAAAAAAGGACAACAAACATGTATTGAAATCCTGCGAAATCGGTTTCGTCGAAAGAAGATCGCTTTGTGTGTAGCACAGAGCGCGAAACGGGAGTAGACATGATTCGAGATAATTTGCAAGCTAAAAAAATTGATGTCATTAAAAACAGCTAAATTAGGAAAAAAACTCACAATTAAATATGGGATAACCCATGAGAAAAGTAGAAATAGAAGCTTTAATGGCGAAATGAGTAGTTTGTCGTTGCGCAGTACGAGCTGCACGCAGTTAGAAACGATGACTCGAAGCGTCCGCATGCCTTGCCGTCGGCCAATGAGTTTCGTTGCGATACGATCTTCATATGGATACGATCTCTTTCGACTCAGCGCCGTATATTTCTATCAGATTCTTTACGTTCTTTTTTCGTCAAATATTCGTTGCATTTGACGCATTGCAACATGTCTGGATGCGCAATGTGTGAACTTTCGAATTACGCTGGCTTGGAGAAATGGCACCTGCCATTAGATGGGACAAAAAAACATGAGAGAAAGAGTAATGTTACTTCGCAAGCATATGTTTTAAATGAAACAAAAAAGAATGAATATAAAAAAGATATATCTGTTAAATCAGCCAACGAAAAGACATTCCAGAAAGCACGGTGGAATGTTTTAGTTTTAAAAAAGGTTAAAAAAAACCAAATTAAAAAAAACGTTCTTGAAAATGTTATATTTTCTTTATCGCGCCGAATGGCGAACAATTAAACATTGTTTTATATTGATACAAATTTCGTCTCAAAAAAGTTATATTTATGAAATTGCGCAGTTTTCATCTCTTAGTTAGTCATTCATTTAGCACTTTCGAAGCAAGAAAATGTTTTTGGGCTCCTCCCTTTACACGATCATATGTCCTTACCAGTATCTATATTACCCGGATCTCCGGTTAAATATATTTGCTTGAAAAAAAGAAAAATAGTTTCTACTTCATTGTTTTTATTGTGTGGCCTCTTAAAATAGTTATGATTGAAAATCGTATTAAACACATTTTTTTGTTTCTTTTTGCTTACAAATGTTATTACATTTTAATTGAATCATTGATGTTTTGCTTTTTTTTTCAAAGAAATATTTCTCAGTTTATAAATTAGAAATATAATATTTCCTTATTAAAATTAAATATTTTGTTATATGTTATTTTTATTCATGCTTATCGTCATTATCATACCCTAGAATTATCTCCGAAAAATTTATCACACTAGATTTGCCCCAAAATCATCAATTTTTGGCGAGGAAAAGCACACAATGATAACAAATGAGTCGACGATCGTTTACTGTTTTGGGAAAACTCTTTATTTGTTTGCATATTTATAATATTATCTCGTTACACACGTCACAATATATTCAGTTACACGTCACAATATATTCAGTTTATCGTGCCACTTATCCATTTCTTGATGGTATTTTAAAGCTCGCACAACGCACAAAGCATTCTTACGATCTCTTTGATACCTTTAGCACCCATTAATCCACAGTTGGCATGATAAGGAACACATTTTCATTTGGCACATTAATAAATTCTAGACCGCAGCACTCTTTTTTAAATAGGTTCAATGGCAGATCATACAATATCAACGATCAAAACTCATAGTTTTTTATCTGTGTAATTCATCTGGAAAAGGAAAGTTTCGAGGTTTCGAAATTACGTTATTCGAAATTGTTTTTCGAAACGTCAACACAATAGTCGTTTAAGAATACATCATTTTTACGATCCTCGTGATCTTTCCTTTGTAAATTTTTGACTTGAAAAAATAAAAACTAATAAAATATATAGTTTTTCTAAACTAATAAACTCATTATCTATGAGATTTTTGCTTAATTTTCATTTTGCAAACTGGTATTATCGCTATTCCAACTTATATTCATTTGCACGCTGTTGCGAATGATGTATGCAAACATTTGTTGGACAGTTATTGTCGACAATGGCAGGTGACCAACACGAGTAATTTTTGACGAATCCGCATATGTGTGCGTCGGTAGTAAGGAAGGACATTGCATCGGTGTCGCGCGCGCTCGATGGTGAGAAACTCACCGCCAAAAAATAGTGAGCAAATGAAGAGACACCGGACGGCGGTAAACCAGCCGCCTTAAAGGCACAATGGATTGCATTTTCTCTTTCTTTCTCTCTCTGCGCATTTTGCGTCGTCCCGCCGACATTTTGAATTTCGCGCGCAAACGCGAGTTGGATGCCCGCACTTTTGTTGATCAATTGCTGCCGCAACGTTTTTATGTCTGCACTCTCCGTTCACTATCCAATCTCTAGCCGACGCTGGCGTCTATTCCTCCTTTTCGTCTGCGTTTCGTGCCCTTCGTGATCTTTTCTGTTCGCGCCATAACATCTTCGTTTCTTTCGTCCTCATTTGATTTGATTATTCAACTCATTCAATTTTGTCAAAAAATGATTTTTACATATTGTTGCGTTTTTGCAGGAACCCGTGCCTCTTTAAAACATGACGGACATATTTGATCTTCCGAAAGACCCAAAATACGAGTTGTAAGTTGCATTCTTGCTTGATTTTCATTGATGTTTAATTTTTCATTCAGAACTGTTGGAGAATGGTTGAATATCAACATGAACAATATTACTCGTACACAGTATAATCCAAATCGGAAGACATTGGTAATTTTCTCATCGCATTATGCAGCAATTGCAAAATTTGAATAGATAAACTCTGCAAATATATATATTTTAATTTTATTTTCCTTCTTGTAATTGGTCTAACCTGAAATTAGGAAAAAAATTATCACCGAAATTAATTAATATCAAACAGTTTAATTGAAATGATTTAGGATCGTCGACGACGGCCTATTGCCGTCGATGCAACCATGGAAGAGACAATGCAAGCAGTCAAACAAGAAGTTGAATCACTACGTGACGAGTTATACGGAGAAAAAGAAAGCAAACGAAATACAAAATGTAAGTATGCTTAAAATGTAAAAATTCTTTATTACTTATTAAAAAAATGCATTAATATTTTGAATAAAATGAAAATTGTCCTCTTGAATAAAAATTTAAAAAAGAAGAAATTTATTGCGTCGGAATCTGAAATATTTGACTCATTTTCGACCCTCGAATTGTTTCCCAACAAAATGCGGCAACTTCAATACCAGTTTTCCGATCATTCTCACAATCTGTTTCTTTTGCTAACCTTTACTATGTCACAATACTGTGATTTTCTTCGCACCTTTGCAGTTATGTGTTGATTGCTCTCAATAGCACTTGTGGGAGTATCCGAGATCCCATAAGCAAAACGCGAGCAGACGTCACCATAGCATGGCGATATGGCATTGTATTCCGATTGTAACCGTCTGTATCGCCTCTTTATCTCTTATTTTTATTTGCATCTTTTTTTTAATCTTTCTTCGAACTTCAAAAAATAACAGAATGAGTCAAATATTTCAGATAATGTTGCTTAATGATTCGGCAATGAACCTGCTAATGGAGCAAATAAAAAATGATAACATCGAGCGATTGAATCTGAGTGATTTAAATCAGTACATTGTTCCAGCGGATTCAAATCTGCAAGGGAAGTCGCAAAAGCTTGGAGTTAACAGACCAGCAAACGCAAAAGTTTTTGAACCACCAAGACCGAAAAGGAAATACGTCAGAAGAGTAAATGAATATGGCGAACGTAGGAAATTTCGTAATTTTCAATTTTTGCAAAATGAGCAATATTTTATAGCGCTCTACAAAGCTCCAAATCTAGGAATGCGGTATGAAAATTCATTGCTGGTCACCACTCAGAAATTTATGCTTTTGAAAGATCACACTCTTCACAAGGTTGGTTTTTTTCAAATCTCAAATTTTATCATAATTTTGTTTTCAGGTTCTGAATCTGAATGATGCTGCTGATTTACTAGGAGTTCCGAAAAGACGATTATATGACATTACAAACGTATTAGAAGGAATAGACTACGTTGAAAAAATTGGCAAAAATAGTATTCGGTGGAAGTAAGAATAGAAAAATGCGAATTGGTTCATATTAATTACATTCTAGAGATACTTCCATCGAGCAACAGAAGTATAAGGCATTAACTTCTGACATCACTATTCTAAAAAGACAGGAAAGTATAGTTGATGGTTTGATTAAAGATTTGCAATCGATGAACCGTATTATTTTGGAAGATCCAATCGACAATCCATATGCGTAAGTGCAACAAATTTTTGTGATAATTATTAAAACATTTTTTTAGATATATTAAGCAGAGCACGATTCATAATATTGACGACAGGAAAAAAAGTATAATTGCAATTCGCGCTTCAGCAGGAACTCATGACGATGTTGAAGTAGAAATAATGTTTCTAATGATTGGCACATTGATCAATTTAAGGTTACGGTATCCGATCCTGCCGAAACAAAAGCATTCCAAATGATTGCGCGTAATAAAGCGAGAAAGGGTTTGGATGCATTCATCTGTACCCCAGACACTGGAATTGCTTCATTTGAAAATGGATCTGATGGTGAGAAATAAAAACACAAAACGAGTACGTTTATAACTGTTTTTAGATGCGTTGAAATCTGATGTCAAGAAAGAACCGGGATTAAACGAAGAAGTAGTTGTAAAAAAAGGTAATAAATATTACGCCTATAATATATTTACCAAAATATTTTCTTACAGAAGAGATAGAGGGCAATTCCAGACCTAATGTTCAACCCGCAGCAGAGCCAACTCTTCGACCATTAACGTTAAACGAACCTGGACATCCTGGCCTATCATTTTTCACTGTTGATCGAAAACCGGAAGACGAAAACATCACTTCCACAAATTTATTAGACTACTATCCTACAAAAGGATGGTATACTACGGAATCAGTAACTGAGCTATACGGGGATGATGAATATTATTAGCCAATTGTTGCAATCTCATGCAATTCTGCTAAAAGGGTATGGGACACGTCCCGAAAATAAGGTTTTAAGGCGGTGTCATCCATTAACAATCATTGCTTTCTATGTTCAGTTTTAAACATTATTGCTTAATAATTTTTTAATATAGTTTTAATACATCGTCAAATGACTGATCGGTGGCGCGGGAATTTCAATTTCGCAAAATCAGTGTAAGTCTACGAATTTGCAAATTTTTGCGCCTGCTAAAATGTAGAGAATTTTTTTTACAATTTTGATCAGTCGTTTGACGCCTTCAATATAAATATATTGTCTGGGTTGGGAGACTGCGAATAATAGCTTCAATGATAGATAAGAAAATAGCGGAAAATTCTTGACGCAAAAAAAATCCCAAATAAGATGAAAGTGCGCATCGCGCTAAGATCTCCCCCTGTCAATTGATTAGAATTAACAAATATTTCGCAGTCGCGCGACGCTAACAGTATACATCTATATTATTTAAATCTGTTTAATATTTCTCAAAGTTGAAATTAACTGTGACATTTTTTCTGTTGTTCCAACACATTTGCTCTGTTTTGTTTTTTCCTCTTGAATAAAAATGACAAATTTTATTGTGTAGTGTGCACATACATATTGCTTCAAGTCTGATTTTGCCAGAATTAAAAATGTGACAATCCAATAAAAAAATGTCAAACAAAAGTTCGAAAGCTTCGTCAAAGTTTAAATATTTTTCTCTGATTGTTTGTTCATTTGCACTCTTCCCAATCATTGACTGTCAGTTCAAAACGACAAAATATTTTTATTGTAAACTACTTTATTCGTTGCTGGAAATTAATGCGAACGCCTTAAAAAATCACGTTCATGGTAAGTGAATTTCGAAAACAATATCCTTCGATCAGTAATACCACATGTAATTCGGCCCAAGGTTATATGAAATCGATTGAAAACACTTACTGCGTCGATTAATAGTAGATTGGCCGGCCTGATACAACTTTACGGAAAAGAGCTGCACCTTTTATTCATAACTTTTTTCACCAGATTTTCCACAAAATGTTGTCTGTGCACTATTACTTCCGCGTTAATGGGAAGCTAGTGCTCAGAAAATTGCTGCAAATGTTCGAAGATTAATCTATAAACGGAAGGAAAAAGGAAACGTGCTTTGGCTCATTAAATATGTTTTTCTCATCTTGCATAATGCGCTAAACAGTGTTTTCTAACCTTATTTTCTCAGGATTTGGAATTATTTTATTGTTATTTGGATTTATTTTGCATTATTTTAGGCATAGAAAAATTGTTTTTCCTGGTGTTGTATGTACAGCGTGTTGTTTTCTGCTGCGATAAAGTGTAGGAATCTTTTTTCTTTTCATATTTCAATGATATCCTTTATGACGTAGTTTCAAGTTTTTGAAGCTGCTCATTTTTCTCACCCGGCTCACCTGAAGTATACATTTCATTATTGCGTAGATTTTCAAGATGCAGCTCACCGTGTTCCTTCTGTTCATCATCTTCCACGTGGCTCATTTTGCAGCTATTACCACAATTGAGGTTAGTTGAAAATGCATTATAAGAATTCAGTTTATATTAAGGAGCTCTGCGCGAATGACAAGCCTTGCTATGGCTTCCCAGAAAATTGTAATATGGATGACTGCTCAGTTATTTTGTCGGTAATAATTTATATCTTGAAATTAAATGTAATAGTAAATTCAGTTCCGTAAAGGATATATGGATTTTCTTTTCCGTGATACTGATTTCAGCATTGTTATTGGATTTCATTCAGAGAAGAATGTGAGACCTCTTGAGAACTAATAACACAATTTTACAATTCCAGGGTGTTTTGGACAGTGTATACTTGGTATGCTTCCCAGGTACCAGCAAATGTTTCTTGGGCGACCCAACCGTTGATGAAGCGTTCAAAATTAAGAACAAAATAGATGTTGAAATGACTGAGCTTGACGAAATTAATGGAGACTTTTTGTATAGTATTCCCCACGTTATTTTTGAAACCGGACCAGGAATGACATATTTCGCTGCTAAGAACAAAGTTATAAGTATGCCATATTAATAATGTTATATTGATGTTGTTGAATTCAGCCAACTTCAAAGTACAAAATGGAAGGCCGATGCATCTTATTTCCGGAAATGCTCCAACTACTAATCTAAAGGTGTCATAAATTATTATAGGTTTTGTGTCTTATGGCAAAGATTTAGACGGAGAGCCCGGATACCGGAGCCAAACCATTAAGCGATCTTTTCGTTCGTTATGAGCAACAAATGGATGAAAGCGATGATCGCCAAGGCTAGTTTTACGACCATAACTGTTTGAAATTTGAGACACGTCTAGGGAAAAAATGAAAAAAAATGTATTGCAGATAATAGACGAACCGAGGCCATCCGACTTGATGATCTTACAGCATCATTTAAGGTCGAACGTGAGCCTACTATCTCAACTAAAGAAATATAAAACAAAGAAAATAGTTTGAACTGCATTCGACGAAGATGTCTAATTATCGAATGTTCAAATTCATCCCGGTTAAAAAATAAATATCATTGTTAAGATTTGATTATATCCCATCATAAAAAAATTGGAAGAGCGTGATTCGTATAAGCTCAATTCTTCACCTGATCCCTTAGTAAATATATGTTTCTCAGAATAATTGTAATTTTTACGGCGTGAATCCGGAAACACATATAATTTTGAAAGTATCTGGTTCTGGCAGTTGGCTATCTACGGTTTCTTGATGATATAAATGGAAATGCGACATAATTTAAATTGGCTTTGACGCATACCAAAATTGAATAAAAAAGACAACTTCCCAACATTTGAATGTAATTTGTATCCGGAAATAAGAAAAAAACGATTTTATAGCTACTTTCATCTCAAAAAATGTAGACAAGATTACAAATTGAATGTTGACACATAGATGCTTTTTTTTCCATAATTGATTAGCCAATTTGCATAAATATAGATTCTTTTTTTTTTGGGAATATTCGATTTTTGTACATAAAAAGTACACTGAGACAAATTCACGTCAAGTGACATTTGAAAGTCACCACCTACACTAATTTGAAATCCATCAAAAAGGTCCCGACAAATTGAAAAAGATGCATTTTTTTCTCCACTTTGATGTCTACTTATTTTTGGGTTTTGGATACGATTTTTGCAACCAACACGCGTTTTAACACGAATTAGTCAGTGTCTTCAAAAATTCGTTTAAAGTTTTCGCTTTTTTTTGAACTTCCGTTCGACTGATTGCCCCGAGCAAACATTTATTTTTGGTTGTTTGTGTGAGTGCGTGTATGTAGTACGTTTTCTTTTCAAATCATTTTGGGACTCTTGCAAATGAAAGGTTATGTTAATCAATTATCTAAGCAACAAAACTCAAACTAGTTAATTAGAAATTTTCTCTAGAGAAAAGTAAAGATTGTCACGTTACATCAGCACATCGGTTGTTATCCATCGTGGTTCAGCATAGAGCTGGATTAACTACTTTTGCCTATATTTTCGGAAGTTTGTAGTCAAAAAACACCGAAGAGAAATGCAGTGACGTAGAAAATCACGAAGGAGGTTACTAAAAATAAGTTTCGTAAGTGTATTTTTAACATTAGGTGGTGAGCGTCAATCTGTAAAAGCGAATACATTTCAATTTCTTCATGTTGACGCTTTTGATGTGATCCTCAACAAAATATTTATTTCTTCTGTATTGCCCAATTGAAAAAAAATTATATAACGTCATTACATAATTGATGCGTAATAAACAAGAAACTCACTATTTCATGCATCAAATGAAAAATTGTCAAGTCATAGAAGGCAATATAATCTCAAAACGCGAGCAATTAATGAACTGCCATAATTTCCTGTTAAAACTCACTAGGAATTCTAGAAAGCTGCATAAAGTTCTGAATTCCCAAATCATACGCCACACGCTATATCTTTCTTTTATTTTATTAATCATATATGAGTTTTATTAAAAAAAAACAAAACAATAAAGAGTGTGTGCAGTCATCCATGATTTCTGGGTAGATGGGGGCGCTAAATATTGCAATTTTAAAAAGAATGTGGGCGGCATTCAACAACGCCAAGTTAAAACAAAATTTTATTGATGAACATTTTCTAATTTCCTTCAACTATATGAATAAACGCATGACACATTGAATTTCACCATTCCCATTTTCTAATGATCTCACTGAATCCAATATATTGATCCAACGTTTGGAGCAAATTCTGGTGAGTATCAACGTGCAAAATTGTGAAAACTTGTCGTTTTTAAATAAAAACCATTCTTTTCTCAGAGCATTACTCAAATGTCAAATTAATGCACTTTCTGTCGATGGTTTTCCAAAAATTGAATGTATAATGCGTTTTCTCATAAAAATGTAATGCAAAGCAGGCGTTCCACAAACTAGCTTCTCAATAACCAACACTTCACGTTTTACACGAAAAGCGCAAGAAAATTTTAGCATAGTCTAAAAAACAACGTTAAGAATTTGGTGGATATATTTTATTGTGTGCAGAATCAATAACACAGTTAAAATACGGTGTCATTGAAGCTTTTGTTCAGCACAGGTGCAAAAACCAATAAGTTGCAATGCTAAATTACTCAATAGCGCAGATTAAGAAGTCGAATTTTACGTGCTACATGTAAACTTAATTTATGGATATAATGTTCTTAGATTTGTTAACAAACAATTTATTTCAAATTTTTGATATCAATATCATAATTAAGTTTTTTTTTGAGAACGACTAAAAAATATTCAATTTGCAAGATTCATCGGTTTACATTTCTTAAAAATATTCCTCCAATTGTTCAGAAGTTCTGATACGATTTATCAAAGACTCTGTTCCATCCAACGAAATAAATTTTATTTATTTTTCATTTTTGGCAACTCGCTTTTCCGTAGACAGTTGCATTCGAAAACCAAAAGATAATTTGCCGATGTGATTCATAGTATCACTTTTCAATTCAGCGCAATTATACTCTAATTTTGGGAACTCGTTAATGTTTGCGCAATCATCGTGTAATGTTTAAACGAATTGCTTGTTTTCGGCAAATTGAATAAAAAATTCAATGAATTTCAAAGTAAAGGTTGTTTTGCAACAGCTTTAGAGTAGTTTTAGTAATTGGTCATTTTATAATTATTCATAAGTAGTCGTTCATAACCCCCGGTAAAATTTTATTACTAAGTAAGATGCGTCACTTGAGTCAAGAGAATAACCTTATTAGAAGAGCATATTCACTTGCAACAAGAAAGCAAGAATCTAGTATCCGTCCCTCTTTTTTCATTTTTTCGATATGTTTTTAAAGTATGTTTTATTTCTCAAATAATTTTTTTAACTGTGGTCAAAATAATAATTATAAAATGATTGTATTGTTTCTTGGAAATTTCATTTTTTTTGAATATCATAGAGTCAAGTAGTTAAATGAATGCGCGCACAACTGTGCAAACTGCCAACTCAACTAGAAATTATTGGACTACAAAGATTTTATGCAAGCTTTTATGATTTTTTATACATTCGATTTCATAATTATTTGCATCGGTTGTTGCCTTCTGAATCTGATGTCACGTGCAGTTTACTTTTCTTTATATTAAAAAACAAAATTTTTCGTCAGAGCAGGTGAATTCAAAAGTCATGTCACATTTAATTTTACTCTTTTCGATCATTTGACGCATTTAGGCGCCTGTCAAATATTAGCACCAATATTGGACTAAACGCCATTTAAAGCGGCGGCTTCGGAATTGATGAAATTTAGGATTTTATGTGCTTGTGTGTAATATCGTTGTCTCCTGGAATTGTCGCCTTCGTATTCGAATTCATTTGTTCTCTTCAACTATTCGAAACTCATACTAGTCGTATAACATAACGCTAGAATTGTGACGTTTTTCATTTGGCTTTCCCACTTATTTCGTTGCCAATTAAACAGCATTTGTTGTTTAACGCTACGAATATTTTAAGATTGTCTCATAGCCTCTTTCGTTTTATTGGTTTTTCATTAAGCAGACATTTATATTATTTCTATTTTTATTTTTTCTCCTCATTTTCTCAAAATCCGTAAGAAATCCAAAATCTTGTAATGCCGGTTTTCTAAGCAAAAATTATAGCAAAGGGCTCACTTCGAGAGGCTTAATGATGAGAAAATTCTTGTCGTCACAGAGCTAAACTTTAATCATATAAATTTTTTGATATTCCACTAAAAACATAGCATTCTGAATATTTGAAATAACAGAAGTATGCTGCTTGAATTTAACTTTTGGGTTCGAAATTTTGTTTGATATTTCCATGGCGTTGGAGTATTTTCTCTATTGTTCTTTTTTTTTGAAAATTCTTCAAAATTTCAGACCAATTTGTGAAGAAAAAACAATTCATAAAAAGCACAAAATATTGCGTGGTTTTTCCCTAACAATATAGAAGGGCTTTAAATATACTTCTTTTTAGTAAATAACTGTTTTTAAAGCAAGTAATTTAAATTTATATTACACTTGAAATTGCTAGAATTTTTTAATAGTTTTCTCAGTTTTTCAGCAACTCCTTTATTTATGCAAAAATGGAAGAGGAAAAAGGTTTGTTAACTCAATTTCACCAAGTTTTTGTTTTTCACTTTCGGCTAATTATTTAGCAATTTGTTCAAAAGTGCCCAGTTACACGGTTATTTTCGTGGATTGTTGATCAGTAACCATGCTGTTAAAAAATAAGCAGTTTTTCGAATGCATGAACATCACCTGCCTAGAATTGCAAGCTGAAAGTAGACCCGACTTTCATTTTAAACTACCTATTTCAAACCAGCGAGCATGCCCATTGAAATGACGTGTATTCAATGAATTTTTTGAATTCAATGGTGTGCATCTCTGTCCTTTGCAGATTTATTTATCTTTCAAATCATGCGTTATAAACCATTCACCGTCGAATGTCGTTCATTTATCGGTGCCTGCTTCCAATATGTTCGATGTCTTTTTTTTTCAAGAAGTTGGTTGAAGAAGGGTTGAAGAGTTTCTACATTTTTCAAGGCCAAAGTCGCGAAGAAAATAAATTATACAAAAAACGCTTGATTTACTAAATTTCAGATAACCGGTGAACTTTTAAACGTTATTTTTTTCGCTAAATTTTGCTGACGTGATATTAACAAAAAATCATATCTTTATTATAGAAATAAGAATCCGACCATTCCCAGAAAACAAAGAAAGACCTCATAATAAAGAAACCAGTGTTCCATTTGCCTCAAAAATTTTTATTTGTCTTACTAAAAATTCTAGAAATGTGAAATTTTTTATTATCCGTCCTCGTTGATTCAGTTAGCATATAATTGTTCTTCTCTAGACGGTGTTCTAGCCAAAAAAAATATTATTTGGTTCACCTTTTGTTGAAGTTTTTTTTATTCAATTCCACTGACCGACACAATATATTATTAATCGAAATATAAGCCATTTCAATCCGGAATTTTTCGATTCCTGCGTCTTAGATTTTCCCTCTTAGATTTTCTCGTAAATCGATGTGACCTGCAGAATCATGCAATTCTCTTCAGCTTGACGCCGTGGAATTTATGTTTGTTTTGTCAATTCATCTCTCGATGCCTTCTTTCATCACAAATGAATAGGAGTGAAATCATAAAATTGCTCCATTGATTTTCTTCTAGACGAATTCATTTTCCGTAGTCATTTTACCTCTTCTGTTAGATATCCTTGTGTTGAAGCTTAAAAATAATGCGATTCTTGTTCAGGGTAGACTATGCGCAACTGGCTGCGGAGCATTTTCTTCGTGTTTTTCCTGCTTGTCGTTTCAGCCTCAGCGCTTCCATCAGATTACGTACGTTTTCTGATTCAATGTAAGTTTGCAAACCAGAAGTTCACTTATCACTGGCTCAATTTTTCTGCAGCGGCAAGGCAAAATGACGATAGCTACTACCCAAATAATGTTGGTGATTCAGCTTTTTTGCGTGTTAATCGGAATCAGGTAGCCGAAACTCAACCCTAACTTATATTATTAAACGCTATAATTTAGGGTGTTGGATCCGTGAGTCTTGATTCACTCGCCTCATTACCAATGTTACGATATGGATAAACTGTTAATTAAAAGGCAACGCCAATGAAGACCAGACTGCATTCACACTCAAACCAATTGTAACCGATTTGTATATGTATTAAACACCATTCAGAATTTAATTGTCATCCCAACACCGTAATCAATTCTGCCTGACAACTCGCGTTCCTCTCATATTTTCTAGTTTACATAAATCTCAATTCAATGTTATTCGACTTTTAAGATTGTTGAACGCACCAGCAGAAATAACAAGCAAGCTGTCTGTTGCTTGAATAATTGCTTGAACACCTTGGGCAAATAAAGTTGCATAATTAGTTCCTGATTTGTATATAGATATATACAATTTTGGCATTAGTAGGAAAAAATAGAAGGCGAAAAATTCAAATTTATGGTAATCATGCCATTTTCGTTGCAGAGAATTATTTATTTTGAGGATTGAACAAGTCTGCCTAATTCACTGGAACCCATATTTTTTTAGTCATTAAAAAATTAATCAAAACAAACGCAAATAAGAAACAGCGACAACAATGGTTAGCATAATTGAAAATGGTGACGCTGATTTTTCATTATCAACTGGTCGTTTTGTTGTGTTGCTGTATAGATCATCCCGGGCTCCCAATTGTTTAAGAATTTGCACGACGGCGGATGTATAAGACCCTGAAATCAATGAAAATTGTATACATTCAAAATTAAAATAATGTATATTATGTATCGTAAAATTTGTAAAACGGGAACGATCACGTTTAAATGTTTCCTTGTTAAATTACTTAGTTGATCTGATGTTTTTCATCACACATAATTTTTCTATAATTATTTTGCCTAATTAAGAAATCTTTAATCTTTAAAAAATACTCAAAATGCTCATATGCAACAACTAGTTGCTCCTAGCATTGCTAAAAATATGGTTTAATGCTAACCAGTTTTAAACAGCTCATCGGTTGATGCGATCACTGCTTGCGCCTTGTCGTCGCCTGAAATTCGATTTTTTTAATATTATAACGAGATAACTCCACGAACTAATTGGCGATCTGCTGTCGAATGATGCGTACAAATTTCGATCGTTTACCGAAAGAACAAGTATTCCGTTTCGCCCGCATTGTCTGTCCATCTCCCATTTTTCTCTCAAATGCTTCGCGAATTCTGGACTCGCCTAAGCAATGTTCGATAATTGGAATTCAACTAACATGAAGTAAATTCACTTCCTGCACTATTACAAAAATGACATCAGTTCCTTTTCTGGTGCAAAAAGTGTTTCCACCTTCTTCGGTTGTTTTTGAAAACTTTGTGAGCTCTGCATTAATACGATAACGCTCGCTTTCTGTGAGAGTCTAGAGTAAAAAAATTAAAAATGTGGTCGGATAAGCTGAAATGAGTATAATACCTCTTCTGGATCACAAACATTGCTTGCGGATCGCATTTTGCATTCTTTGAATCCACCTCTTCTTGGATTTGGGTAGTTATCAGGGGTGTATTCAGCTTGTGCATATACCGCAATGATAAATACCACAAACGGGAGCAAAGCTTGCATCCTTTAAAAATTGTGCGAAAATGATCTGATTATAAAAGAAACGGTCAATATAAATATATATCGGCAAATTGTTGCAAGCCATTGAAAGGAATTGTATACATTACGACCGGAATGGAAAAAAAATGCGCATAATACCTGCACTCCATCATCATTGTTTGAATAAGAGGCCATCGTAAGAATATAAATCGAAATTTACGCAAGCCCAATGATAAAAATGAACGAGAAACAATAAGGAAGAATTGATAAATGATCCGATCGACCACCGAATATATCCTGTTCACACTATCTATGCACGTACTTCGTTTTGTTCGTTTTTTCGATTAACGAAAACCAAATAGGAGATATAGTTGTAGAAGAGAAATATAGGCGGCAGTGTTCAATGATTTAATTGATCGGTTAGTGTGAGAGAATACGTTGGAAAACGGTTTCGTGTAACAAAATTTACGAGAATCAGACGAAAAACTGTTATTGAAAGAAGCGAATCATTGCTTTTTAAGTTCAGTTCGTCATGATTTTTTTTTGGTTTAATTCATGTGATGAAACATGAATAGATGTGAGAAACGATCTTGGTTGATCAAAACTTTCGAGCTAAGAGTGTCAAAGTCACGCAAAACCTTATGGGCGTGGCTCGTTGATTAAAAAAATTAGGCAAATCCAAACACACTGTAGTACAAATAATGAAAAATGAGGAAATGTGGAAACGATTACAATTTATCAGATTGTGTGATCTCGCGTTTGAAAATGAATTTAATTGGGTAGAATTTTTCACGCTTTTTTTCTATTTTTGAAAAAAAAATACATTAAATAACTTCCCGTTCTTCTCTTAAATATTTCAAAGAAACTTGACAATTAAAATATTTTACAACTATTACTAAAAAAAGGTTTTGAAAAATACTTTACAGATAATTTAACGTTCTTTCAAAAATAGTATATTTAAAAAAGTCCAAAAGATTTATGATTGATTATAAAATTTCAAATTCATTTGATTAGTTAAAACTGAAAAATTGTCCAAACTTGTAAATATACAAGTTTCTTTTGAATTCCTCGCACTTTACAGATTAGGTCAATCTAACGTGTCGACGGGATTCAAAAAAATGGTTAAAATTCGTTTTCTCGGGTTACATTCTGTGTTCTGTTTGCTTGACATGTTCGTCAGTCGTCCTCTATTCACATCGACAGGCTAATCGGTTTGTCAAATATTTTTCATCTCTTTAGTACAAATGTTAGGTGCTCAATTTATTCACTGTTTCATTTTCAAAGTGCATAAGAGTATGATAATACGATGAATATGTACAGAGCACCGCTTTATAAATGGTGATGGACAATAAATTTGGCTACGATTGAACTCAAGAAATACAAGAAAAATGCAAGAGATCAAACATATGGAAGTGTACAAATGTTCTGAAATAAACAGATTCAATTAAAAAAGAAAGATTTGGCGGTGACAATAATGACTATCAAAAAATTAACACTATTTTCGACTCAATGCAATTTTAGACCTGTATTTCTTCCAATGTGGGCGCTTGCGTTGTTGACATGCTGTTGCCTCTGAAATTCGAAAATTGTTTGATTGATTGTTGACCGAATTCCGGATGACTTGAAAAAATATTGGAATAAAATACTTACACTAACCTGCTGTTCTGCATTGCCAATGCAGCGCGGCCGTGCCTTGGGCAGGTTGGCGAGATTGTTGGCGGACGCATACTTGTCGAGTTTTTGTGTGACGCTGCTAGCAGCGGCTCCTGAATAAGCGATACTTGAGAATAGTTTTTTTTTTGCAATATATGGATCGAATGACTGTGCAAACAGGATGTCAAGGTTGAAGAAGGAATCATTTGGATCCAATTACAGAATTCGTAGGAAATGTAATTTTTGACCCCAAAAATGATCTGTAAATTAGTCTCTTCAAGAATATAGTAAAGTGTTTACCCAAATAAGTATTTTAAAAATAACTAAAAAAACCCTCAAAATCAAGGACCAAATGAAGTATAAAGATTAATATACCATTTCTCTGAAACAATATTTATCTACCTTTGATAGAATTTCGAGTCCGTTTTTTTTAAATATAAATGTTGACTAACTTTTTTTCTGGTCCTTTTTGCGTTGGTCTAATTTTTAACAACTTTAAAATATTAAATTGGAATACATTCTAGAATATTTGTTATGAAAAAAAAATAAATTTTTGTATAATTCACTGCCTGCGGCAGTTGCGCCGTTAGATAATGCATTGAATTCATACAAGTTCAAAGGCACGCATTACGTTCATTAAATTGATGTTATCAACATTTTCAAACAGCAAAATGCGCATTCCATTATGGTTAAAATAAAAAAAAATGAAAATGGGTAAACGGACATGCCTGCTCTTGAAACGATCTCCTTGGCATAGTTGGTGTCCCATGAAGAATTGACGTCCCATTTGACAACCGATGTCGATCAAAGACGTCATCGTGATTTGAATGACCCATTGAAGTCAATGGTGGCGGAGGTGGCGGCATTAGCGATAACTAATTTTGCGAAAAGGTTTAAAATAAACAACAAAGAAATAAGCGCAATTTCAATAATCATGCACAAAAAATTTAATCCAAATTAATAAAAAGCAGCTTACTGGTGAATTCAAGCTGTTATATTGCTCCGGAATTGCCCCATGATTAGAGTTGTAGGTCTGATATTGCAGTTGGAACTTTTTTTCATTTCGTCTTCTTTTCAAACACTGTAAACATTAAAAGCTAGCCATTAATCATGTTAAAAGCTTATTGAATGCTTGTCACGACAACTAACCGCCCGCTGAACTGCGATAAGAATACAAATGTTCAAGAGTAGGAAAGCGCATCCAACTAGTATTGTGATTGCTAATGCACTCCCATTGTAATTTCCAGAATGGACTTTTTCGTGATCAGAGGGGTTTGCAGTAGCTGATGGTGCTTTCGCTATAAAAATGTAAATTATATTAGAAAGATTTTGTGTTTCTACTGGTTTTTGGTTTATTTGTCACTTCCGGTGGTGGCGAAGGGGGCATCGGTGGGGGAGGGAATGGCATATTTGCAAATGTGGAAAATTGGCGTACTTTTCCAAAATATGAATCCTTTCTAAAATGATCATTGAGCAGATGATGCTCCTAAAAATCACACTTTTGATAGTTTTGTACTGAAAAAATTAACCTCTGGAACATCTTCGGTATCTCTTCCTTTTCTGTGTATTTGAGGAACAAAGCTTGTCCAAAAACCAACTTGAGCATTTCGATAGTAATTTTTGACGCGTGGGCGATCCGCTACAAAACAATTCATATAGAAATAATTGCAATAATTCTGTCTTACTTATTTCTAAGTAAGCTTCTCGATTTGGTTGATCAAATTGTGGCCACGCAGTAGAATGAAAACTTTCACCCATAGGAAAATTTTTGGCCATTGATTGAGGTTTTGATGGGTCACCAGATTTCACAAAGTTTGAGATGTAATGCATCATTACTTTGGAAATTCCTTTATCATCAGAATTAAAACCAGAATATAGCTGAAAATCGATTGCATGTTTTCAATAAAAAGAAGAAATAACCATGTTGTCGTTATTTCCTTGGAATAGAGGGTAACCAAAAATGTAAGGAACAATGTCACCAGATAACGAGCCTCGAATTCCATTATTCGGTTGTTCTTGCATCCATGATCTAGTCTCGTGAGCAAAAGCAAACCTAATATTCAACTGCTTAACATGAAATTATTTTTAATTCAATACATAAATGTGTTGGATTCTCTGCGCGAATCTTCTCCGCTATGCATTCGAAGAGTCTCAACTAATGGTGCTGTGAACAGAACATCACTCAATGCATTAATAACCCCATTCCGAATTGATTTTGGATGATCTCTTGGATTATCCCAGTCCGTGTATTCGTTTATAATTGCGGCAAGAATTTCTTCCCTATGGTAGTCATACAAATTGCGAACTAGTGATCTGAAAACTTTTTTTATTTGTAATTTCATCGTTTTTCTTAAAAACCTGAAGACTTTCATTCTTTTATCTTTCGAAATTCCCATTTTCAAATCATCGTTTGAAATCATTCGGTGAGCGGGATTCGAACTGATTCCAACCAATAAATCTATTTCACGAAACAAACTTCCAAACTGAGCCGAAAAAGAGATTTGTGGTTTATTAGGAATCAGCTGAAACCTAGTTCGTTTCGGAAATTAAAAAAAAAAACAAACTTGTCCGTCAACAATTGGTGCAAAGCCAGAAAGAAACGTTGGGACATCAATTTTCTGTACAGCTTTTGTGATGTTTTCAGATGAATGCACTTGCATGCATCGCACAATTGTATCAACGTTGTCATTGAATGTCGATGACTTATTCGAAGGGGCACACTGTAATTATCTATTAGTTTCAATTGCGTAATTGCGCATCATTACTTCTAACTGTTGAGCAAGTTGCATAAAGTATTGTTGAGGATTTTGGGAAATGGCCCATGGCGAAAGAGCTGTTCCGTCCAGCAAAATCGCCCTTCTGAAGAGCCTCCTTCCTGGTTGAGTTAATGGAGAAGCCATTAACAAGGAAACCAAAGCTCCACCCGAACCCCATCCTAAAGAATTTGAATCTTACTGGAATTTTACCATCAATCTTACCAGCTAATGTAACTGATTTTGGATCGCCTCCAAAAGATGGAAGAATAACATTGAGCATAGTTAAAGAAGAAACCAAATCGCTAATACCACTATTACCAGCGCACGAAGAAGTTTCACATCTACCCATAAATCCTACAATGAAGTGAGATCGAAAAATGAATCACTTTAAAAATGATTACCAAAAACGCCTAATCTATAATTGAGCGTTACAACTATAATGTGACCGTATGCAGCAAGAGTACTTCCATTAAATGCGTTTCCAGCTCCCCAACCATATTCATCCCCGTGAACTACAACCATCACAGGAAGCAAGTTTTCCCGTTGGGAACTTTCTTAAGAAAGAAAATATCTCGATCAAATTCAATTTTGGATTTTTTCGTTTACCCAATCGCTCTGGAACATAGATATTCATAAATAAACAATCTTCAGATTGTTTTTTGAGAAATGGAAGAACACGATGAGTGAAATCAAATCGTTGTGCCGATGTATGTTTGAAAGCTCTAAATACATATGATAGAAATAATATTGTTTGTGTTTTCCATGAATAGTTACTTCGTTTCGCTGAGCTTGGGCAAATCTGTCTGAATACAAACGAGTGGCAATTTTCGAGCATCTTTTGGCATATGAGTCCATTTCGCCGCCGAAATCGCCATGTTGAACCGATACTGAAAATTTCATTTTTGCGATGCATGTTCGGCGTTATTTCTATCTTTCCAAAAATCTTCTGAACTTCAAAGAAGAGAATGAAAAACATGATCAATCAAAGAATTCCCAAGGCGTGCTTCAGACAGAAATCATTGGACAATGAAATTTGAACTTTGTGACACATACCTGACCAGTAGGAGCGACGCCATAAGGAATTCCGAGGTATTGGGCAACTGGAGGAAGATCTTCACCTTCAGGTATAATTGTTTCACCCTTGACCATACCCCATGGTGTAGTAACTGTTCTCACATCGGTCCTTTAAATAGTACATAGCAATGTTTTTGCTCATGAAATTTAATCTACCTGACAAGAATGAATAGCTTGATGAATAACAGATAGCGTAATTTCATTCCGACGTGAGACCTTTTCTCATTTTTTACTGATCCCACTGATAATCTGAAAAAGAATAAACGTTTCGGTGCGAGAAGCAAGTTTAAACTAAAATTGAAGAAGGGTTGAGTTACCAAATAGAGTTTAGAGTAAGTCGCTCGACAGAAACAAAAAAGTGAAGGGAAAAGTTGGAAATAATTGTGTCCACAATTCGAAAAGTTTAAGCCAAACTAATTTACCGAATTTCAATATCAGTTTACATTTTCTGTTGTGGTGTTTAAAATTAAGGAAGAGAAAAGAGATAGATTCAAATAAAAACAACAATATCGAAAAAAAAGGCCAGGAGATGCAATTGAAATTGGAAAGAGGATCTTTAATTCTTTTTTTTTACAAAGAAAATGGGTTCTTGGAAGAAATCTTGATTAAGACAACAACAGCAAAATAATAAAGACATCGCTGGTTTGCCTTTGGTGGGAGATTGAATAATTGCAGAGGGTGATTTGTTAAGCAGCTTTGGTTGTGAGAAGTGCATCAAAATTATGCAAATTCGTCAACACGCTTCCTTCGCGACTTTCTGGCCGCCGTTTTGACGTCGCGCGTGCGAGCTACAGAAATATGTGGCCGACGAAATTCCTTGGAACCAAATTGGCAGAAATGAAGAGATTCGGCTCGACGAATTGACACAAGCAATACTCTAAAAGCTTCAAGAAATGATGACACAACGCGTTTTCTCGAGGTGTTGAATCGAATTAAGTCTATTTGTTGTAGATTTCGAAAATGGACATGAGGGTTTTCAAGATACTACCCAAATAGTGCTCGTCTTCTCTTTGCTCTTCGCAACGACAATGCAGTTAGTAGGCGATAAAATGTATCCCTTGGGGGACGAGTAGCAATGGGCCGAGTGGTTCCTCCCGAATGCTTAGGTAGACAAATGAAAAACGAATTCTGCGCTTCAGAAAAATGCACAATGTTCACCAGAGATTTGTTCGCCCGGAAATTGGCTTGATTTATATGAAAGCATCTGGAGCTCCTGGAATATTATCTAGCAGTGGAATATTTATGATGATTAGGGAATTCTTGATTAGCTTTTTTGTGATGAAGATTGAGCTTCGCAACGAAGAAGATTGAGTTTTCGCAAAACCAGAACGTCAAAGAATTTGTATAGAGAACTTTAAAGAACTAACAATTGCCCTAACATTAAGTTCAAAAAAAGCGAAGTGGGTAGGAATTGAAGAGTTGAAGGGGGACCTCAACGTCTCCGCCTTTCAATGGCCGAGTAATCAAATTTTTGAGGTTATTCGCAAAATCGGCAACAACTTTTGCTATGTCTCCGAAATCTGTTGATGTGACCAATTGGCAACATTTTTGTCAGTTTTTTTTCGACTCGGCATTTTCAGCACGAACGTGTCTTTGACGCAAAAATGGAAGAAATTTGAGAGGAATACAAATAGGGTAGTATATTGAAAGTGCGGGGTGTTTATTAAGAGAATGATGAGGAGGGAACGATCAGGAAAACGAAACCCGCAGTGTCATTTCGCTCAAAAATTTTTTTGTCGTGAATAATTGATATCAAGTCAATGACAAGACGAAAGAAGTCGGATTTAAGGTAGTTTAATGTATATACATATATAAATGTATTCACATACGTAGTTTACCTTGAAAGCAATATCCTGAGTTATTCAAATTTTGAATATACCGCTATTGTATTGTTTTCAGAACGTAGTAAAGAAAAAACGCAAAATATTTTGACGACCAAAAATTGGGCAAGTGGGCAATGATGATTACAAACGTCGGTGAAGGCTTCGACCAATTTGCGAGAACACATCAGCGTAATTTAGTAAGAAAGGGGCTCTTCGTCGCAAATTGGAAGAGAGTTTTTCATTTTCGTCGTTCGAGATTGCTCATTATAAGGAAGGTATTCGCGTTTAGCCGGAAAAAATGTCAACGCAGTTAACTGATTATTTTTGCTCGTCCAAATGAATTCGACGTGATTGTTTTGAAATCGAATTAAGACAAGAAGATGGTTATTTCGAAAAGAATAGAACGAAACAAAGCGCATTGAATGACGTTCATCATAAATTTTTGACTGGTCCCTAGAGTAATAACGATATATATCGATAAAAATGGGAAATTTCCTTAAAATATTTAACACATCTTGTTGATCGCAATAAAGAGAATTTATAATTTATACGAATAGCATGGCAACAGAATTGAAACTAAGATCGACGAAAAAAAATAACGCAACAAAATAAGCAGTTGCAGACAAAAACTATTTGGAAACAAAACTCGACAAAATGTGAATGAGTTTCTGGATATGGCAGTCCCTTGGTTTGTCAACTGATTTAAAATACGAGGCAAATGCTGACAAGCGTCGAAATGTGAAAACATCGAGCTAATAATTTCAATCTTTGAATATATAGTTGAAGAGAAGAAGGAAAAATTGAGCTTTCTTTTTGTTCGTCTTGTCTATAAAATTTTGATGATCGTTTCCACACAGGTGCTTGAATGCGAATCTCCAACGCGATATTACGCCGTTTTATTGGCATCGCAAGAATAAAAGGTTATGAGAAATGATGAGTTGAATTCTCGTCACTTGTTTTTATTGGCTTTTCGCTCTTATTGAGCGAAAAAAGGAATGAAGCTTTTTTTTTTGAAAATTTGAAGCTAATTCGTAACGATAGTGCAACATTATTCTAGAAATGTTTGATGTCTCATGTTTTTAAGCTCGACGAATATATGCTTCACTTGTATATATATATTTTTTTTTTTGCAAAGTAGTACATATGAAAAAATGCCTTGGTAGTGGCACGAATGGATAAGAACACGGGATAGTTGGTAAAGTTGTAATTAGAACATATGATTGATGGATAGTTTACATATGGGAGGAACGTTTTTTGAGCTGGAAGGACAACTGTGTTAATGTATTATAATCTGTTGATGACAATTCAACCGATATTCGAGGGTTTTATTTAAACGAGGCGTTGCAAAAAGTATTTCAAAAGGAAAATAAAACTTGTTTTTAAACAATTACATTGGATTAAAAATAAAATATGTTAAAAGCTTAATTTATGTGTAAAAAGCGAGCGAATTGTTGACCAAGAAAATGTTTTGTGTGGATAAGTGATAACAAGAGCAGGGGATATGAATTACATGGGTGAGGGATTACGCTCAATATACTTGGAAAGATGGAGGGAAGTGCTCAATACCCGGGAGCACACGGGAAAACCACTTGAGCCCGCTACATCTCTGCATCTATCTCTACAAATCATCGAGTCAGCGAATCTGCACAGCTTCAACATGTGCTCGAAATCTAGCCACAAAAAAATCAAAAAATGATATCAAATAGCGAGAAAAAGGATACATTTTCTTCCCCACCTTTCAAGCAACGAAACCGCATAAAAGGTATTCTTGAAAAATAGAAACTCACTTTCCCACAAGTTATTTTTCATTGGGAATGGAAAAACGTTTTGGACATTCCAGACTTTCGCGAAATTTTTCGAAACTACGAGAACAACAAGAAGTGCTCTCGAGCTGGCGCTAGAAATATACAGAAGCTAAAAAATCTGTCAGAAACACTTGTAAAATTGATGATAACACCGCGGCTGGCTGTTGACGTAATCGGTACACATCAGGTGCCGGACTCGCCGTTTGACTAACAACTGTTATATCGACTGGATAACGCCATCGACTTATGATGCACGATGGATCGTTTCGAACTAATCGTTCGCTTTTTATTTGATGGAGTTTCACGTTCGCCAATAATTGTGCAGCTACCAATAGGCAGAGGGGGACACAGAAGGCTTGAGGATCAATAACCTATTACGATTTTTAAAAATATATATTATATATATTATTCAGAAAGCAACAATTTGTTTTTATTGTTACTTGTTGTTTTGATGAACAGCGTGGATTTTATTTACATATATTGAATTCTTTTGAGTCCGTTTTCAGTAGACGTTACAGCATTTGAAAAATCAATCCACATGTTTTGTTTTTTCTTGGGTGATGGGATATGTAATTGTATTTAAAATTTAGCAACTTCCGTCTAAAAATAAAAAGTAAATTTAACGAAATAATTGATGCAAAAAAGAACTGAACAATAAGAACAATATATGAAATAAATCAATTATGGGAAAATCTCAGAAATTTTATATTCCCAAAAAAAATTAGTGCATTTCAACGTTTGAGAACAATAGATGGGCATTACTCTTCATTTGTCAGAAAGTTTTAATGAAATTTGATTAATTTCAGAGTTCTTCAATATTCTGCTAACAAGCTTATCATTTAATTTCGAATATTATTTGTTTTATGATGTCAGATTTTCTTGACCAAACCTATTTTAGCAACAATTATATCGATAAAATTAATATGACGTTCACAGAACATATAAATATATAAAAAAAATTAATTTTTGGAAAATATCAAACGCCTGAGTGATTGTAATATTTCGGAGTAGTTTTTTTAACCATTGTTTTATGCCATCTGTATTTCTATTTACATCATGAGATAATTGTGAATACTTCAAATCAGCTATCTCCTATTATCTATTTTATAAGCAGTTTCGAAATTCAAAAATTTGGTTTGAGATTCTAATCAGAATTTCTAGTAGAACTTCCACTATCATTAACAACACGTAAGTGAAGTAAATATATTTATTATCTATTTTTTCTAATTGAATTTGCGAAAAAATGCGCCGATTTATTTATTTTGTTAATTATATTATTTAAATGTCGGATAGATGTAAGGTCACATTCATGTTTTTTGTGAGAAAAATTTTTGTGACATTTTCGCACCACCCGTACATACAAAATATTTTTTCAATGCCATTAGTCGTAGAATTGTTTGGCAATACTGCACCTGCTATTATATTACGTAGGTATACGCGTTAATCAATAAAAATGTATATACCATTTTTTTAAAGTAATATTCATTAAGATGAAACAATTTTCGCAAAATTAATATCAGTATAATACATTTTCAACAAATTTTGCGTTTCTGTCAGACATTCTTCTGATAGTTTTGTTCATGGTGTTTTTAGACAGTTCCCTTCGTTTGCGAGCCGTGTCGACAACGCGCGCTCTCCCTCTCTAACTCTCTCGTTTCAGCGTTATGTTTCGTGCTAGTCGATACTCGCGCGCTCATTCGTTTTTTTTTTCGTTAAGATGAGATAAAAAGGGTCATCGCTTATACACTAATCCTATTACTGTTTCTAAGTTTTGTGTGACATATAAACGTGAAAATTTTTCAATGTTTCAAATTATTCTTTTCTTTTTTTTAAATTTACGTTTAACTTAACTTTTAATTGATCATATGCGCATCTTTCATCAGCTCTGAAATATAATGTACCCCACCCTATTCAAATTACTCAAAATAAATAAATAATGTTGTTTTCCTTTCCCGTTAAATGAAATAATTTCAGTTTGTTTCTCACTACAAATGAACGGAAGAAATGAGGTACGTGAACGTTTATCAATTATTATTTGAAAATTATTCTAAAATCAATTTGAATTATTGTTTTGGAAACGTGTGAATTAATCAGTTGACGTAATTAAATAAAATTTGAAACAGAACGGAAATTTTATAAATAATTCCAACGTTAAAAACATCTGTTGCAAGCTGAAATCTTTATATTTCTTCATATTGGCAGCTATTTAGAATAGTTTCTGTTTTCAATTTTTAACACTACCTAGAATATTTGTTTTGTGAAACATTTCCCACAATATTGTGCCTACAATATGATATTGAGATATCCGTTTTCAGACGCCACCTATATTGGAACGAGAAGATTATGGTGGTGATGATACGAGGTCTCCACCAGATTCGCCTATGCAAAACGTTAATGGTTATACTTCAAACGGTCACATGAATGGTGTACACGTGAACGGAGTAAACGGAAGAAACAGAGTTAATGGCGGCCTAAATAGAAACGGTGTTCATATGAATGGTGTTGCGAATCGGATTGCTCGTCGAGACGAAAATAATCGTGTTGTCCGTAGAGAGGGGGACGAAGATTATTTCGGAGAATTCGATGATAACCTAAAAAGTGAAGCTGATAGGGATGAAGATGATGGAGATGAAGGTGATGATGAAGAAGAAGATAATTCTTGTGACGACGAGACGGAAGTGATGGATGAGGAGATGGATTTCAACGAATATGAGCATGATCTCATGAAGGAATTACAAATGGACAGAAGTCAAAAATCAGAAGCAAATGAGGTGAGTTCTCTTCAATTAATTATAGCGCAATTTTTATTTCAGACTGTAAACGAAGTAGAAGATGATAATTCTGTGTCTTCGGGTAGAGAATCAGATGAAGCATTGTGGCAGATGATGAAAGCTGATATTAAGTACAAATATCATCCGAGAAGGCCGAAATGGGTATATATTATTGAATATATTTCAATTTCTGTAAACGAAAAATTTGTAGAAAAACTATGATCTCACAGAATCACGCATCAAAACATTAAAGGAGATTTATAAATGTGCAGTTTGCGATGATATTGTATATCGTAATATAGTTTTCCTAGTACGTTCAGAAACGCAATACATGAGTTTCTTAATTTAAATTCCAGCAATGCAATCACATTTTTTGCTGTACATGTGTCAACGGAACTGAAACGTTTTGTCCACGCTGTATTCTTCCAATTCGTATTGCATTTCATGATCCAGAAATAGAAAAAGATTTAAATGAGGTAAAAACTATACTATGGTGATAATTTATGCAATAATTTCAGTTCCAATTGCATCAATATCGAATAAAAAAAATTGAAAGCGCTGAGAAGATCCAGAAAAATGCATTTTTAGAACGAAACTTTAAGGACGAAGCTCAAAATGAAGGAGAATTTTATGAGCACCATGAATCATGGGCAGCTGTTGTTCCCCATTTTGAAGACTTTATTTTGATTGGACGAGTGAGATTTAAAATAAAGTTAGTAATTTTTGAAATATTCCATTTTCAGCCGGGTCAAGTATCATTTGCTCAAAATTCAAAAGACTTCATGATCGACCCACCATCAGAAGAAGAAAACGATGGCAAGAATAATAATGAGAAATCTGATTCAATGAGTGGAAATACTGAAAGTCTCAAAGACGATAATTCATATATGTCACTCGATGATATGTCAAACAATGACCGATCAGTTCCTGAAACAAGATCACTCGACGATTTCAAATTAAGCGAAATGGAAAATTGCAGCACACGTGATCACTCAGTCACGATTTAATTTAAATTGTGTATGTGTAAATATTAATTTTTTAAAGTTGTACCATATTTTAATAATAGAGTTTGATAATATCTAATATATATATTTGTAATATATAATTAGATCAGTTTAATTTTATTATATATGTATATATTTTAAAGCGTTATCTATATGAATTGATGAACGGTTTGCAGTCTCTATACATAATTTATTGCTTTTGTTTTGCTGAGTAGCCGTTGCCCTCAATATACTACTTTAATTTGTCCCATATTTTTAGATTTCTCATTTAACTAATTTAGATGGCGGAAGAAGAAGAGGAGGTAACAATAAAAGAAGGGTCCACTATAACGATAACAAAACAACAGCGTGCATACTTACGAAAGAAGGGTTCACCTGTCATAGTCCGACCAAGGCAGATTCAATTGGATTTCATAAAGCGTAAAACATTTTATTTAGTGGTTCCAGAAGTAGCAAAGAGTAAGTATTCTTATCGGTATATTTACAAAATTTTAATTTTTCAGTAGGGCATATCGTAAAGTTAATTGAAAATTATCACAAACATGCTTATCAAGATCGCATAAAAGAAGTAGAAGTTGATATAACTGGAACGATATCAGTGAAATCTACAGAAAATCTAAAAATAAAAGTAAACATTTTTCCTTTCCTTGATTTATATGGGTTTTTCTTTCAGACGAAAAAAGGTAAAAATATTTCCAATGATTTTATAAACCAACCGGCTAGAATATTGTTAACCAGAAAGAAAAGTTATTTTGCTCCAGAATGGCGTCTACCTGATGTAAGGTTTTCAATTTTTTTTAAATCACATTAGATGTTTATAGGTTCGAGTTTCGCTGAAGTTAAAACCTACACAAACAATCGAACTTAGTTATGATTTAATTGCTACTGAACATGGTTCAAACTCCGCTTCCACGTCATCTGCTCATCAACAGAACCAGTCTATTGCCAAGAAAGAAAAACAGCCTACTACTTCGACTATTGACAGAAATAGGCGTTTTGATGAAGATGATGATGATGAGATTGATAAGCGATTCCAAAATCTTGATGCTCTTGAAACAGATAGCGAAGATGATGAAGAAATGAAACAGAAACCGAAAAGAATCCGAAAGTGATGTCATATTATTGTACGTGTTCCACTTTTATTATATACAATATCATTAAATGTGTAAAATTAATTTAAAATTTCGAAAACACGAGTTATTTTTTCAATAGAATTATTCAATTGCGAAACACATGTTTAGACAAATATTCTCTTCAAAACAGCAATGCTAATATTAATTTATCCAGAATAACAAAATGGTTTTCAAAATTAAATAGTGCCTAAGAAAACATTTTCTCATTTCCCAGCAATTATGAATTCTGTAAATCTTTCTTTGTATCAGGTTCTGTATTTTACCTATACTCATGTATATGTTCTTGTTTTATAGCCACATTTCATTTTTTCCGATTGTATATTTCTACGGGTTTATTGAAATCTTGAATTTGACTGCTTGTAGCTTTTAATTGTTTACTTTGATTCTCTTTTTTGCGTAATTCTTCATGCATGTAACCTTATTTATTAGAACAAAATAATGAATTATGCAATTAAATGCGGTGAACTAAACATTATACCACATGTGCTCACGCCAATGAAAATTGTAAATGTAATGAGACACATTCGGTCGACAACCATTGCTGCGAATTTCCAGTCGTTTGCTGCTTGTTCATCCTTAAAAATTTAAGATTTTCTTGCATTCAAAATTCTAGTTTTGTTACTCGCTCATCTTCTTCCATTCGCTTACGCATTACTTTTATTTGGGAGGATATATTTTTTAATTCAAGGCAAGCCTTCTGCATATATTTATTCAATTCTTGCATAACACCGTCGTCCGAAAATGAATCGTTCATGATTTTCGAAAACGTGAGTTGCGGTCCAACACTTCGCGTTAGCGGTGTCAGATGATTGTGATGAATGTGAATTTCTAAAAAAGGACATTGAAACAAGTTGATTTACATAGATTGTGACCTTCATCAAAGTCGAAAGACGTATCTTTCTTTGCAGCCTTGATTGTCTTCATTAAAGACAAACTATCGGATGGACGGACAAGGTCCGTTTTTGAAATCAAATTACTATTTTTTGCCGTTTCTTTACGAGCTTTTTCTTCGGCCTGCTGTGCTTTGATTAAGTTTCGATTAAAGACCGTTGTCCCAGGTCGCCTCATCATCAAGAACCAGGGAAACCAAATGAGAAGGAGCTCGCGGAGCTAAAAAAAATAGTTTCAATGGGAGTTCTAAATTAAACGAACGAATGGGCTCATCTCATGAGTTTCCGGTTTACGGTTGTGAAGGTTCAAAACGAGGACAGTGAAGACAACTGACGCTGACACAACTAACATGCAGCAAGAGAAAAACGCTCCTGGAATATTCAAAAAAGGCATGAGTTGTTGATAATGGGATACCTATCAGTGGAACAGCTTCCGAAGTTGGTGGTGTCATATCAGCTACCATACTCAAAAAGAAACAAACCGATAGAAGAATAGTAATCTCTGAAAATGTTGCTAGAATTTATATTGCTATATTCTGGCAAAACGCACCTAGTGTGATCTTTTCACCTGCATCAGGAGGTAAAGTAAATCCTAGAACCGTCATCAGTGATATAAGAAATGATGGAATAATTAAATTCAAGCCTTAAGTTTTCGTTTTTTATTAATTATTTTGTTTTAATTAACTCTACCATAATAAAGGGTTCTCCGTTGGATGACCAAATAGAAAAACAGTGATGGGTAAGGCTGTTCATCAAAAATGTTTGTTTCGTGTCTTGCTGGTACAGCTTGAACAAAATAACATTTGTTATAGAAAGTTTTCACTGATTTACCAAGCAAATTCCATTCTCCATTTTGCACATAATATTGAATATCAATCCCTTCTTCAGAAATGTTTTTGCCTTCTGGCCCATTGATTCGCAAATCGATAAAATTACCACTGTATGTCCATGATCCAAACTTCAAGTGAAAGTGTTTATTTTCAAATTTTCTTTGCAATCTATCTTTTTCCACTAGTTTTCAAACATGAAATAGCCTGAACCGCACGCCGAAAAAAAAGCGAAGTGGAATTCGGGACGAGATTAGTAGATGCAGTTTTCCGATAGGGGGGGTCCACCACGTATGAGATACTTTTGCGCGTTTTCGGGATTAGTTTGCATAGAAAGCATTAGTGAACTGCGGTTATGAATTCGATAAAAATACGCGCACATTGCATACTACGAAAAATGGATGTGTACGCTAAAAAAAGAACAAACCTTCAAGTGACACATCTGATCATCAAATGGAAAATATGTAATGTCAATTTTGCATGAAAGTTTCAGTATTCCAGGCGGAACTTGAAGTACATCACCAGTATAACTAACAACATAGTTAACTGGATATGTTGAATCAAAATTCTCATCAGCACTATAAATTGTATCAATTTAATTTTTACAATTATTTATTCCGTACCTGTTGTATAGCAAAACATCTGGTTTCCAAATGGCATTCGCATTACCCGGAATGCGAATATCTTTAATACTTCCATATTCAGAAGGATCCCATTTTAGTTTATAATCTGTCCATTGGTACTCTATCCAAGCAACTAGTGTTATTACTTGATTTTTTTCATCCTGTAGTAAGCGATTTCAATAATTGAGACATTCATTTAGTTGTTGTTTAAACGTTTCAGTGTTAAGACTGAAGAAGTTGTAAAATTGGGATTTTTTATATGCTATAAAAGGTTGCAGTAGGAGTAAGACTTGTCCCCAAAGCCCTTTCAAAACCTCGAACTGAGAGTTATCCGGATAATATAAAACTTACTACATCGAGGATTTGTTGCAAATAGATTTTCACAGAAACAACCAGAGGTTCGCTTGAGTTAGCAACTGGTCTTTCATATGGATCATAATTGTGGCGGAGATCGGAAAGCAATCGATATTCATCAGAACTACACGAAACGACGTTAAGAAGATGCATAAATATGCATTGTAAAACCTGTAAAATAAAAACCAATAATTTTAAATGATATTCGTGTTTGTTAGATGAAAACTCTTAAGTTTACGACGACGTAAATTCTTTTTTATTTTATAATTCTCAAGACTACGTATAAAATAAACAAATTTTAAATGTAATAACCAAACATGGTTTGTGACCTACCGTTAAACGAAGGACAGGTGAGAACATTTTGAGCAATTTACATCATGTAGACAGAAGGTGAACGCAGTCTGAGTGCAGCCAAGCAAGGATGCTCCTTTGGGGGTTGGGGCATCTTCGTCGTCCACTTTCAATGGGGTGGGCGGTACAATTCGCGTTTATAAAAGCTGATGAAAAGAGTGCAGTCCAATTGGTGAACAATTGAGAAATTGTTCTTTTACAAGTGGTCTCTTGTTATGAATTGCAATCTCTCTTGGTGCTCAAATAATAAAAACATTAATCATTTTGTTTTTCAAATGCCCCACTTTTAAGATGAACGAAGTCGTTAAAAAGAGACGAGAAAGATTTATGGTCACTTTTCTTTTTCAAAATGTTGCAAAATTTTAAAAAGCGAATTCTTTTTAAGGGACATGGAACAAACAGGAAATAAAGTTAAACAAGCGTGAATTGCAGATCGAGCTTTCAAAATGCATTTCCTTCCAAATTGTCATAAATGCAGGATTTAGTGGAATCTGTCAAACAGCTTAGTATTCAATTTACACAAGACCAGGAGGTAAGCTATAATTTCTAACAGCCCGTTGAATAATTGCATTTAGTGGAAGCGATATATTCAAGGAGATATTTTATACAATATTGGAGATGTGAAATGCGCTAACGATATGCGAAGTTTTGTTTCGGACGAAGAAAACAATCTGACACTAGAGGAAACTCAAAAGTACTTCAACGTGGTTAGAAAGGTTATTGGATTTGGCATAAAGCAAACAAATATTACCTACTTTGAAGGCAATTTCGAATATTGCTATTGCACGAATCGGAAATGTTGATGAGGATCATTTAGACAAAATCAGCAAGGTTGAACAAATTCTGAATGAAGCCGGTGAAACCGCACTTGTAAGGTGGACGAGATTGGCTTTCAAAAAGTGTGGAGTTGAAAATCAGAAAAATGAATATGTTGCCAATCTTGAATTTGCTTGCTTATCGTTTTGGAGATCTTCAGTAGAAAGGAAAGGTGCGACAAGTTGTTGAAATCGCATCTAATATTATATTATCAGGAAAAATCATATTTTTTCCCAGTATTCACATTGAAATTGCCCCATATCTCCAATCAGTCCGAGTCGTTCAACTTTTCGAGTTCAATACTGAAGAATTGAACCGTATTCTTAAGAAATATCCTCCAGGTTTCTTTCCTTAGCAAATATACTTTATACGCGTATGAATGTATGTAGAATTTGTTTACGATTGTACTGACAAGATTGAAGCATCGGAAGAAGAGGAAATGGTAGAATCAAAAGTAGTTAAGGAGCCGAAGAAAAAAGTGAAGAAAATTAATTCAAATCCAAAACCGAAGTTAACAAAACAAAATAAGAAAGGACTCACGTGAGTGTAAATTCTAATTTTTTTTGTTAGAATAATTTCTCAGAAGTACTATTGAAATGGCACTTAAAACCGGGGATAAGAAGAATCGAAATAAGAAAATAACAATTGCACAACGGTTACAAGTAATTGTTTTGTGGGCAATAAAAACAATTCAGATCATTTAGATAAGTCGCAGCTCGTCAGTGAAACGCACTGACAATAATGTAAAAATGCATTTATACTCTGAAGTCACACCATTGTGGAAAAAGGAAAAACAACTTAAAGGTGACTTCGAGATATTTTCTTCATAAATTTTATTTATAGAAAGAATTTCGGAGACGGCAGACCATAAAATAGATTTCGTCACAGAGACTTATCTTGGCCCAATATTTCATATATCGTCATTCGAATCCGGAAAAAAACCGCAAAAGTTTGGATCTTGGAATGTTTCAATAGGTTGAATTACTTATTAGAAACTTATTTCACAATATTGTAATACAGAAACAGAATTGAATGAAAAAAAGTTAAGTGGAGAAAGTCTTCAAGTGGCAGTCAAAGTTCCTGTTGAAGAAGTTTTTCTAGGCTCAAATGAGCCAGCAATCGCATTTCGTGAGGAAAACTCAAATGAATGGAAAAAAGGAGTATTTACAACACATACACAATTTGATCAAAGTATCACATTTGGTATCTTTTGTTTCACAAATTGAAAATATATAGATACATTCATTGTAACAACTCGACTTTCAAAACTTGGCTTTATCGGCTTATTCCAACACAGCGATTTTCACTATCCCTATAAAAAATGGGCGATTCAATTCAAAAAGGAAGCTATTTCGTTCAAATTACATACTAATGTTGTTGAGCTTGCGTTTATTATTGAAGTACGTTTTATTTCGTATGTTTGTAAAATAGTGTTTAAGGATGGATATTTCCATTTGGATACGTTGACCGGCGATGAGTTCAGCAAACTGAGAAGTCTTCATTTGAAAAAAATGCCCCTGCGTGATATCATAATTTATGTGACTATTACAGAACACAGATCAAAAAATGCAAAAAAAAAACTATTTTGCAGCTTGAAAGACACGGTGTTCATATTGTTTCAAATGAAGACATCATTACAAAACATCGTGACACTAAAAAAGTAACATATAATTTTTTTCCTATTACTTAAGAATTATTTTTAGGATCTTGAATTAGAAATTCACGCTTATCGAATGATTTGTTTAAACCAGATTGATTGCGATTCTTGCCGGATGAACAGTACAGTTTCAGCAGACACAATAGTTGTTAACATTAACGGAGAACCGGTTCGAACGCATTATTTATCCTTAAATCAATATCTTTTTCAGAAAAGCATTTCAATAAAACCTGGAAAAAGGTTTGTCGGAAATTTGGGAGAAGCGGGTAAAAAACGCAACATTCATGAGAAAATTCAGACGCCTGCTAGCCTTTTCCAATTCCTTATGGTCACACGGCCAATATCTGTCACAAAGTAATAAAGAAAACTATTTTATTTTCGCATTTTCCGAACTTAATCTAATAAAAAGTGAAAGATAAGAGTAAAGCGAGAATTAAACCAGTTGTGGAACGTTTGAAAATGTTGGAAGATTTGTATCTCGCTGGAATTCTTGACTGGTCATTTTCGATTTGTCATGACACCGAAAGTCGTTTTTTTGCTATTTTTTGCTATTCTTATACCAACAGCACGTCTCCAACAAGAAGGTTTCTTGAATTGATTTTTTGTTTCCGCAATTATAAATTTTTAGTAACTTGTCCGCCAACTCTTGATATAGTTTTACTTCTTGATACATCTGGAGATTTGGATGACGTTTTTCTACAGCAAAAGAACTGGACAGTTAAAATAGTCAAAGAGCTTCCAATACACAATGAGGCAGTTCGAGTATCTCTGATTCAGTAATAAGAAAAAATGAACGTTGACGAAAATTTGGAGTCAATTTTTAGATACGCAGAAACTGCGAAAACCGAATTTAATTTTGCGAAATATTCCGAGAGGAATGATATAATTGCTCATCTAGAGAATATGACATTTGTTCAAGGAAATACAAGAACTGGAAATGCGTTATTTCAAGCCGATAATGAATTATTCTCCTACGAATCTGGAGCCCGGTAAAGCGGAACGCGATATCCTATTTCAATTATTAGAAATTTTAGGCAGAATTCTAATCGTCTTGTTATTGTGTTTACGGATGGACTTTCCATTGATGATCCAACGAAAGCAGCAAAAATTCTAAGAAGGAAAGGTATATTTAAAGCACATTCATTTATTTTACCAGATTCAATTTTTTATCAGGTGTTCAAATCTATGCAATAAGCGTCAATAGTATAGGATTTGTCCCGGAAATGCTTGGAATAGTTGGCGATGCCGACAATATTTTTGGGTATACGAAATAAAAATCATTGGAAAAATCAGGGAGGTTTAGACCAATGGATGAGAATCGAATTGTGAACAGACTTCTTGATGAAGTTGAAAAAGCTCGATCATGTGATGTGCCTGTTGTAATTTTTTAAGTTGATTGATTGTTCGAGCAATTTAAATTTCAGAACAAAAAGGAAATCCCACAAAATGAGATTAAAATTACTTTACTACCTGATGTTAAGCAATCCCTGGGAAAAGAAGCTGAAAGTGTAAAAGAACTCTCGAAGAAAATCTTGTCGGAAACGATACATTCGACATGATCAACCGCATCTACTACACAGACTCCTTTCACTATTCATTCTACAGCTGTAACTGAGAAATCAAAAACTACAGTTACACCTTCGACATTAATTTCTTCGACCACTAACGCAATCACTTTCAAAACTCCAATTGCGACAACCCCAATACAAAAAACCACAACAATTGTGACACCGCCTGCTATACAGCTCAGCACGATTAGCAGCCAGCGAACATTGAAACCAACAATATCCTATAATAGTAAAAAGATTGTACCAACAAAGCGGCAAGAACCCCTTTCTGTGGTTACAGCGTTTCCAACGCTAGTTAATATGGAGAAAGCGGTTTGTGCAAACATCTATGCATAGAAAAGCATTTGAACATTAAAGGTGACATTGCCCGTTAATAAGATGCTCGAATTCAAACCAAAAAAGAAAATCAGAAGAATAATTAAACGTAGAAGAAATGTTGCACCGAATACTGTCGATAAAGACCATATCGGTGACACCCTACCAGTTCCAGTAACATCTTCTCCTTCCCGAGCAGATTTTCGAAATCTTCATAATGGAGAGTCTGAAAATGAAATTTGTAATAAAGTCCTTCTCTGATCATATATCATATCGTTTTTGCAGCTTCCCAAGGGGTTCAGTGTCCTATGGATATTCTTTTTGTTGTCGATAGCTCCGGCTCAATTGCAGGAACATATGAAACTCAGAAGGTTACTTTAAAATACATTTCAATTTACATCAACATAATTTTTAGGAGTTTTTGACATCTCTTTTAAAAAAGATTGAACCAACAAGAAGCCATCGCGTTGGACTTATTCAATTTGCTGGTCCTCATTTACAAAAGATGGAATGGTCGTTTGACAGCCATTCCAAAAACTCGCAATTGCTAACGGCAATTCGTAGTGTTCGACACTTAACTGGTAATATTGGAATGTTATTATCAGTGATCGAAAATGAAAAACCAAAATTCATGACGTCAAGCTGACGAAATAATGGTTTACTCTGGTACCAAGAACGGCCAATTGTTTATTTCTTAACTGGGTGTAACTTCTCAATTCGACCGATCAAATGAAGATAGATGTTGGGCACGTTGTAGCAAAAATTTTTTTCCATTCAATGCAAGGAGTTTTTTTTCGAAGTAAACGGCATTGAAACGATCTCTATCTCGGTTGATTGAGAGTCTTTTTTTTTGCAAAACATGCAATTCAAATACGAAAATTTAAAAAAAAAAAGTTATTCATTTACAGGAACTACCTATATTGGAGCTGCTTTAGAGCTTTCGTTGATTCTTTTGGAATCGCGTAGAAGAAATACCGAAACAACTGTAATACTTGTTAGCGATGGGTTATTTGAAAAACTCGATAAATGCATATGCTCAATTTTAGATTTTCTCAAGATGATTCAACTCAGCAAGCTAAGCTGCTCCGCCAGCTTCCAAATGTGAAAATGTATGCAGTTTCATTGACAAAGCTCACCAACACGTAATCGCTTTCTTCCTCCAACTTCCATTCAATATTTTTTTTTAGAAAATATCTCACAGATATTGTAGGTGACCGCAAAAAACTTTTTGTGAACGATGAAAGCAAATGGTTTGAAGAATTCTTTTCGAAAAAGTTGAAATGCACACCTGTGCGAAAATAAATATTCTTAATTATAAACCTAATAAAATATTAATAAAACTATTAATAAATAATTGAACAATTTAAATTTTTCTATTTTTTATTACTTCCTGTATGATGCAGTAAGATTTTCCTCTGTAGATTAGAGTTTTCAATGTGAAATCGGCCTGCAATCAATCAACACTATCTCTTCGGCCTGCGGACATTCCACTTTTTCGCGACTCGTGAACTAATCACGCGCTAAAAAAAACAATATATTTCAACGACATCGGCGAGAACCCCCTATCACTTTGTGTATTTTATTGTTGTGAAATTTCCGAATGTCACGTTGGTAATATCTCCGTTGAATAATGTTTAGTCTCTTGAAGTTAATTAAATATGAATAATTTTAGACACATTTTGGAAGATTTTGGTACTAGAAGTTTTGAACTATTGAAAAGAAATGAAGGGGAGTCATTTCAATTTGCCTGTTTGATGCATGCAGACGGAAGCAAACTCGTTGAGCGAATTTGGTCCGTCTGCAAGCATCTTTTCATTGATTTTGCGAGAAGAACAAAGAACGACGTCGACGACGCTATTCGACCCTGAAGCGGCGTTCTTCACTCATTCTGCATTTATCTTCTCAAATAATCGGTTTTTCATTTCCCATTCGACGCCTAGGGAGTTTTTTTATTGGGTGTTCTCATTTCACGGTGGAGATGTCTATCGTCATTCCTCGAAACAATTTTGACGCCTTACTTTTTTGTGATTTGTTTATTGCACACCTTTTTAGGCATTAATCATTTTTTTTAATCTCTGGTTCCTTATAGAAATTTTTTATACTCAGTTTACTTTGCTTAAAATTGCGAGTATGAAAGCTGACTGTGATAAGATTTTACATCATTAATCTTAGATTGTTTTTTTTTTAATAAATTCAAATTGAATGCTGCCGCGTTGAATTGATTACACATTACGTCTAACCACACACTCTCTAGTTCGCTTTTTTTTCGGTGCGAACAACAAAGGCAGGGTCTTATGTCTGTGAGGCAACAAACCAAGTAATCTCTCGCCATTTTTTTTTGGTTGCGTCAATTGCTAAAGGCTAGAGATGGCAGAGGAGCCGTGGCAGTAGAGCGCACTTGCCCCGTATCCTTCCACAAACTCTGTTGTTGTATAACGAAATTTTAGTTGAATTACGAAATCGATATTTTTTATTTTTTCTTTAAGCTTTTTCCTTACAGAAATCATGTATCACATGCTACCATTGTCGTATAAACCCGAAATAAGATCATCTCGAAGACAACATGGAGCTTTCCAAAATAAAGTTGCGGAATTAGTTGATAAGGTTTTATTCTTTTTATTATATTTCCGTCATGGTCACTTTCAGTTGTTGCAAGAAACTGAAGTTGTAGACTCAGATCACCGTATTGGTAACAAGTTTTTCAACGCAATGGACACATTTTTCTCATACGGGTGAGAAAATACCGAGCATTTCATAAAAAAAATATCGATTTTAGGCTGCTATCCGCTGATAAAGCCTATTGGCGATGCATTCGACAATTCATGCCAAGAGCAGAGCGCGAAATGTTAATTGCTGAATGTGGAAATGCGAATGACAGATTTTTGTCTATTGGATGGCTGAAAACAGCTTTAAATAAAGGAACTCTTCACTTCCAGATGCTTGCCATGAATAATAATGTGAATAAGTGCGTATTTTTATAGCTGAACAATAAAAAATTAAATCTGTTTTAGAGTTTATCTGAAAAAATTTTATCATGTAAATTCCTGCATATGTAACAGTGGATTGCTCGAAGCTGTAACCGAATCAATTGGAAAACTGCAGCACATCCAATTTGCTTTCTATGTGGGTTAAATGGATAAGTGAAAAATTGAGTAAAATTTATTTTCAGACAACTCGCCATCTTCGACCGGCTCCTGCTCAAGCAATTGTTATAGATTCTGCAGTAGTGCAGCTGTCATCGCGGCAAGTCGCAAGGCAAAGAAGGATGACGGTAAAACTAGATCACGAGAGCAGAAATGAATTATGCGTTTCAGGAAACAGAAGCATCAAGTGACACTATTCGTAATATTGTTCCACCCGCGATTCCCGACTTCAACGACGCAATCGACCCAGATGTTCAATTGGACGATATCGTTAGAAAGCGAACTAATCGATTGCAGACTCAGCGAATATATGATGCTAAAAAGGCGACTGCGGAGAAAGCAATCGAGGAAGAGCCAGCAGAGCCGGAGATTCAAGAAAAATTGGAGGATGTATCTTAACTCATGTGCTAAAGAAAGAAAAGACGATATTTTTAGTTGATGGTTAAAACAATGTCCATGGCTCATATGGAGGCACCAACAACTTCAAACTTGCAAGATATATTGAATGATCAGTATGAAGAAGATATTCACTGCTACGAGTTGGTTGAAGGAGAATTTGAGTACGTTTATAGATCCAAAAAGCTTTTTAGTAAAAAAGTTGAATATTTTCGACAGCTATGACAAATGGCAAATATTTTTATTTCCGTTCTCGGTTTATCAAAGTTTTCTTCATTTTTAAGTTCTCAGCCCTTTCATTTATTATGAACTTAATTTTTGACAGCAAACACGTTTGACTTTGTGAGATGAAATTCAAATTATTACTGATAGCATTTTCATTCGAGCGCGTTCAAAGATGACAATACGTTTCAACCCATTCGAGGCGTTTCTAATATCTTACAGTTTTTATTGTCAACAATCTTTATTGCAATATCATTGATAATAATATTTTTATAACATTTTCTTCAGACTTGGACAAGGAGATGTCCTTCAACTAGCGATGAACGTATTTGAGAAATCTTCGGAACGCGTCATCCAAACTTTCATCATTTTCGAAAACTTTCATTCTAACGAACAAACGGCTAGGCAAGTTTAAAAATGCGAAAAAAGAAAATAATAATAATTTTAGATACCTGGTGCTCACTAATTATAATATATACGTGTTTCAATTTGTTGATCATACTGAAAACGAAGATTCCGATAATTCATGTACCCCGGTTTTGGAATCCTACATTCCTTTGTTAAGAATTCCACACGATCGTCTTACGACTATTTATGTAAACTATATAGGCAGAAATATAAGTCTATAGAAAAAATTTAGGTTGCATCTGACAGTTTGTCGTTTCTTCTGACGTCAAATGAGGAAGGATTCATTCGTTATCAAAATGGCAAAGAGCAAGAGGACGTAAACAAATGTTCGTATTGGGCGTCTGTCGCAAGTTATGAAGCCGGAACTCGGCTTCTGCACGCAATTCTGAATGTAATGATTCCGTAATTTATAACAATTAGGTTTTATGACAATGTTTTCAGCTTGTTGAACATACAAGCCGTGACGTGCGTCCTGAAATCGAAGTTGATAATATGAAATACATGGGAATGTTTAAATCCAATCTAGAGGCTCAATTAAGAAAGGTATTTTAATTCTGGAAATTCTGATTAGTTAAAAGAATGTTGTTATCATTTCAGGAAATCAATATAGAAACAACTTCCTTGAACTACTGGTACGAGCAACAACTCAATGACCCTAGGCTACCAGATTGTATGACAGGATACCTCTACAAAAGGTATATAAATATTTTTCGGTTGTCTTAAACCATTTAATTGCATTCAGATTTCATGGAAATAATTGGCTCCTAAAAAATCAAAAAGAGCCCGTTCAAAAATATTGCATGGTTTGTGGGCCAAAATTGTACATTTTTAACGATTCTATTTGCAAAGTAGGAGAGGAAATTCTTGAATTGGCGTACGTTCTGAACAAATTCATTAACCACATACCAATTTTTTTTGTAGCGACTGTGAAGTAATAATCGAAGCCGACAAGAGGAATATTTTCATATTGAAAACTCCTCACGGCAGTTACGAATTTGAATGTATGGATAAAGAAGAGTTTTCCCGATGGGAATCTATAATGACACATGCTATTGAATCCGTGGTAGCGTATATTTTATATTACAGTTTTTTTTAAATCCTACTTTCAGGATATGAAGTTGTTAATCACACCAACGCTTACAACATTCTTCAATGACGAAATTACATTCGTTCAGGAAGGAGAAAAGTTTTGGAACGACGGTTTCTTACGCATTCTTCATGTACGAAGAACAATCATATTTCTGAAAACAGATAGATTAAAATTCAGACCATCAAAGCTGATAAGATTGTCGAGGCTGTTGCTGTGATACCAACTGTGGACGAAAAACCTTTTGGAAATGTAAATTCCGCATTCTGCATAATAATGTCCGATGGTGTTTACCACTATTTGTTCCTTCGATTCCCAAGCGAAGTTGCTCGTCTTCAGAACAAATTCACGGAATTATATCAGAAGCCAGTAACTCTCCTCAATAAGGAATACTCGAAGGTTTTTTTAGGACATCAAACATCAGCTAATATTAATATTTTAGACAAATCCAGGAAAATTGATTTACAATACATGCCGGACCGTTCAGTATCCTTGGCATATCTAAATTTTTTGCGTCTTCTCGAACATTTTTAATTAATCTTGTATTTTTTGTATCTTTCTTGCAAATTTTCGTTTTTTTTTTCATTCAGTTTTTTTTACCTTCTGTTTCTTTTCATTGTTCGTAATGTTTTTTGACGGAAAACATACAGGTGCTCCGCTATCTTATAGGAATGGCACGTTGAGCATATCAGTTATGGCACTCTACAAGAAATTCGGTTTTATTTTCTACCACATGTATTCCTTTGTGTATCATAAATGTTTTTCTTTGAAAATTTCCTTTTTCCGTTTTTTTTGAATTTTTATTTTAATGGTTGTTTAACCCGCCGCCAGTACTTTAATTTTTTGTTTTACAGTTTTTTGTTAACGAACCAATTCAGGATTAATAGAATTGCAACTTTCAAAAACATCAGACGTCTGGGTTTAAATGAATGGTAAATTGCATCATATTTAAATAATTTCCATATGGACTATTTCGAAGGTTTCGGCCAAAAAGCTGTCCCTGGAATAATGGACAATTTGGCTACCGCACAGCGTACCAACCAAAGAAGAAAGAGCAGTGAAAATGGTGTCGGAAAGAGGAGAAACTTGCAAAGGGATCTAATCAGTTCGCAACGTCTAGACGTTGTGAACTATTCTAATGTCGACGATCCAAGAAATATTCATGTGGATAAAGGTACTCTTTACAATTTTCTTTGCAACTCACAACAAGGTTCTTTTAATTGAGCTAGAATCTTCACATTGAAGACTTCCATATTAACATTTCAAAATGCAATAATATAAAACGCCCAAAAGGCGGTAATAATGCATATTTATTTTCACAAATTTATTCAGAACCGAGAAACATCACGAATCAAGAAATGCTTGTTCAAGAAGCAATAAAACAACTGAATGAAGTTGGTTGTGGCAAGTTGCGAAATAAAGCAACTGGCATACAAAGCTTTTTGATGTATTCCATGGCTAATTTGGATATATATTCAACGCAAGCACAAATTATCGACATTTTACGAAACGGTTTAGAAGTCGACACTCCGATTGTAGATAAATTGAATGATGATGTGAGTCAATGATTTGAATTGAATTACGCGTTTTTTTGTGCAGAATATATTCTTTCAAATTGACAAAAAGAAAGAATCCATAAGCATTATCTATGCTTTTATTAATCAGGAAGAGAGCAAATTGAATGGCAGTGAGCGTTACCCTATGATTTAATTTAAAAAAAAAAACATAATTTAAGCAAGTAACGCGATTTGGCTTTATTACAACGACAGTTATGAAATTTTCGATGAGGAAAACGCAAGAATGGTGTGTATATGTGTAACAATAGCAGCATATTCTATTATTTATTTACAGCATCCCCATAATTTCGGTGAGGACTTGAAGATTACGATTAACGATGAAATGCTACGTCAAAAAGAAAGAGAAATTGCAAAAAATCTCCTGGTAAACTTTGAGAAACGTTTGAAATATAAATTATGGTGTTAAGGTTAACATTTGCCAACAACTAAAAGGAATTCCTAGAGGAATTCGATTTATGGAAAAAAGCATACAGTTTAAAAATTTCAACAAAATGCTGCTGCAAGGCTTGGCGGAGCACATCATTGATAGAGCCAGAATATCCACATACTATGCTGTGTATTTCCTTTTCATCAAGGTCGTCCTCAGAAATTGGGAAACGAAAATTGGTTCCATCGAAATGAAACTCCTATTGGAGATCTTGAAAAAATCGCATGAATTTGCGATTCAAATAAATGAATTGACAAAAGTGCTAACGTCCGATCGTGAATATCTAGAAGGGATCATGGATGCCGCTCAAATTATTGCTATGACCGAAGAGGAAAGATCTTACCGTGCTCACTGGGCAACGGCAATAAATGGGCAAGAAAGGTCGGAAAGACCAATTGATGATCACATGAAGAAGGAAGTAAGAAGACCGGAACCATACAACATATTGCTGCAGGAGCGAAATCCAAATAGTGAACCATTGCTTTCGATAATCCCAAAAGAGGAATTAATAGAATTCACCAATCAAATTCTAATTGCGAATGGATTTCAACCATCCCACGGTACAGATAATAGTGAGAATCAAGCGACGCAGCCAGAAATTCAAAGATCTTCACAAACTTCAAATTCTCAAGGGCACGTGGAAAATGAACAGCAATCTCCAAATGCCGCAAATGATCGAAATCACTCTATGTCGACAGAAAGTCAAAGAGCACATGGTTCAAACTCAGAAAGGCTTCTTGCGAATGGATTACAGTTAACAAATGGTACTGAAAACGACCAATATCGACATGCACCATCATCAAGTCAAAGATCGACAAAAAATTCAAATTCCGAAACGCGCAATCAGAATGGTACGTCGTCATCACAGACAGTCCGCACAAATGGAATTGACAGAAATTCGGGTATAATATCATTTAGTAGATGCGTTTTTATGAAAAATTCCAGGAGTCGATCCAACGGTTTTGAAACGTATCAAGAAAGAAATGGAAGATGGAGAAGAATATGGTCGTCCGCAAAATCAAATGCAAAACGGTTCTGCAAATGATGCTCAGCCCAGATCAGATGTATTTTTCCAATTTCCAAAATGTATTTGGCCTTGATATAAAAGTAATTGGTTTCAGATGACAAATACTGAAACTAGTCGAGTCAATGAAATGCGAAAAAATAATCCGATTGATGGAGTGACGCGGAATAGCCGATTCAACATTGATAATTTGATTAAGAAGGAAGAAGATCCTTTTGATAATTCTGATGATGTCAAACCATTCAATAACAATTATGTCAGTTGCATACAGCATACTGATTTTGTGGTATAGACTGAAATGATTTTCAATTAACAGTTTTTGTTTTAGAACTCCACAAGTAAAGTATTCCCACAATCTGGCCAACAAAATGATATCCAAAACACAAATGCCAATTTGCCTATTTCGGTAAAACCCGAAATCTCTGACTCCGTTGACACACAACAATTTTCGCTAGCGAGGGAATCATCATCCAACGTAATGAAGAACATAATATGAATTATTTAAATTCTATTAATTAATTAAGGTTTCGTCAGCCTTCGGCACTGAAAATATTGCCGATCGAAGCCAATCGTCTATGACACGACCAATAAAACCTGAACCATTGTTACAATCTAGCTCATTGTGGATTCCACCCGTAGGCGTTCCTGAAACAACTATTAGCCGAAGTGTGAACGATGCATCCGCGAATATTGCTAATTTGGAGGTATTAATGAAGATTTAAATAAAAAAACCCAATTTAACTACGTATTAAATTATAGAGCCAGTTAAACCCACCACAGCGTCGTCCAAGAGGAAGACCACGTAGCGGTCCGTCACAAGCTAACGCTGTAGCCAGAATAGCAACAACAACACCTCAAAGAGCCCCAAAAAACGTATGTTTATTATGCAAGAAAATGGATAAATAAATATGACGAATATAGAAAAGAAAAAGTCCAGCAACTTCAAGGGCAAAAAAAATAAAAACTGAAACCGCTACACCTGAGGAGGTTCAACGCAATGTTGATACGGTTATGATTCGCACACAAGAGGTACTCGAACAAGGCCTGATAATTGGAAAAACGTAAAGAATTTATTTTTTAGAAACTTCTAATGCAGGCTCTGAATCAATCAGGAGCTCAGTTATCATCTACGGAACACAATCAAAGTTTGACCGAGCAGAAAGCTCAAGCGCTTCTAAAGCTATCGGCTCAAACTCAACAAACACAGGCGCAGAATCTTGATTTACTTTGCCGCATGCTGTTGCAGAATGCTGCGAATCTAGCAATGCCAAATACACAACCTCAGTTGTCACTTCCACCTCAACCTATCTCTTCGCAAACAGCAAATCATCATTTCCCACAAACTTTCCGACCATCGCAACCAGCCGTTTTTCAAAGTCCAGCTGCTGAAACCGTGGCCCCGCTCTCCAATATTCTTCTTCAAGGACAAATACCACAAAACGGACTTTTGCCACAAATTCAGGGACGATCAGAGTCTCAAGCCTCACTAGCAGCAAATTTGGCACAGCTACAATCATCAAGGTTGAATCAGTTGCAACTTTCCAATCTACTGCAATCATGGCAAAATCAGTCACAAATCCAACAGAATAATTTGATTCAACCTCAACCGACTGCAGTTACAACTCAAAGACCAATTCCTGTGAAACCGCAACCAAAAGTTCCTCATGAATCTCAAACGTTGGGGTTACCACAACCCTCTTCGCAGTCCTATCACAGGGACCTTCGTGCACACATGGCTCTGATGAATGCAAAAACACAAGTTGCGCTAGGAAATTTGAATGCAGCAGTCACGTTGGCGAGAAGGCAAGAAGAAGAAAGGCAGAAAATGATTGCTGCTGCAAATGCGATGCAGTTAATGCCTGCTCCTCTCCCCACCACTGTCATGCCAGCAATGCCGCCACCAACACCAGTGCCGCCTATGCCATTCAATTCATTCCTTCCCGTTCAAACGCAACTGCAGCCAAACCTTTTTGGAAATGTTTTTCCAGTTCAGCCACCGATCCCACAATTGGTTCCACCACCCACGTCATTTCCTGAAATCGAAGTATAAAATTTAGAAAATAATAGGCATTCTTTGTTTTTTTTAGATTGCACCAGGCCTCAGAATTACCAGTTATTTCGGTCCTTCGTTCGGAACGTGAGTTAAAAATTTTAAATAAGTAAATTTAACCTGAATTTGCAGTATGAACCCATACAATCACGTATTCATGCACGTTCCAAAGTTTGACTTATCGTAAGCTCATGACTTTAAAATAAAATAAAAATCATAAATCAAATTTTTAGAAAAGTAAAACAAGAAATTCCTTCACCGTCTGACACTCCCGGTCCAGCTCGACAGTGAACTGTCACTCTCCAGGTCCGAGTGATCTCTTAATTTTTCCTACAATCTATTACAATTTTGACAAACAAATTATAGTCATGATTGTTGCATCAAGTACAATTTATCTTGCCATATTTTTTATTGACCCCGATGAGACTGTTAAGTGAATATTTGAATAAAGCTAGTCCAATAGATATATAATTCATTCAATTTTCCGTGTTCGTTTTTTAATTAACTGTAACTTTGAAGTAATACAGCAGGTTTGATTCAGAATTCAGATTTGACGATGGCCGTTATGATTTTTGATAAAACAGAACTCATACAATAGCTTCGTCAATTTTGTAGTGAAAACAAGTATATCGTCCTGTTGCAACTAATGGATTTCATTGAAGAATTCAAAGCTTTTCGAAAATTGCCACAATCTCTTATTTCTTTGACACCTGATTGTTTTTGAAATTGTTCTGCTCGCTCATTTACCTTGAGCAATATTTTAAGAGACTGCTCTCATAAAATGTTCATCAATATAAAAACAAGAAATTGTTTCTACGCGTTCTCGTCATTGGATTGATTTTAATGTACATTTACCGTAATGGAAACCCGCGTGGGAAAAGTTAAATATCAAAAAAAAATATATGAAAAGAATTAAATCTAAGTGTATTCTAGGTAACATGACGAAGTCTGTTAAAATTTTACAAAATTAAAATAAAATAAATTCGTAGTGAATAGTTTTTCAGCACATCTTATTAAAATTAACTGTTGTAGTTATTGTGGCAATATGTCACAAAAATTCGGAAAAGATTAACAGACGGAAACCCTTAAAATGCATAAAAATAATGCAAAGAACATGATTTTTTTCAGGTGTATGTCAGACACTGAAAAAATAAAAAATTCGTTTAAAATACCATATCACAAATTATTGCATTAGTTACAAGCTTTTTAGAACGGAACATTTTTTTGTATTTGCGTTTGGTTTTTATACTTTTAAAAACCATTTATATATAAAAACAATCAACAATTTCTTTACTCATCTTACAAACAGTACTTTTTCATCTCTCTGAATATTAAATATTATGTGCAAATTTAACATTTGTTTGTGCCTTCCTTAAAAATGTTTTAAAAAAAACCTGTTTAATTGTTTCCTTTTTTTTAATTTAATAAGAAGATGTGAGATTTTTTCACTATAACACTGCAATCCTCATTTTTAAAAAATGCGCCTTCAACGTATTTGCATGGCGCAAAACACGACCAAAACCCTCTACTCAGGCGTGAGCTATTCATTTTCTGTGTTTGTCTTTTGCAAGATGATGTATTTTTTCATAATCGTTAAATGATATAGCCTTCTACTTCATGAAGATCCGAGTATTTTTTGGTTTTGTTATTGCATTCACTATTTTTATCATTTCAGAAAATGGTCCTCAAAGATTCGAATCTTTCAAAATATCATGAAGAGAATCGCGACAAAAATTACGTTTCTTTTTTGGAGCAGAGCGATTTGCCCAACTCAGATTCAAAATCATTTATGCGCAAAAACTATACTTCCAATCGTCGTGACAACAAAACGAATTTGAAGAATCTCGTAAAGCAATGTGCAGTAGAGGATACAAATTCAGAGAAAAGTGAATGTTTTAATAATACTGGTATAAAACAGTTGAAGTATGATTAGAGATTTCACCTATTTTTTTTCAGAAGTAAGCTGTTCGTTGGGAAAAAGTTTCACCCAGAATTTTGGAGAAAATAAAGCGCTTATTTCTTCAGATAAAAGTGAATCAAATGTTAAAACGTTTAATGAGAACAAAGCTGCTGAAATTATTCGCAATAACAGCACTGGTTTTGTCTAGGTGTTAAGCAGAAAATTGAAATAGTATACGTCGCAGATTTGAACATGAATTCATTGGAGCGCCCCCGCATTGTTATGAAAATCCGTAGAAATATAATTGGTACACCGACTAAGACTGTTGAAGATGTCAACGTTCAGACTTCAAATCCTGAGAGTGAGATCGCCACCCCTAGTCTTTAAGGCACATCACATTTGTTTCAGGTCAGCATTTGAATGATGATGGTTCGCGTTCAGTGTTTTGTTACATGAAACACTAAAAACTTTCTAAGTGAAACAGATTTTTATTGGAAAAGGTCGCATAACTTGCAGTCATCCATTTATTCCCCAAATGCCTGTTTTCCGTTTCATTTCAGTCGTTTCAATTATGATATTTTTTGTTTAAGTCGCACCACTTTCTACCATTTAATTTTTGTCCCATTAATTAAAAAATTATTTTTATTGAATCACGTTAACCATTCTTACAACATCAAGTAGTTATATATTTCATATTCTTCATAGATTCAATAAATTATGTTACGTTCTAAAATATATACTATGTACACGCCACAGTTCAAAACGTTTGAATGCTAACTAAAATTAAGTTTTATATTGAATTTCTAAATCTACATTTTTCTTTAATATCAAGAATATCGCGCTGAACGTGGCGATTTGACAGAAGTTTAATATTTAAAAAACTGTAATTCATCGAATTGCATTCATTTACTCAGATGGCGTAGTTTCTTAGACATAATGTGCATCTATTAGTTGATTTATATGTAGAGTTTCGTAAAATTTTATTCTGATATCATCCAATGTTCATAAATTTTCGAAATAAGAATTGCACTATAATGTTGTTAATCGTGTTTATTCTTGAATAATGATTTAAAACAATCATGCACAACTGAGAACATGATTAACTTGACAAATTCCAAAAATGGAAAATGTGATGGCTACATAATCAATGATCGACAACAATTAACAAACATGTAAATTTTCGAGAACATCGTCAGAAATAAATCAAAAAGGTAGCGAGAACGTGTGAAAATCAATGCAGAGAAAAGCGAGGCAAATCTTACTAATACACCAAGCAATATAAAGTACAATTATTACTTAATGAGAAGGAACAAAAATTAAAAATTTTGAGATTTCAGTATGAAAATTGATTTGAATCACTGGGAGATAAAATATTATTCGAATTCATTAAAGAAAAAGTGAAGACTAGAAAGTTTTAAATAAAATAATCATGTAACTCTTTTTATAATCAAGCGAAAAGAAAAACAACGGAATTGAAGGTAATGACTTCCAAGAATGGTATTTGAATCCTATTGAAGACGATTCACAAAAGAAATGAATGGCTTCATTCAAAGTAACAATCGACCGCACGTTTGCCATCTAAACATGAATATTTAAAGATAAGCAGGCTTAAATATCATATTTTTTTCACCTGTTTTATTCGAAGTAATAAGGGATTTATTGATTTTCATAATAAGACGAGGCTTTCCCGAAATCTCAGCAACATCTAAATAATATTAGATTATAAAATACTACACTTGACTCATGGCATACCTCTATAATTATCATGATCATTATTTGTATCTGGATGAGGTCTCTTTCTATTAATCGAATTCTGAGAATCATGGGTTTGAGGCAAATTGCTCCGGCGATTCATATCAGTCATCTTCAGTTTTTCGTTTGCGGCGTTTGCTTGTTCGTGATCGTTTTCACAATTAGCTGTTTTGAAATCAGAATCGGACGCTTGAAGTGAGTTCGGAATACTTCTTTTGATTTCTTCAATCCTCGCTTTGTAATAGATTTTAACGTCATCGGCATACTTCATCAGTTCGATTTTTGTTCTTTGGAGGGAAGCAACTTGCTTGTCGAGTTCTTTTATATGATGAAACATACGCCCAATTTCATTGTCCTTCTCCATACATTGCTTTTCAAGATAGCCCAGTTTGGCTTTGCTTGAATTCCGATAATCGGCAATGCATTGTAATAACGATATGTCGGGTTGAAACGTAGATGTTCCTTCTCCGTTCCAATAATTGTACGACAGAAATGGAGCTCCGCTCGAATTGTTCGTTTCCTCCGATTTACGCTGGTTTCCGTCAATCGATTTGTTCATTTCCTGAAAAATGCCTCATTTTGAATTTTTTTTTTCAATTTAAAATTATTTGATAACTCTTCTGTTTTAATATATACTATTCCTAATACTTACATCACTGTCGCAACAGGAACAACAGGGACAGCAAGTACTGCAGTAATCGGAATAAATTGATCTCGCGGGACTTCTTTTTTGAGAAACAGAATCCTGAAATAATATTTGCATGTTTTTTGAACATATTGACATTGTATAGTGAATCTCTATATGATTGCATTGAAATAAAAATAATCTTTAAATTCTCACATTTGCATCAGGAGAAATAAGAGTTGCAAAAACATTATCTTGCGGATATGGAGATGTCGCACTTTCCGATTCTTCACAATTCTGAAATTTTTGCTTAAAACACAATACATCAAACTTCGTGATTTTACGCGTATGTAATCATAGAGAGACGAGTTAAAGAAATTAATTGCGCTAGATGCCAATAAATTGGTCCCGCAAAATTAAATGTGCGTATACTCTATCGTTTGATGGTACTGGTGAAAACCAAAATATTTTAATTAAAAAAAGATATTCACAATCACCTTATGATGATTAAATTAAACCAACGCGCCCAAAGAACTTTTTTCACACGAGACCCAAGGATTCAAATTATAAATCAATCGCAACTCAAATTTGTTTGTCCTTGACAATATATCAATTTAATTTAACTATACTTACTTGAATTTCATAAGGAAGAGTGGAAGTTTCTTGAACTTTTTCGGAGTTCAGAACGTTCACGTGGTTGGTTGAAATGACTGTTCTTTGAAGAGTTTTAGAATCTTCCCAATTTTCTTCAGAATTATGGACGTTTGTGTTGTTCACGCTTACATCATCACTATCGTTGTCAGTCGTGCATCTCGGAGAAACGTCATGAAAAGTTGACAATGGCATATCATTTAGATCATTAGAAAACGCAATCTGAAACATTTTTGATTTAGGAATACCTTTTCGATTGCAAATTACTTACAATTATTTTATATTTATTAGGATTTTTTTCGTTTTTTTTTTTGAAGTAATTATAAAGAACATTTGTAAACAAATAAATAACTCACTTCTTTTTCAGGAGAAGAAACCCTATAATGATCATCAACATGATCACTTAATTTCATGTTTTTCAATTGGTTATGACTCATGATCTGAAACAAAAACTTTTGTTATACTTTTAAATATGAATTTATTTTCAATAAATTTATCTTAAATTTTTAAGTATCCCAAATCCACTTATATTCTAATATGTCAGCGCCCCGTTTCTATGGTTTGTCACAATTTCTTCCAAATTCTTACGTGTTCAGAAGAATCCGAAAGCATATTTTCAGATGATTGCCTATTCATGCGTTTCGAATTGTTAAAGTCCGTAGTCTGATCCATAATCATAGTCTGAAAACGATGGATTTTCAATTCGACATTAACAATTCCATTGAAATCGGCATTACTGCACTAAATTTTAATTTTCTCGACTCTTATGGTTTTCAAAAAACTATTCTTCCTGATTTGTATTTCGACGATGCAAAAATTGTCTGATGGAAATTCTATCGCTTACATGTTGCCAATGACTTGACAGCATTTTTGACTTTTCTGAATTCGAGAGAAGAATGCTACTGATTTACGAATTCAATAACTCGCAGAAGAAATCAAAGACCACGTGAAATATGTATTTTCTTAAGAAAACAACAATACATTTATTATATGATCAATAGTTTGTGATGGTTTTTGGATGATAAAATTTTTTGAAATGACCTACGTCAGGTTTAGAAGGAGCATAAGGACGTTGATCACTAGATTCTGGAATATGCATTGTATCACGATGAAACTCGATTTCATCCTGAAATAAGACTGTTCCTTAGAATACCATTGCTTCACATTGTTATTTTCTCACAAGTGAAAACAATTGAAGATTTTTTTTTGAAATTTTTAACGCTTTCGCAAAACATATTCAATTTGCTAATCAAGACTTGTTAGTAAATTGAAATACCGTTCTGCCTAGGAACTACAATTTGGCATTAATGTAATATTACAAATTTTATACCTGGATTTTCGAAGGAACGCGACAAATCGAACGTCCGTTTTGCGAGACGGAATCAGTCATATTTTTTACATCACGCATAGTCTGAAACACTTATACATGTTATATTATATTTTAAAAACCCTTAATGCAATATTGAAACACAACAAAATCGGTATAATTCGAAAAGGTTGAACCTTAATATGAAATGGAGCAGTAAGATGATCGTCATCACTACTTCGAGGGCTCAAAGAATTCCATGAATTTTCCGCTAAGTTATTCTCTTCGGGAGTTGGTTCATTCATGGTCTTCGATTCGGCACGAATAAGTATCTGAAAAAATGGATATTTGGAATGAAAAAAAAATAAAAGGTTCGAATTGCGATTGGAAGCATACGATTATGATGCAGAAAAAAGGATAACATATGAGATGAAAACACAAAAAGAAATAAAAAATCACGGCGTCTTGCCGAGCGACAAACACAAAAAAAATGAATGGCCCGCGCGATTTCGCAGAGTGTGACGTTTTGTCGCCTTTTGCGTCAGGTAATTCCTTTGAAGGCGCATTTTGCGCGCAATGCAATTAGAAATAATAACAACAACAGTGCGCGCAACGAGATTTTATCTCAAGAGTAGTAACAAACGATTTTTTTAAAAGAAATTATAACTAAGCAAGCAAAATGAAATTGCCAAAAATGGGAAGAACGAAAATGTAAAAAATAACCATTTCATAATATTGAGAATATTGAAATTTGTTGAATAATCTAATCATTTTTATCATTGAAAGCTATTGTATTTTTAAAATTTTCAACAGGATGGAGACGTGAAGCATACAAAGCGCCCATTAAAAAATATAAATGCGGCATAGAGAACTATTGTAGAATACATAATATATGTGCAAAGAACATGGAGCTTGAAATACATTTCTGAAACGAAAAATATCGCGAAAAAAGAAAAGTGTTCTTAAATTCGAACTTGAAGGTTTCGTTCTTAAATTTCGTTGATATTGGGTTTCTGCTTGTGCTATTCAGATTTTGGGAAAAGAATAGGGTTTCTAAGCTTTTTTTTAAGTGAATGCGAAAAAAATTCTTCTGTTTTTCCTAAATGACAATGTGTAGTTTGAAAAAAAACACATTCATTCGATAACGCAATAACATCCAAATTTAAATTGTTCCCTTTGTACTTAAAACCAAATAAATAACATAATTTTAAAGATTTTTTATTTTTAAAATATTGCGTTTTTATACAACATTACTTTTCCCTTTCTATCAAATATAATTTAACAATTAATATACCCAAGTAAAACCAATTGTAGGTCGAAAAAGTTATTCATTATGGTTTAAAATTTTTTGGTACGTTAAGATATGCGATTTCAAAGTTTCTAAAGTCAGGATAACTCAAAAAATATGGCATTTTAATGTAACCATAGCATTTGTTTAAATATACCGTGAAGAGGTGCAGTTGCTCATCAGTTTTCCTACTAATGCTGCCATTATGAGTGTATATCCGGACCTGCTGAATGAATCTTGATAACATATTTTACTAAATGAATTTGTTCAATTATGCAGAAAAAATGACAATTTTGGAATAAATGCTCTTTCTTCACTTCGCCAAGTTTTTCTGTATTTTAAGAATGTTATCAATAATTATAGCAAGCAATAAATATTGCATTCGTTGATATCCTCTCATTGTTCATTGTCAATATAATTTCGAAACATCAAATAATATCAGAACTATTGGTATTGCTTTCTCCGTTCCAATGAATTTAAATGAAAAATGTTCAAATTTATTGATCAGCAATTTATGTAACCATTCCTATTATTAAGCTCTAATTGTTTTTTCAACTTTACACTAGTTTGCATTTTGTAAAAAAATAATTTTTATCAAACTATTTACAATGTAAATCTTCCTTTTTATATTAAGTAGCCCTGAGAAATGTTTTTGCCAAAATTCTAAAATGTAACATCTTCAATGTGTATGTAGTTGCGTAAATGAGAATTTTCAACCGCCAGATGAATGTTCACACATGTTAATTGATAAGAAAAAACACATATTGCATGGTATCGAAATTTGTGTTCTTTTTCCTGCTTCTGTTGAAATATGTTTATAGAGTTCTCATTTTCCTCAATTAAAATCAACTATCCACATATGCGCATATATATTTTAATATGTAACTTGCATTGTGTTTGTTGTAGACGTCACGTATATATTTTTTTCTTCTATACCATAAAATTGTAAGCATATATGTACATATAGTTAATCACTCATTTCATGATTTCCATGAAAATCAAGAAAATTATTTTTCTTGAACTGCTGGACTTCTAATTCGTTTAAAACAATCATTAAAAATATTTAAAATTATATAATTTACAGTAAGTTCATTAAACTAATTATAAATCATGGGAGTTGATATTGAGTCATTTCTTAGTGTAGATATCAACAGTTCAGAGGAATGAAGAAACGCTTGATTAGCTTTTCCATAATGCATTTCTAAAAAAGAATTTTGTCGCATAGTAAACATTTGAATACATTTTTAATACAAATCACTATTTTAATGTTCTATTTTGCGATATGACTTGTTCTTTCTTGGATACCTCTTTCTTGGGTGACCCCCACGTGATAATTTTATATATAATCAATTATATGTCTTTTTTTTTTCTCAAAAATTCATCATTTCTATATTAGATAATAATTTGTTTCTAAATATATTTTTTATGTATTTAGGAATATATATAGGCGCATATGACATTTGTGGAAATTGCTACTTTATTTCCGAATAGGAAGCACTGCTTTTTATATGTCTGTGATGATAGATCCAGTGAAGTGAGTGGCAGAATATGTATACAATTTTTGCAATCATGAAGTTAATTCATTTTAAATTCGAGCGGCACTTTTAAAGCTTTCATAACGTGACTCTAAATAAACTCGAAAATGGTAAACAGCATAGTTATTACACGTTGATAAACATTTTATTACTTTTGATTCATATCTAATTTTATTTCACGCTGTTTTGAATTTTGAAAATACTTATTATGAATGCCGGAGAAGCACGAGATAAAATTTTAATCAGAGTTAAATAATACTTAAGATAAAATGTATGTGATATTTTAACAATTAAATTTTACCATTTTTAAAATGCTTACTCCAAAGTTTTAATAAACGCTTGTTTTAGTATATAATTAACAATAATTTTGTGTCAAAACCTAGACGAAAATAATTGCGTTCGTGATATTTAATTCAGAAATTCATGGGTTCAACTTCAAAGTAAATTATTTTCCTCACTTCCGTCTTTTTTTTGTCGAGAATGACGAGACCAAGTAATGAAACTAGAAAAAGTTATGAGTGTGTTTTGCCAGAGAAAATTTGTTTTGTTTTGATAACTTTGAGGATTTTCAATTTCCGTCAAATACGTCACTTATTTAGTTTCAATGCTATTGCAATGGTGGACTTCGATTTTACTATATTCGATAGAATTTTAGTCGATTCAAATGAATGAGTTAAAGTTTACCGCTTGATAAGACTCACCTACAAAAATTGTAATTGAGTTTTAATAAGCAAGCGGCGAAATTTGATCAAAATTTTCATGCAGTTAAATGACAACGGAAAGTTTATACTTCTGCTTATCTTCACTCAATTAATTCTAGTAATGATTTTTTGGTTTGTGAAACATCTCACAATAATCGGAAAACGCCAACACATTCACATTTCTGATAACTGATTACGGACGTTGCGGAATTTCCGGCATAGCGAGAACAACATATATAGCGTAGCTCAACTTTAAATTAATGAATTTTGTGTCTCTTTTAAACAATAATCTTTTCCGCAAGTATCCAGGAAAATAATACAGTTCCTTATAGGAAACATTATATGTTGAAATTATTGTATTTCTTTCTTTCTCACATTTTTTTTGCGCTTAGTGTTAGATTGTTCCGTTTATTTGTTGTTCTCAAAATGAAAGCCATAAAGTTAGTATGGCTATGAGTTTTGATGAGCCGGTCTTTCTCTTTGATTACAAAACTGTTCAGTTTATATCATTGGTTTTTTCTTCAATATAACCTTTTTCGTTTGATAAAAGACAGTGAAAACAATGCTTCAAGGCTACGATAAATAACCTGTTGAAGGCTAGCACGCGAGCTGATGCGATAAATCCTGTAGTTGAGATTAAATTGCGATATTTCTGAAAAAAAAAACGAACAATTGACCGAGAATGACGCAAACCACTAGTTTTGAAATGGTTTTCTTAGTTTATTTATAAAAAATGTGACTAAAATATTTGATGAAAGTTTTGCACAAAGTTTGTAATCATTCTAGAAAAAAATGACGTTTCGTTTCGTAATCTCAACAATGGTCATGCATACTCCAATAATCCTTTTTCATCTTAAAGGTAAGACAATTAAAAATTATATTTTTCTTGTTTCCAATTAATAAGGTATGATAACTGTTTGGTTTTTCTTTCAAACACAATCAATAAATCAAAATCTCTTAATGGTGGTGGATTTTTCATCAAGTTTATCCTCTCTGGGTTCCACATTGATATTGTTGTGTCCTTGAGTTCCTCGTGTATGGTGCCGAAGCGTAGGGATCGAAGTGAACAGTGATGTAGAGTTGGATAGCTTTATTATATCCTTAGATAGAACACTACAATGTATGATGGCCGGGTATTTATACTAGTGGGGATGTGCTTCTAGAATGTTCTACAATGCACGTGTGGGGATATTTACGTGAGGCTTCTAGAATGTTCTACAATGCACGTGTGGGGATATTTACGTGAGGCTTCTGGGTTCTAGAATATTCTATAACCTACGAGATTACAATAGTTTACGTGAGCGTGCTCACAACAGATATATATTTGTAATTGAGTTTTTTTTTTGTTATCGGCTGTGTTGCTTTCCCGTTTCATATCTTTTCGAATATCGTTCTCACAAAATGTCGCATTGCATCGGATAATTAGTCAGGCATCGGACGACTCCGCCCCAGGACTATTCAAGGTATACGGTATGGGATTTATTTTTGAAGAAATAAGGAACTAAACGTTTTCTTGTTTTTATAATTATATTCCTCAGAGACATTTTCTAATTGCCACTCAATGGCTGGGATTACTCATATTTTCTTTGAATATTAAAGTCATTTTACCATTCCGCACCTCTTGTGTTCTCCAAAATTAGTCACAGCCATTATTCAGTCGATTAGATTCCGTTTTTCATTTGATATTGAGATAAAACGTTTAGGCGAATAATTAAACAGGTCAAAAACCTTTTTTTTTGTTTCAATTATATATTAGAGTAGAATCCAGTCTTTGTTTGTTCGAAGCACACATTCTTATTTCGTTGTTATTAGCAAAAAAACGTTTTGTTTTATATGAATAAATAATGAGCTGCACCCTATTTGATCATATTTTCTCATTAATTTGGGCAATTTGAGATTATGATTCTGATGCCACAATCTCGTTAAAATTTTCTTGTTTTCTTCAGATATAAAAACCTTGACCATTTCCAATTCAGATACATTTTAACAAGTTTCATGAGGGTGGCAAAATTGTAAAACTACTATAAAATTCATCTGGAAGAATGGTCTGGTGTATGCTTTAATAATATTTGATTTTCGCTCTTCATTATACTTATTTTTGTGCGTTTTTCAAATTTTCTACATATTATATCGACGGTAGAATTTTTTTTAATTGAATCTTTCACAAAGGAAATAAAGAACGTTGCTATTTCACCAACACGTAAACGTTATCTGCCTACGGTAGTATCTTGTGCGCAAATGTTGAGGAACGCGTTTTGTCCCCCACTATCATTGCGATATAGCTTGATGATGATAAAAGTTTTTTTTCGCTTAATAGAAAAACCGTTGGTTTACAGTAGTTTAGTCCAATTATTTTGACCCCACAAAATTTTATTTCGTTATAAAATTTTGTTAGTTTTCGTGTCTGCTTTGTTCCTATTAATTTGAAACTGTAGTCTCAAACTTTATAGTGCAGCAATAACCGATTTTGCTTGACCTATTCAAGATTCAAGAAACAAAGCGGTAATCTGTTTAATAACAAATCTTAGGACTTTTTGCGTTCAAATTCAAAAAATTAAGAAATCAATGACAAATTGAATTTGTTTTTGAAAATTGCTATATTTGAACAAACAAATAGAATGATAATGTAGTCATTGAACAATTTCAAATATTCATAAAACTTATTGATATATCTTCAAATATTACATAACGTTTCTGCACTGCACATACATCATTTTCTAACCGAAACTCGGTGATTTCGTTGCTAGGAGACGAGCTAATATTCTCCGCTTACGCTCATATATTATTTAATATGTGTTTTTTAGTACCTCATATACCCGTGAGAATCTTTCTTCTTTTTTCAAAGAACATTAGATTTATAATTCAAGGATCGGACCTTAGTCTTCGATAATTAAATATTTATATTTTTGAAAATTAACTAAAAATGTAATTATTTTTATACTTTATGCGAAAACATATCGTGGGTATGCAAATGTGTACGTATTGTCACTAGTGATTTTTCAGTGTGTCATCGAATGTGTTCGCCAATTCTTGCTTTATCATTTATTAATTGATGCAATATCGCGGCAACCTTCATTTAACAAACCGACCTGATCTTTTTTATAGTAATTGATATGATATTGCAAAGAAAATACAAGATTTCAGTTTCACCCTACTTTTATTGCGGCTATGGTATTTGGTCATCAAAATGAGAAAAATCGATAAAACGCCCAAAAACGAGGAGGGTATCAAACCGGCAAGGGACGAATGCGTGATTTGTCTTGAAAACATCAAGGAGTTTTTTTTCACAAAAGGAAATGTTTGTCAACACGAATTCCATTACCAGTGCTTAAAAAGATGGACACAGGTTCGATTGAAAGTTTCCATTAAATGCAAGCATTAATACTACTTAAGGAAAGTGCTACTTGTCCGCTATGTCGTCAAACGTATGAGCGTCTCGTAACCGTTTTCAGATTGAAGAATGGTATCAAGATTGGCTCAGAAGAGTGGCCTTCACCAAATTTAAATATGATAAGCAGAGTATCGGATATAACAGTTAGAAAGTGTTAAATAGAATGATTTAAGATTCGAGACTTCCTTACATTTGCATGTGCTAAGTGCTTCCGATTGTATGGAATGAATTACAAAAATGATTTGCGTTGCAACGATTGCGGATATTGGTATGAATGAAAGACGATATAAGCGCCAAGATTTGCTTATTCAGGTTTCACAAAAAGTGCATTGCAAAGGAGGAGTACACATCGTCAAACGTTTTTCGTTGTTCACCGTGTATGGCTTTGCGCAAGCAGAACGTTTGTCGAAAGTGTCTCAAAATCACAGAAAAAGACGAGGAGACATTACTATCGTGTCAAAAATGCGGCAAGAGGTATCAACATTGCCCAAAATTCACAGTTTGCAAATTATTTAAAACAATGAAAACGGATTGAGTTGTGATGAAGATTGCGGAAAAGCAGCAAACTGGTGAATAACCGGCTATCTCTTTTCATTTGTGTTTTGAAAAAAAACCTTCTATAAATTTTTATATTAAATTCATATCAAGATTTAAAATTCTTTGTTGAGAATGATGTAAAAAATTCAGACGACATATTGATTGCATTAGTCTTCCGTTTGAAACTTTGATGCCCCATTACATCTGCAAATCGTGCAAAAACTCAGACTTGATTGATACATCGGATCCTAGTTTCGAAATTGAGAATTACGTCGAAGAAGATGATTTGAGATATGAGGTGTTTTTTCAGCAACTAAAATCTCAATTATCTTCCAGTTACAGATTGAGCACTCAATCAAATCTCAACACGCAATGGCTCAGCCACCATCTTCGCCCGAAAATAATAATCCCCGTTCTCCGTTTAACGAAAATGTCACCAATTCCACACCGTCTGTGAACGTTGTTCATCATGACGATCATATAATATCGGAGAAAGAACAAGTTTAATACATTGTTAATTGTTTCAATTGACTATATAGAATTTTTTCAGGAAAAAAGAATCAAAATGACTGAAAAAATTGCGACAGCAATGAAAAATCGAAATAAAAGCAAAAAACCGCCGCCAGATTTCACTGTCTTAGACAACATCCGTGGTCCTTCGTTTTTGATGTTTCCCGTCACTGGTATTCCAACTGGTAATTCTCATTTATAGCATAGGCTTCAATTATTACAGTCGCACATGCGAAAATTTATCGTCTCGGATTGTACACTCATAAAAGTGTGCTCGACCGCGACAAAAAGTTGGGGGAAATCGAGACAAAGAAACTGATAAATGATCATTACGTTTGTCTTGCGAAGGCTAAGGCACGTCGTGAACAAGAAGAGCGCAGAAACTACGAACGTCTTGGAAATGTTATTTTCGACAAGCCAGAAGTATGTTTATTTAAAAAAAAATAAAAGAATCATTTTCAGAATGCACTTTTCTCAATTCGAGAGATTGAAAAGATTGCTGATGACTTTTTCAGTTTCAAATTCAAAATCGGGTAATCTGAAAATTTTTAAGCTAAAATTGTAGAAATTGTTTGCAGCGACATATCGTTTCGCAGATACCGCGATATACTCAAAGAATTTGTACAAAAAGCGCAAAAGGAGAATTGGAAAAAACGGAAGATAATTTTTGAAGCAAAAAAGGCAGCTAATCGGTCAATGCCATATTAATCATGTTCATTTATATTTATTGCTATTAATATCACAACCTAGATACCATACTACTCTAATTCGAATCGTTTCAAACGAAAATTACCACTAACGAACTTATCAAAAATTATAGCACTAATTTGTTTTTTTTTGTGCGTCAAATGTGATTTATCAACATGTATTTATTTTTGCTCTTGTTATTCCGGTAGATTATTGGCTGCAACTTCGAAACGATTTTGCGGCTGGTGAAAGCATGAATGATTGTTTATTAATTATCATAAAAATATATGAGAATACACATTTTTGAATAGTGTAGTCGTTCAATAAATGATTCGCACGCCCTTAATTAAATGCAATAGACTTTTTTCGAGTTCACAAATTGCATTTTCGTTTTATTCAATTGTCTTGCTTTTCTTCATCTTTTCTGCTCAAATTGTCGAAAATCGCCAAAATGAGTTTTTTCCCAATGGTACAATCTTGTTTGAAAGCAAATCGAGCTCCCCTTTTCCCGACAAGTAAGACGGGCATAATCAGATATTCGCAAATAGCCGCGGCCTTCTTTTGGACATTGGCCAATTTTCACACATTTTCTTTTCCATTCTTTCTTTTTGTGCCAATTCTCACGAACATTCATAATTTTTGAACGACAAGTCTTCCAATTCCTACTCGTTTTGAAATACGACAGAGAAACAATTGATAAATCACGCAATAGTGAATAAAGAACTAAAGTATAGGTTTTGAAACCGGCGTTTTAGAAGACAAAAATTACCACCTTTGAAAATAAAATTGTTTGTTTTTCTATTAAAACTACATCTGATTTCTTACGGTTGCTTGGTTTCGCTTCGATTTGCGGCTTCATTCAAAATAATTCCTATGCTTGTCAGATATTGTGAATGAATATATTATCATTATATATGAATGTACACTTATCACAAAATGAAATGCAGTTTTTAATTTTGAAAAAAGGAAACGCGAGATCTATGTTTGTTTCCGTAAACCTCATTAATAAACTTCCGCGCTTTTTCGAGAAAATATTTTTTTTTAGAAAAATCATATTTTTGAATATTAGTTTATTTTTTAGTATTTCTTATCAATTCCTAAATCTTGGTTTAAATTAATTATAATCAAATCTATTAGAAAGTTCGAAATATCAGGATTATTTGCATTTGAAATGGGAAAGTGGAAAAAAGTTTGAAACATCTAAGAAAACCCCTTGTTAAATTATTTATGAGATTTAAAGACCCCAGTAATTGAATTTAGAAGCATAATCATATTATTACCATTCATCGACTACTTACGTAGAATTTTTCCACGATTCACAATGTAATGTCAACAAACAAAAGTTGCGTGCGTGTGGGAAATTGCTTTCATTTAAACGTCACTTGCCATCTCTGATTATAAATTTACATTAAACCCAATCAAATCCCTAGCATCTCTTCGTATTAGTCTTCACATCATGCGGAAGTTCATTTTAAAATTGACAGTTATTCCTTCAACGTAAATCTATGTGGTCGACAAATTATTCGTGTTTTTCTTAATATTGTTTATTTGACTGAAATGACGATAAATGAGAGGATTACGTTTTTATTTGATTTATCGAAAGGCTTTTCGTTATTTTTTGTCTTATTTCTCAATTTTCCCACATTATGCAGTAAGCAAATAAGCTATTTCCGCAGGGGAAAAAAGAAATGAATAAAAAGAAACATTCTATTCTTTCAGTGTAATTTGTTTGTTGGTAGGAAAACAGAAGCTTCAAATTTTATAAATTGGAACTCAGATTGGCACACATTTCTATTTCCGATATTTCATGTTTTTCGGTTCCGTTTTCACTCGTCAAGCTAAATTCATTCAAGAATGTGCGATCTCATCATTTTTCATGAATAGCTGATGATTTCTTTATATCTTTTGTGTTTCGTTACAACGCTGCTAAACTTATCAAACATTTTCTTTATACCGCGTTTATACATTATATATTTTTGTTTGCTAATTTGCATTTGGCGCAAACCAGTAAACACATGTCCGCATTACTTATTGCTCCATTCAAGTGTTGAGGCCGTGACCCACAAATCTGCATGTGAGCTTGAGACTGAATTGTTTAATTAAGTATTGCACGCTGCACATTCTCAATCATCCGCACATCTTTGACATTATGCATTTTTATAAGCATTTTTATTCGTCTATCAAATTATAAAAGCTATTCTTAATTACGTATTCTATCTCATTGTGCCTCTATTTGTTTCATTGGGTTTCAAGCGAAATTTTCCAATTTTTACTTTTTTTTTTACAAAATCTTTTTTTAGAATTCCCTTAGAGCAATAAAAAGAACCACATTTTCGTCGGAAAGCTTTATGTAAAAAAGTATGCAATTTGTTTCCAAAGTTGCCATAAAACTTTTTTCGTAATTTCCTAATTGAATAAAGAATTGAGATCCAGGCAAAATTTGAACTTGAAAACTTTCAAGAAAGTAAATAAAAATTGTCCAATATAACTGTAACAGACAGCATTTGAAAACAGTCCAGTATAATGTTTTATGATTTGGTTAATATATTCGTTTCAATTACTTCCAGTTGACCTAGCAAGTCAGAGAACACCCTCCTCCTTGCCCATTCTACGTTCGAGAAATTAAAATCCCTTTTCGGTTCTCTTATTTTGCGCACTCCTTTTCTAAAAGTTGCGTTTTTCTGCCCAGATTTTTGCACAATAGAAGCTCTTTTGTCGGGAAATTGAATTTCATGAAACCCTTTCGAGCTTGTCTTTTGGTGAGCATATTAGGAATACCCTTGGCGCTCAATTAGTTATTTTTTTTTAAATACTGTTGTTTGTTTTATAGCTTTCCTTGAATTGTTTTTCGATTTTAATATATTCTCTTCATTATTTATAATTTCTGAGCGGTACACTACTACTTTTAGTGAGCACGCGATTCTACTCTTTTTCAACATAGCTTATGCTTCCTTGTTGCACAGTGAAACAATGGAACTTCTCTTAAACCAAATTTCTATTTTCTGCAAGCTTCTTGCCCAAACACAAGCCCAACATAATGGGAAACTTTATTATTTTTTTTCTTCTGAGAGGGTTTCAGAACACAGAAAACGCGAAATAGGAAAAACATTTAATGATGGAGGGGGAGGATGGCAGTTGGATTATGAATGTGCTATAAGTCTTGTTCCAACATTACTCATTTCAGCTTTTTTACCATTTTTTGTGTTTCTGTTCGGTAACTTTGATTTTATTTTTTTACGCATTTCAGTTCAAAAAACACACTTTGCACTAGAGGAAAGATCCATTTTCGAAATGCAGATGCACATGCACCGCGCCGATCTTTTAACCATCGAGAGTACATCTGCTTCCAAGCCGAGTTTGCTTTCGTCATTCTGGTCAATCAACGTGCAAGTTCAGGTAATGTCAGTTGGAAAATTTTCTTACAGGTTTATGCAAAGTGAAAGTCAATGAGATTGTTTATTATATACTGCTATAGTGAAAAATCGTCTGAAAATTGATTTCAAAACTGAAATCTTAACTCCATCTTTGTTGTTGAGAAACCTAATTTGTAGTTTCTCAACGTTTTAGCTAAAAACAATATTAAAACATTTCAAAACAGGAAATTGATGCCCATTCTTTCAAAAACGGCCACAAATAAAGTGTGCACAAAACCAACGACATCAAATTTGATGGGAATTTCCGATGCATCATTTCGAGTAATAATGGGCTTTTAAAGGACCAGACTGCCAAAAAATCCTATGTAAAATACACTACCGAGTTCTATCAAAAAATATTATGTTTTTTTTTACATGTAAAGTCTATAATTAATCAGATTTTATGCGGCATGAATGTGGCCATGGGCATAACCATGTCATGAACTCTTCATGGACCATTAGTGTTTATTCTAAAAATATGTCAAAGTGACGAGCGCATATATGACGACAGAACATTTCCGCTGTCCGTTGTGAACATTTCACATAAATCTGAGAACATTTAACATCAAAAAAGAACATACGAACAGAAACAAGTGGTTTCTTCTCTACAAATATCAAACTTTGCAAAACAGAAAAGCTTAATCAATCGATGTTTATCCGAAAAAGGCTATTAAAAGACACACCGACCATAATTTTTCGATTCATAAAATTTTTCTTCAGAACAATGAACATCTTGAGTTGGACAATAAGGGCTGCTCTCAACTTTCGCTTCCTGAAGTAACCAACAATGAGATTCAGGACCCTCCAAAACTAATTCGAAGTCTTTCGGGTAATCGTTTCCAAAACGTTGCATTTCTTATTTCTTTTTCCATTTCACAGAAAAATGTCTCGTGATTTTTAGTTGACATCAAATTCAGTTATATTTTTGGTCTGTTAAAAAAACACTTGAATAGAAATTTATTGTTCATTACATAATTTAATTCAGTGAATGACATCAATGCTCAATATGAGCCTCCACAATCAAGACAATCGACAATTCAATTGCCAACACAAGCCAAAGAAAATCCATCGTGCCGAATTGCCAACTGGCTCACTAATCTTAACATTAATAAGTAAAAAATTTATCCTTGGGTTTTTTTTATAATCTTCAATATAATCAACAAAAGATAGTCCAATTTGATCTCATCAAATGTGTTAGTTATTTCTCTCGATTTTTTTCATATCTTTGTAAGTCATTGGTAATCAATAAATATTCATTTGCCCAAAACTTAAATTCAAAAAACTATGATTTCATCACGCGGAACAAAAATGAGATCATCATCAATTCTATTAATCAGTGAGAAAGACAAGAAAATGGCAATCGACGAGAGAAAGTGCCAGATATCGTGATTGTCGAAAAACTTGAATATTATGCATTGTTTGTTGAGCTCGCGCGATTTTGCGGGAGTTTTCTGAAAATGAACATTAAAATTGAATTTAGAAATAATTGCGCTTACACTCCAATCAGAAACTGAGCTAAGAAAGAAGTGGCCGGCAATGGACCAGCATAAGAACGCAAGAACAAGAAGAACCCATGAACGAGGATGTATTTTTTCACGATAACCAATCGAAAAACATTGTCCATAATTTCAAATTGTTTTGGTTGCGTAGTTGACTTACCTTCATACAAATATAATAGATCAGGTACAAGAACAGATTAGCAATAAAAGGCAGTAGCAAAAATGACGCAAAATCTTTTGGCTTTGTCATGACACCAAAGACAAGACTGCAAAATGATTCTTTTGTTTGAACATTGAAGTCAAATCCAACTTACAATCCGATATTTACACAATTCGCGATGAACAAAATAACAAATCTACCCTAAAATAATTAAAACATTTACAAATGTATTTGTTACGAGGATTCTCGCTTGATCATCCGGGGCGTACGGTAAGCACTCGGTATATACACACATACCGGAGTTGACGCGCAAGTGAAATATTGAGTTTTTATTATTTGATCTATCGTTAGGCGGCTGGTTGTAATGTTATGTTGTTCTTGTTCGATAATGGGTTAGTTCAATCTGTTGTGTGACACGCAATAAGCGTGATCATTGTTTCTGATATATTTTGTAGTTTTATAATTATTGTACATTTGATCGTTGCTTGTCGTTTTGTATTTACCATTCAGATAAAGCATCCATAATAAGTTTGCACCGCGAGATATAACAGTGGCGATCAGGTCGAACTAAGAATGGAGGAAAACAAAGATACGTCAATGATTCAAATGATACAGATGCTACAGGAACAAATGGAGTTGTCCCGGATTCAGGCTGAAGAAGGACGTAAGCAAACTGCCAAGTTTGCGGAGCTCGTGGAAAGGATGACGAGGGGTTCAATGCAAGAACCAAGGAGACAGGCGTCCGTAAGTGAAGTTCCGGTAATTACAGCTCTAGCGGACAGAATTCCGACGTTTGATTTCGATCTCGCCGAAAATCGAACATTTCCCCGATGGTTCAATCGTTACGGAGAGATGTTCGATGCCGAAACATCAACATTGTCAGAAGCCGGAAGGAGACAACTTTTGCTAGGAAAGTTGTCGGAGCCAGTTTATGAACAGTTGGTGGCGTCGATTAAACCGCGAAATTGTTCAGAACTAACTTTTGATGAATTAACAATAACGTTAACCAATCTTTTCGATGTTAAGCGATCCCTATTTGCTCGGAGATTCGCTTGTATGCAGATTTGTAAAACGGAAGAGAGTCCCACGGAGTATACAAATCGAGTAAACGAGCTATGTGAAAGAGCTCAGTTGAATGAATAAAGCGTCGAAGATTGGAAGGTATTTTTTTTCATAAAAGGACTGGATCGACCGCAAGAAGAGAAAATGAGAAATCATTTTCTACAATTCATGGAAAAAAGAACAACAGAAAAAAAGGGAACAACGATTAAGGACTTGTTTGCCGAGTGGATGAGGTTAGTTAGTCTAAAGAAGGATTCGGAGGAAATCCAAGGAAGGAGTGCGGAGGTAAGTCAAATAAACAGACGATTTTCTAGGACCGAGAAGAATTTTGGGCCTCGTAAGAATACAAAACCATTTAGTCGCAGCCAAAGCCGTGGACACCCAAGCAAAAGTCCGAAGAATATGGAATGTTGGAATTGCGGGATGAAAGGACATTTCAAGAAGGATTGTCGAAGACCTATCACACCTCGAAACACCCAAAGCGTTGTTTCCAGCTGCACAGTCAATGCTATTCGAAAATTTTTAAAGGTAAGAGTACAAGATTGTTGGATAAATTTTCAGGTAGACACCGGTTCCGACATTACGTTAATCGGTAGACCCGAATGGAATCAACTGGGAAAACCCACGTTGAAATCATCCGATGTGCAGGTATATTGTGCAAATGGGTCTACGATGAAAATAGATGGTAGGTTTGAGACTGATTTTGAATTAAAAGGCTCAAACGGTCATGGGTGGATTTACGTCCGCCAGGAAGGAAACCTTCTAGGTTTGGATTTTATTAATCAATCCGAAGAAATGGCGTACCACATAGAAATGATGGTAAACCGGGTCGAAACGATGGAGAAGGATTGGACCAAAGAGCTGAAGGAACGATTTCCAAGAGTGTTCGAAGAAGGACTAGGCACTTGTACGAAGGAAAAAGCACACCTGGAAGTTAAGGTAGGTTCCAATCCGGTATTTAAAAGAGCAAGGCCGGTCCCATACGGATCAGTAGACATGGCAACGACCGAAATCGAGAGATTGGTAGAAATGGGAGTCATCGAAAAGGTGTCAAATTCCGCGGGAATTCGACGAAAAAGGAGGAAAAAATGAGGGAAATCGATAAATATCTCTCGCGGAGAGAGAGTGTGTGAACGGAGAGAGCGCGCGCCAAAGGGTAGAGATAACGCGCGCTGAGGGAAAGACAACGGGCGCAAAGGAGGCGCAGGGGGAGAAGTTAAAGGCCGGCACAGTAATGCCGCTTGGATTTCTCGCGGCGCGGAGCGACAGTAACCTAGCGGCGGCGTTAGGAGGTTTTTAAAAAAAAACGTTGTTTTTTAGTTTTTTTTTTTTTCTTTCTAACGGGATTCAAAGCCTATTATTCTGATTGCGGATTATGGAGCGATCTCGCGGAGGAAGGAGATGCGCGATCCAAGGGGAAGAGAACCTCCCAGGCATGTAGTTTAACTTGGTAGAGTTCCCCAAATTGGCGGCGCGGCCGCGTGGGAGATATTGGGGGGTTTTCTTTTCCCATTAAGACGGCGCGGCCGTAGGAAGGGAGAATTTCGGGAGCATTGCCCTTGCGAAGGGCCGGAGTTAAGTGATGACAGAAGGCTCTAGCCGTCCATTTGGGCGGCGATGAAGAGCTTCTGACTGATAACTTCGTTTCTTGCCACACAAAAAATTGTTCCTTCGGGGACGTTGAATTCTGGGCGGGGCCCAGAATTTTCAAAAAAGGTCACTCACAACCAGTGGGCGGCTCCGACAGTTCTGATAAAAAAAGCAAATGGAAAAACACGAATGTGCGCGGATTTTCGCACTGGACTTAATGCAAATCTAGAAGACGATAAACATCCTTTACCAACTCCGCAGGATATATTCGCCAACTTAAACGGCGGAAAAATATTTTCGCAGATTGATCTTGCAGACGCATATCTACAGATCGAGCTGGACGAAGAGTCGAAACAACTGTGTGTAATCAACACACATCTTGGCCTATTTCGTTATAATCGTTTACCTTTTGGGGTGAAGACAGCACCAGCGGTTTTTCAACAGATAGTCGATAAGATGATATCGGGGTTGAAAGGAGTTGCCGCATATTTAGACGACATTATCGTTGTCGGAGAGTCAGAAGAAGAACATGGTAAAAATTTATTACAGGTGTTCGAGCGAATAAATGAGTACGGATTCCGAGTTAGGATGGAAAAGTGCTCATTTGCAAAACGCGAAATTGAATTTTTGGGATTCATTATTGATCGAAATGGCAGAAGACCGAATCCAGATAAAACAAAAGTGATTCGGGAGATGATTCCACCGGACAACCAGAAAAAACTACATTCATTTTTGGGTATGATTACATATTATTCCGCTTTCATTCCTCGAATGAAAGAGATGCGGGGTCCTTTGGACCGGTTGCTGCAGAAGGATGTCAAGTGGGAATGGACCAAGGTGGAACAGAGTAAGTTCGAAGAACTTAAAAGAATCTTAGGATCCGATTTGAACTTGACACATTTTGAACTAACACTACCCATCGTGGTAGCGGCAGATGCATCTGATTATGGAATTGGTTGTGTAATATCACATTATATGCCAGATGGTTCCGAGAAACCGATTGCTCACGCAGCAAGATCATTGATTGGTGCGGAAAAGAATTATTCGCAAATCGAAAAGGAGGCTCTAGGATTGGTGTTTGCGATTAAGAGATTTCATAGGTATATTTTCGGAAGAAAATTTGTATTAAGGACCGACCACAAACCGCTTTTGGCAATTTTCGGTGAAAAGCGGGATCTTCCGGTATATTCGCAGAACAGATTGGTTCGATGGGCTACCATGTTGATGGAGTATGATTTCTCCATTGAATATGTTAGAACAGACAAGTTCGGCCAAGCGGATGGATTATCGAGAATGATGCAAAGAGCCCGAATAGAAGACGAGGATATTGTCATCGCAGAAGTGAATGTGAAAAATGTGGACTACTTGGCCGATAGCGTAAGAAAAATACCGATAACAGTCACAGATATTCAGAAAGCGATGCCTAAGGACGTAGTTCTAAAGAAGGTCGTAGATTGCTGGAAAACGAATCGATGGCCGAGGAACAGAGATGTCGAAGCTGATGTGAAGCCGTTTATCGAACGAAAAGAATTTTTGTCAGTTACGGATGGATGTTTGCTTTGGAAGGAACGAGTGGTGATTCCAAATTCGTTGAGAAAACAGGTATTAAGACAGTTGCATGAGAATCATCCAGGAATCGAGAGGATGAAGCAGCTGGCCAGGACCTGTGTATACTGGCCGAAAATCGATCAGGACTGCACAGACGTCGTGAATCGATGTAGGAAGTGTCAGGAAAGTCAAAAATCTACGCTGAAAGTTCCGTTGGAACCATGGCCGAAGCCGAGGCGAGTGTGGAGCAGAATTCACATTGATTTTGCCGGACCGGAAAATGGATTGTGGTATTTTATAGCTGTAGATGCACTTACAAAATGGCCAGAGGTTGCAATCACAAGATCTATCTCTGCATCCGCCACGGTAGGATTATTGAGAAAAATGTTCGCCGCGAACGGACTGCCGGACACGATTGTATCCGACAACGGCACTCAATTTATTTCAGAGTCTTTCAGAAATATGTGCGTTGAAAATGGTATTCAACATATCCGAACACCAGCGTACCATCCACAAAGCAATGGACAGGCTGAAAGATTTGTAGATACGCTAAAGCGCGGATTACGGAAAATGAAGGAAGAAGGAACACCATCTCAAGAGCTGTTAGACAAGTTCTTGATGTATTATAGATCAACGCCAATGGACACGATCGGTGGTGTTTCGCCAGCGGAAGCTCATTTGGGTCGTAAGTTGAAGACCAAATTATCTTTATTGATACCGATGTCGGAGCAGAAAATAGATAAAAAAGAGATATCGGCTCGACAGAAATCAATGAAGGAGTATTTTGATGGGAAGGGGGTCAAAGGAAAGAGTTTTCAGGTGCAGGATAGGGTTTTCGTGAAGATTTTCCGGAATAATCGATGGAATTGGGAAGACGGTGTAGTAACGAAAGTATTAGGACCAGTGATTTACTTGGTAGACCATAGTGGTCAAGTGAAGAAGTTCCATGCGAACCAAATGAGACCAAACCGAGTAAAAGTTCAAGATGAGGAGTGGTTCGATACAATGGCGGAGGTTTATATGTTACCCCTAACTCATGAGATGATTTCAGATAAGTCGGAGGACATTCTGAGGCAAAGTCAGTTGGAATCAGGAGACCCCGCGAGTGCAATGGAATCGTCCAGAGTAACACCGAGAACCCCGAGATCGACATTTACAACCGGACCACACCACTCAAAACACCGAAAAGAACACCAAAATCAACCATCGCAGCAAGCCGAAACCAGTTCACCGTCGCCGTCGTCAAAAGATTGTATGTTATCAAATTTCCCTCGCTTAGTGCCCCCTGAGAATAGTAGTTTATTGTCAATTGGTTATGAAGCGCTAGGTAGTCAACAGAAAGTATGTGTTGAAACCGGTGGGGACCCGGAAACCCAAGGAAAACTGGAGAAGACTACACAAGACACGCGGATCGGCATACTCAAGCCTCCCTCAACTTCAACCGAGGAGATTTTACGCCGAAGCTCAAGAACAAGGAAGCCCGTAGTGCGATTCGACCCAAGTCACTAACACAGAAGAATGCATACAGCCACCCGTCAGAAAATCTGCAAACCAACAAAATCCACAAGAATAACCAAGCGTCACATTTTCACGAATCCGTCGCCACGCCATCCCACGGACAGTATCAGAATCGAGTCCACTTTTTTTTATGAGGGGAGATGTTACGAGGATTCTGGCTTGATCATCCGGGGCGTACGGTAAGCACTCGGTATATACACACATACCGGAGTTGACGCGCAAGTGAAATATTGAGTTTTTATTATTTGATCTATCGTTAGGCGGCTGGTTGTAATGTTATGTTGTTCTTGTTCGATAATGGGTTAGTTCAATCTGTTGTGTGACACGCAATAAGCGTGATCATTGTTTCTGATATATTTTGTAGTTTTATAATTATTGTACATTTGATCGTTGCTTGTCGTTTTGTATTTACCATTCAGATAAAGCATCCATAATAAGTTTGCACCGCGAGATATAACAGTATTCATAAATTTTCAATTGAATTGCTCACCATGTAAGTAGGAATAAGACAAGAACATCTTCTTGACGAAGCAAAAGCATATTTGAATATGTTTAGCTGTTCTCTGAAATTGAACTTCCATATTCCTTTGAAGTAGAATTCAATAGTAACAGTGAGAAGAGTGAAAATATACAAAATCGAGAAAATTGCCCAGAATGCGATGTTGTGAAGATACTAAAATTTGTAATTTAATATAATTTAGTTGAATATTATTATACCACTCCACACATTGCAATCAAAATGAAGACAGCAACAACGGCAAACGCAACATGTGCGTTGGCATTGACATCGGGATGCCGTAGTTGATATAATTTTAGCATTCCGAGCATTCCTATCACATACATGAAAGATGTGTCTGCAATGGCATAAAAAACAAAATCCTAGAATCAATTAGTCACCAAATTGATAATTGCTGCTTGACGGACAAATGTGGTAACTGGCTGATAGAATACCTTCAAGAACAACGGATATTCCAATAGCTGTCATAATTCCGCCATGTTGTGGGATGCCGCATTCCTAAATACATAATTTTAGAAACAGTATACATATATATCGTATACCTTGTCAATTCTAGGATACACTTGCATCAGGTGTGTATATCGGAGTTCTCGTTGTTTATTGAGAACAATCAGCAGAAGCCCGAGAAGAATGTAACCGATATTACTAAAAACATTTAGGGCGGGAAAAAATGTGGTAAGGCGAAAAGTATAAAATAGAAATACCTGATGATGTTGTTGAATGCAATAAAACCCAAGAATGGACGAGCACATCGAAAGTTGTACCAACACAAATCCATATCTCCAGACAAACGAACGGTGTTTTGCCATGTCAAAACAAGTTGCACAACAGGCAAACTATAAAAAAGTCCAACGGTTGCCAGTGTTCTGAAATTGATAATTTTTATATTTTGAAGTTGTTAAAAATCGGCATACACCCAATAAACATTGTATTTTTTTTCTCGCTGCTTGAATGTTTTCATCGACATATCGGCGACAGTTAGTTTCGACTTAGCTCTTGCTACTAATTTATCTCTGTGGTCAGGCAAAACATCGTAGTCGTTAATTTCATCATCTCGGAGCATTGCCTCTTCTTGAGCCAAAATCCTATTCCTTTCCGTATAATTCGCTGAATAATTACTATGTTTTTTGGATAATGCAGTTTATTACCTTCTTCGAAAAAGCGATATCCTCTATTAAAATGCTCCTGCTCTGCATTATTGTCGGCAACCATATACACTATTGCAAGAATGTAGATGAAGAGAATTACTCCAAGTATCATTGAAATTGCAAAAATATATTCTCCTTCTGAATATGACTTTTATTCTTTAAAAGAATAAATAATTAAGCATACCAGTAGATGCTGACTCGATGGTTACATTGAAATTTTTTTTGCGGATGTTCTTATGGATTGGGTCTGAATGGATTGTATCAGCTACAAAAACTCTTTTTTTTTTCTTACGGGGAGGTAAGACATCTTTCATATCGGAGCAAATATTATCATTCGGATTAACAACAAAGATGACATAAAATGCCTCCATTTCACTCCTTTCTACGGCTATCGATGCGGATTTCGTCATACTTTGGTGACTTCCAGTAGAAATCACATTATTGGTTAAATCAAATACGGGACACTGAAATAAACAGGATTTGAAGATGTTTTAAAGTTTTGCTAAAAAATTTACTCCGATTTTTTGAATAGATACTGTCATACAAACTGTTGAGTTTGAATCAATATGAACAACCACCGAATCGATTCCTTTCGGAATACGATATTCCAAATAAATTGGTTCCGAAGCACTAGCAACAACTTCCCTAGTTTTATCCATTCTGAAATTCAGAAATTACCAAGAATTATTGATTTTTGATTACTCCAAAAAGAAATTGTTGACAATAGAAGCCACAAAATTGTAGTGAACCGGTTTGAAGCTGCTCACTTCCACAGTTAGCACCTCATTTTCCTAAACGTTAAATGTTTGTTATTAATTCTACTTTTTTTCATTTTCCTACATCATCGGTAAATGGACATAGAGTTCTACCAACTTTATTGTACTCGTGATTCTGTATAATGATTGGTACCTGAAACTTTATTTTTAGTTTCTCTGTTTTGATAATTTTTTATACTTGAAGACTTAATATGCCACTTTTTTCTCGAAATACCACCAGCAAAGGGTTTGATGTGCTGCTGTCATTGCATGTAACCCGGACTCGTGCAACAGAATACTGAAAGTGACTTAAAATTAGTGCAATTTCTGAAATACATACCTCGATTTCAACTGGAAAACGAAAAATTGTTAACGAAGAATTGTAGAGTGTTTTTTCATTGTATTCCTGATTCCAATTTGCGTCAATAATTTCCGGACTTTGACAACGCGAGTAATATAGCAAAAAGTTGTAAAACAGGTACAATCGCAACAGCATCTTGAATTTATGGGCAAATGATAGCGTAATTGATAATAACTAAGGTGGAAGGTACTCCAAAGTCATATGTTGTTTCACCGAACCGACTCATTTGAATCCGCCGCCGCAACCAATACGCGTGCGATAGAGCGCAACTGTTGTGCGATTAATTTCCACATCCTTTTACTATTTACCTCACATTTCACGTAAACGCGACAGTATATATAATTAGTTCACTACCATAGGATTTATTAGGAAATTTACAATTAAAAATCCTGCGACTATTTTTGTTGTTTGAAGAAATGTTCAATAGAGATATTGAAGTTTGAATCTGAAAATAAGATTAATTTTCAATTGTTTTTAAATCGAAAGGAGGCAGCGGATTCAATATACTCATTATGGTGAATTGCATGAAGTATAGTTAAGTTTCAATATGTCTCTAAATTTTTTTAATATAAAAAAATCTAGGCCATTATGTTAATTTTTGTGTGCTTTCGATATGTGAACAAGAACATTTTTATTTTTACCGCATATTTATATTTCTTAATTTTTGATCAAGATGATTTTGTTCATTTTCAATAAACAGGACTGGCCATCAAGATTTTATTCCAATTCTACACACGTGACAAAAAAAAATTCCGGAACCCATTGATTATAGTACAAGCACAGCTACTATTAAAAGAGAAGAAAAAGATGTTTGGCGATGATAGAACTGTCAGCAGATGGAGTATGCATGCTTGTTGGGGAAATGATTTTATTCCTCTTCTTCCTCCTCTCCCTCTTCTTCTTCTGTAAACGAATTAATTAATTTCGCAATCATAATTTATTTGTCGCACCTCCTTCTGGCTCGGCAGATTCTGGCTCAGCAGCTGGAGTTGGTTCCGGCTCCGGCTCGGCAGTTTTTTCTTCAGCCTTTTCCTTGTTCTTCATGGACCAATCTGGTTTATCGTCCTTCTTCTTCTGTAATCAAATTTTCGTTAGACAGTTTTTCAAATGTATTTTCACGTACAACGTTGACAATAGCATCCATGACGTCTTTCTTGACAATTTTGAGGTTGGCGCGGAAGTCGCCGCCTTGCTTCGTTTCTCCGGACTTTTTGAATTTGTTGTCGTATTTGGAGACCTTCTTCAAAGCTGGCTTAACGCTGAAATGGTGAACTACACCTTCTGTCGTAAATCAATACACTTACAATTTTCCGCGGAGGTCGTTGACTTCAATGGTAAGAGAGTTGATTTCAGCTTCAGTGCGTCCAACAATGTAGTTGATGTCATACTTCTCCTCTTCCAATTGGCAGAGGCGGGTGAATAGATCGTTGTAGATCTTTTCAAGTTGAGCTAAAGCAATTCGGTCTGGTTTCGGTATAGATTGTTATGCAATTACCCTTGTCATCGATGGAGTCGACATTTGGAAGTGGGATAGTTCTTTCAGAAAGAACCTTCTGTCTTTCTTGCTCCTTCAACAATTGCTGTCTCTTGAGGTCTTCAGCGGCCTTGACCATCAAAAGCTTCTGTAAATTTTATTGATTACAAACAGCATAATCTATTCAAGTTCATACTCTGAGCTTCTTCTTACGCTCAGGCGTAAGGAATCCCTTCTTAGCCTTCTTCTTGTTTCCAGCCTCTTCAAGGCGCTTGCGCACCTCGGCCTTCTTGCGCTCCCGCTCTTCAGCTTTGCGCTGAGCGTCGTCACCAGCTTCGTCGCTCATCTGCAAAAATAGAAATAAATGATGATAATAATAGAAAAGTAATATGATATGTTTCAAATTGAGCAGGGAAATGAGATCGGAAGGAGTAGACGGCGACTCGTCGGATTGTCTCATAAGAGTGAGTGAATTGAGGACGAAACACGGACACGATGTGTCCGCGGGAGCCCGGCCCCCGCCCTCTCAGCTAAAGATAACTGCTCTTTTAGCCCATCACGTTGTAATGCCGCATCGCCTACCAATTGCAATATATTGGATTCAAAGAGGGCAAAAGATAAATACAAAACATTTTCCGATGTTGCTCACGGGTGTACATCAGTTTAGTAAGAGATTTCTGAGGGACTTTATCAGATTTTTTTCTCTTCCCAATGGCACCAATTAGAACGGCGAATAGTGTGTAAATTGATAGGCAAAAATTCGCAGGAAACATTGGAATTTGAGAGATAGTTTGGCAATAAGCCTAACATGATATTACAAAACTTCATTCACATAGATAATGATTTGACGAATATAGGTCAGAATAAATTCATATTCAAATGCTCAATTCAAATTTCAGCTATAAAGTAACGATTTAAACATTCTCGGCCTTTTTTGAATATATCATCGTCAAAATTGACTTATTGAGTTTCATACATAATGTTGTTTATATAAAATTAAATCAACGAATGTATTACCGTATTCAGCTCTTCAACTCGACTACATTTTTGAAGCTGTGACATTGCTTCCGATTCGCTCTGAAAATAGCACCTCGTCTTTGTTTTGACAAGTTCCGAAACTCACATGTTATATGAGAAGAGATGAATAAGTGTTCAAAAATCTCGTTGGCCGCCGTTAAAGAAAATAATAGCTGTGGCAAAAAGTGAAATTCGACGCGGGCTCACCACTATGCGACAAATTTCTTTTCACGTGTGTTTTCCAATAGACGCAAAGGTGTCTTATAAAATGCGATACATCAATGAAAACATTCACAATTTTTGAATCAAATTGTTCTCACAAGTTGGCTCCCGCTGCCTAAATAAATGGGGAAATGAAATGAAATTATTGAATAATTTTAATTTCTAGCTTCAACGATTTATTGATTTAGTATTTCGATTCTAGACAATTTTTATTCTAGAACATTCAATTCCATTACGCTTCGTCAATTTTTCTAATAAGGCCTATGACAAATATCTTAATTTCAATTTTTAACTTTTTTATAATAGTATTCTTCAAAAATTTTCATTAATTTTCTCGCAAAACGGAGCTTCTAGCATCTTCAAACATTGATAAATTCGTCAATATGTTTTGTTTCTTTTCTTTTTAATTTGTTTCTTCTTATTATTGCCGATGCTGTGACAGCCGTGCGGGCGCTCTCCAATTTCCTTTACGCCTCTTCGCCCCACGATCGAGACAAAGGTTTACACTGTTTCCTGGAGTAATGCACACGTTGCGGGGAGAGAATATATTGCAATAGTTCTTGACTGAATGAAACCCAGATTGATGACCGAGCGAAAAAAGTGTGGTTGATGGTGGAGGCGGACCCCAATATATGTTGGGGATGAAGGGCTACATCTGTATCAAATCAGGTTTTTTTTTTTTTGAAAAATCATTATGCCGCGGAAATTGGTCACGAAATACGATGATGAGTTAAGCTTATCATGAAAAAAAAAACAAGAAACGAACAAAAAAATTGTAAAATTTTTATAGATTGTTGTCAATCATAATATAATTTAAAATAAATGAAACAATGCGATTTTACCGGTTATATGAAAATCTTGTAAAACTGACACGCAAGTTCAGTTTTACTCAATGACAAGCCTGAATAACATGGAATGTGGGTCAAAAAGCAAAAAATGTTTCTTAAAACTTGATATTAAAGGTAGGCTATTTCGTCATCGTCATCGACATCAAGTTCCGCTTCTCCGCGAATCAGTAGTGCAGTACCACTCTCGAAATTCGTCGACGTGTCAAACATAGTTCGAGAGCTGGTTGACGAAGATCTAAAAAGAAACAATCAAGATGATGGAAAGATTTCAAAAAAACCTTGTCAAATTTGACGATTTGTTGTTCGTTGCGGAGGTTGACTCGCTGATGCTGCCAGAAACATCATTCAGAAGACAGCTTCCTTCTAAACTGCCAATTGACATAAACCTTGAAAATTTCAAAGATTCGTAAATATGTGTTTGGCTTAATTACTTGTTTTCTGGCATTAAGTTTCCTATCGAATCTCTAGAAATTACTTGAATTGTATTTGAGAAATGAATATATCTGAAAATTGAATTCCAGAATTTTTCAAAGATATTTTTTTCCCACTTTTGTTTAATGATACTGTTGATATCGCTGGTAGTCGCAGATTTGTCTAATTTACGTCTTGGACGTTCATCTTCGTGGTTTTCTTTGGAAAGCGACTTGCTGCTAGTGAATTTAAGCGCCTTAACAATTATAAAATAATATCCCAACACAAGTCAAAAATGCCTCACAGAAACAAGTTGATTGATAAAAGCAGATCTATCTTTAGCATTCATTTTGTTTGTTGGCAGATCACTTGGAGGGAAAACATATTCGTCAGATTGTGGTGATGAGCATTGGTCGGCTGAAAGCATTTGACACAATTGGGATATTTCGAGAAATCGGCAAACATTGCTCTTGGCTCGCATTGTCAACGATTGCCTGAATTTCAGCCGACTCATTTCCAGTTTCTTCATCAATTGAAGGAACATCTTTTTGGATACGACAGGTCGATTTGTAATGATTATTCGATGAGAACAATGGTGAAGTTTCGCTACAAGACTCGCTTCGGTGTGCAGTAGCTCTGGAAAATCTGTACCAACTTTATTATGGGTTCAATAATAATAGATTGAAAATTTGTTGTTTTTCATAAATTCTGTTTTTCACTATTTCATTCTAATTTTTGAATAGTAAATGATTTTGGATTATGCATAGTATGATTCTCCGCTCCTCCATTTTTTTCGTAGAGCAATTAAAACTAATAAGTGCAAAATATAAGGATGTTGCACGATTTTTTTTCCAAAAAATGAGTCATTCTCACAAAGCTATAGTTGAAATCCAAGTTCGCTAATTGTGTATTTTGAAATAAAAAGTTTCCGGTAAACATGGATTCGCATAAAAATAAGCTTACGTGATCTTTGTGCTATGGTTCACCTTCGTCGAGCTGTTTGCAAAACCATAAGGATCCTTCTTCTTGCAATCAAACCACTTGATGAAATCCTTTATAGCGCTTCTGAAAAAAAAGTAAGATTGTTGGAAAATTTAAATGTGTGTTTACTTGAATTGGGCTCTCATTTCCTTGTTGAGAGAAAAGTAAATAACTGGATTAATCATATGAGTGATGGAGTAGAAATAGCTGTTGAATATCATAACTGCAGTGGATTGAAATCGACTGTAATACGAAATGTAGTACGCCGTCATGTAACCGTAAAAGATAAGAGCAACAACAGTAATCTGAAACTGAGATTTTTCCAAGCAACTTCAATTTCATTATGTGCCTGCAAGAGAATGCGTTGTTGCTGCCGATTTGCTCGTCGACCGGCCATTTCACGAACATCGTTTGTCAGATGTTTGCTTCCCATCTTCATCGACATTTCCAGAAGCATTGTACTTGCTCTGAAACAGAATCGTTCAAGTACCAGTATTCACGTTCCAACTACAGATAGCGGAAAAGCTCTGAACTAAAATTTTGGTTACGATAGGTCGGTCATTCATAACTTTATCCCTGCAATTCGTTAGAATTTCGGAATCTCCTCTAAATTGTGAGTAGAAAGGTTTAATTGTGAGTAAATCAACTGGATAAGTTTCGCATGCTCTCGTGCAGGGAATTCATTTTACCCGATGTTTTTTTTTCTGCATGCAACGGGGAAAACAGATAAAACATTGATAGTGAAACATGTATCATGCAGGAAAACACAAAATATTGTTCTATTCTACTATTTATGGGACCACATATTTTTTATGTAGTTACTGTCGATACTAACACTATTCTAGGTGGAGAAGAGAGAGTAGAACGCAGCCTAAAATTGATTATTGTTGGTGATTTTGTGCATTTTTCTTAATGAATAATTGACAATTTGAATGTCTAAAAACTTATTTGCAATAGAAAAAATGAAATATATAGCAAATAAAATAGTTAGTGAATAAAAAGAAAAAAAGAAAAAGTCAATCTAAAGTGCGTTGAATTTTTCTCAACCCACCTTTGCCATTGTGATCGCTGTTGCTTCAGAAGCGATGAGGACGAGGTTGAAACGCTTTTGGTGGTACCTTGCCTAAAAAAAAGCACAGCACTCATTACACGCGCACTCTTAGTGTATCTTCCGGATAATGTTTGACGAAAACCTTATGACACGGCTTGAGGCAATTTCAAAAAAAAAATTGGCAAAATTAAAGAAAAACAATTATATGAAAATGAGAAATGAAGCCATAAAAGTGATGTTATTCAAAGTTAGCAATGAAAATGTAACTGTGCAAAAAAAAACATGCAACTAGGCGTCGGATCGGACCAATTTTTCAAAGTATAAAGGACTTGAACTTTTGAGACAAGAGACTTTTGAGACATAGCCAACTTACTGTCGGAGTGCAATCTTCCTTTTGTGTCTTCGATAAAGTTGCACAAGCGTTATCGGATTGCTGAATGACAATATCAATATTGTCAATATTTCGAGTGGAGTATATGTTAGAACATATACATTAAATTTTTCTGAAAAAAAGAAGGAAAACAAATCTTCATACAATTTCATCATACTCGTTTCACTGTATCCAAAACTATAATAGTTTAGCGACTCCAAGGGTCGAATCATACAGCACGCATGAAGAAAGAACAAGGTTACATTCGTACTCAGGAACACTATCCAACAGGAAATGCTTCAATAGATATGTATATTGTTTTTATGGAAAAATTTTATTTTGCAACCTGAATGTTCTTATTCGTTGAACTGTCACAAGGACATTATACCGACCATACAGTATAATGGCGATTAGTCGATCAATGCATATTGCGGACATGTGGCTAAAAATTTTTAAAGATCCTATTTGTCTTTAAATATTGCAAATTCTCTCAATTTTTAAACTCTCTTACTTATTTATGAATATCTTCATAATTTATTTGCATTTTTATTTAAAAATCGTCATTTTGCGAGAGATTTTAAAATAGACCTTTGCAGTTCTTCTGAAATGTTTCGAAATGCAACATTTCAATTTCGGTATTCCTGCTTTCTATTTCAATGTTTTTTCCTTTAAAAGTCTGACTTCAAACATTTTTCGACAAAAACTTTAATCATTTGGGAGTTCATTTCAAACAACAAATATCAACATTTTGCGCAAGACAAAAAGATGTTTTTTTTTTTTTGAAATCATGTTCCCCAAAAGACAAAAAAAGAACAAACGTCAGCGTGATGGCCCAAGCCGTCCAATCAGTGATGTTGAATAATCGGATTGCCAGTTCACCAATATGCATCTTCTGCAGAAGAATTGGAGGGTAGAAGTGGCACGTTGTGACGAAACCATGAATCACGTCAGCAATTGCCAAATTGAGCATCAGTATGAAACTGCAACAAATCATTTTTACAGGTGCTGCCAACTTCCGGAAAACCTTGCACGATGCAAATACTTATTGTTCAGGAGAACAATTATCAAGGCAAGATTGCCAACGATTGCGCATACTCCAACCGACTCAAGACCTCCGAATATAAGAACATCTACTAGGCCAACCCGATTCGTTGAGTTTGATGACATCTGAAGGAAAGTGAAAATTCAAAAGAACACTTACGAACTCGACTAACGAAATGTAAAAATATGAAAAACACATATATCGAGCATATACATATTTTTAACCGCTGACTCATTGAATGTAGGAATCTTTCAAGAAAATCATTAAAAAAAGCGCAACGCCTTCTAATTATGCGTAGCAAAGATTTCTAGTGAGTAAGTGGAAGAAAGAGCGCACGAAATAGATATTGAAACCAATCCCTTATATGTTTCTTGAATATTCGTCGCATTGCCTAGACAGGGATTTTGGTTGTACGCGAATGAAAACGGCTCGAGAAACCTTCTTGCATTGCAAATGTGACATATTTGATTCAATTCGCACTAAATCAAAGTAAACATCATTTGGTATAAAGCATTGCATTCCACTTATGCGGATTTAAGACGATGGAATCTTTTTGGCATTCTAATTAATTACAGTAATAATGACGTCAAGGAAAAATGACAATCTGAAAACACCTGACCGAGTAGTCAGCCTAAAAGTCAATATCGGATATATTAAAAATGACTGACGCGATTTCTGATCTATGGAACACATTTTTCGCCTTTCAATCATTTTCTATTTAAATGTGGCATTGGAAAAAAAATTAAAATTGTAAGCATTTCTTTCAGAGTTTGAACTTTTTTTCATTCAAAAGTTTAACCATTCAGTTTATAATGAAAATTAATGAGGGTAGATGGGATGCAAATTGTGATTTTTTTATGCACCTTGTTGAAAAAAAAAAGACGGGTTTGAATGTAATTGAAAATTTTAATAAAACATCGAGGAAATTATTCTAAATAAAATATATCGGAAGGATGAGACGAATTGGCAAGCTCGAACCCATCACATCTTGAGACAAAGTAGACCAAGACCAAGAAAAAAGAGTTTGGAATACTTTGCCTTCGCTTTTTCTCTTCAATTTGCACTAGAACTACCACCACCACCCTCCTTCCATTTCCTTCAATTCGTTCATGAAATTAAATTAGAGTTAAGGTTGGTTAATCGTGAACTGCGAGCGGCACGCTGAACAAAACCGAAGGCACAAACACAGGAGAATGGGCGAAGAAAACGAAAAAAAAATAACGTTGAAAAAAAAAAAACGGGAGCGAGTTGAAAACGCAATTTGTTTGAAACATTTCTTATGCGAGAGTTTGGCTCACCACCTAACAATTTTTTAAGCGACCGCTTCCGATATCATAAGGTGAGCAGAAGAAAATTGCTTGTTTTCGCCGAATGAACCAATTTTTTCTAATGTTTCGCATGAACTGCAAAAGTACTCTTTGAAAATTTTTGTTGGAAATACAATGTAAGGAATAACAATGTAAGACTTCTAAGACTTCTTCCAAACAGCGACAAAAGGCTAATATTTAGGTAATTACTCAATAAATCTGTAGAAAACATTAAATAAATTTAAAAATTTGTTTTTTTTTCCATTCGGCAATAGGTACTCAACATTAGTTAACAATATTTCTTATAAATAAATTTATTTATTTGAGCATAGTTTCTTTTACATTTTTTTGAACAGAAAACACTGATTTTATTTTATTTTTAAGCTGACAATAATTTTGGGAAATAGACAGCTGGAACATCATGATCTCGAATTTCTCATTTTCGCTTCAATTGGCGTAGGCAAACATAAATGAGCAAAAAAAGAAGAGATGGACCACCGTAAATGAACATATTGATACAAAATGTTCTTTAATTATTTTGTTGTACAATGTTTTTTTTTTAGTTTCTCTTAAATAGAAAAGTAGCGAAAAGTTAATATAAAAGCATTGCGTTCCATCTAAAGCAATAATGTTGAACGTCGTGATGAAATCTCAAATGTGAAGAAAAATGCAAAAAGCAGACGTTCTGAAAAGTTAATTAGCTAATATTTTCCAGAGTCCCATTCATTTTTCGCAAACGTTTAGGTGACAAATTAATTTTGTTTTTCGTATTTTATTTGAATAAAGGCAAAATCTCGAATTGTTCAAAACGTGCATTAAGACCAAACAGAATATTGCGACTGAAATATGAGAGATTGTCATCAAGGGAAAATAGCTAACTAAATACACTAAAGGAGGAAACGAAGGAGATGGGAGGGCACAAATAATGATGAAAGAGCGATTCAGTCAATCACGATTTCAAGCGAAACAATCCGGGGATTTGAACTCAAGCATGCGACCATTGAAATTTTGAGAAACACACACGTTTTGATGCACGCAATAATATTCTGGTTCGTATTGACCACATAAGGAAAGGTTTACGGTTGAGTTCCCAAATCTAACCATGTTTAGATATTTATTAAATAAGAAATTGTGTTACTTTATTAATGTCATTATAAATTCTGTTACTTGTTACGATGTGAATTAAAAACCGGCTCAATTTTTTATTGAATTGTCTCTTATTGACTATAGAAGGAAGGATTCCATTTGGGCAACCGTCAACGTAAGCCCATATTATACCCAATTTTTAGGCGTTTTTTTTGTAATTTGCCGATTTCTATAAAAACCGCATTAGGTATATGAAAATAATTATACGATTAATATTTTTAGTTGAAATCAACAAATTGTGAATATTATACATACCAAGATTTTCAAAATGTGGATTTCATATGTGCGGTGCTCTGGACTATGGATAATTCTCTGTCATTTAATTTTTTTTCTATCAATCAAAAGTAAGCAGTCAATAGGTAAATTTACAAATTCATTAGATTTGATTTGGAAAAAAAGTGAATTTTTCTTATTGATCAGCCATTTCAAACTGACAATAGGAGTACATGAAATATCGTATTGACGTAAAAGATATTGGCTTTATAGAAATGAAAAATATGGTCTAGCGATCAAAGACGATTGAGCAAAGACACCGGTAACAATTGTCGGGCGGATGGTTGCGCATTCAATTGTGTCAAGAAGATTAAACAAATCGTGGATAATATTGCTTGAGAGTTTTTTTTGCTCGCAACCTATGAAAAGTTCAACAAGAAAATTTGGAGACAGATTTCCAAAATTATTGCATCAGAAATCGTCGTTTCACGCGTTGAAATAAATATAAACAATCAAGATTTAATCAAAATTTGTTGGAAGAATCACGCGCGTCTGAATAAAGCAAAACTCGCCATGAATCTGATAAGATTGCGTATTTCAACGTGCTCATGAAAAACTGATGGAAGGGATGAAAACTCATTTTTTTATAGCCGGAAGTTGATGAAATCTGTACATATTTTGGAATCAAAAAATGTTTGAAACTATGTATTGCCAATCAAATTGCTTAGAAAAATGGGCACACTAGAGCATGTTCAATGGGATAACATATTTTCCCATCTGGTCCGAACAACGACAAATGATCGAATAAAATTCTCATTTTATGAACACTTTTTTCATTCCCATAGCAAAAAAAATGTGACGAGAAATGTGAATGCTGGCGATGAGTTTACCAGCGGGGATGGAGGCGCACTGACTTGTCTGTATGGTCATTTTGTACAAAATTAAGGCAATTTAGTGTGTTTTGGTTTAAATGGTCAACAATTGGTTGAAATGCGAGTGTATATAGCAATTTAATTTTGGACAAAAACTAAAGAAAACAATTTTGGTCGCCGAAAGTCGATGAGGAAGAAAATGCCGAAAAATGTGGTGAACGGACCACTCCTCGCCGAGAAAATCGGTGCTAGGCTAAGTGTGAAACAGAAAAATGCGGGAGCATTCCGCATGTCACCACGATCCAGCGAGCGTTCATAGACAATTGAAAAATTCTTATTCGTCGCCATGGAACTTCCAATCAAATCCTAAGTTCATTCACCTCAACCACAATTAATAAAATGACAACTTTATTTTCACACAGTTATTAATAGAACTTTACAAATACGAATAAAGAAAAAGAAATTTATGTTGATCTAGCATTATGATCTTCTTGTTTTTTTTTCTTCGGGATCATTTTGCTGCATAAGCACTAATAAAACTTGACTGTAACATGTATAAAAAGAATGAAGATAGAGTATCCAATTTTAGATGCTTAAAAGCAAAGCTCCCTTCGTGCATATAAATGGGCAAGTTGAGCGATACAGGAATTTATATAAATAAAATTAGGACAGAAATAGAACGAGGACAATTATCTTCGAGAAATAAAGACGCTACGTTTTCAGAGAAGCACTCTCAACGAATAGGCATTGAATACACATGGTTACGATAAAAGCATTCGATTTAAAAATATTTTTGCAGATTTTTTTAAGGTGGTATACGGAAATGACATTTTGAACTTGAGAAATTTTCAACTGAAAGTGATTCAATGCTCACTGAATTGCACTATTGAGATCGAATAAATGCACGCCACAAGATCAAATAAAACCTAGGATGCTATCTGTCAATGTTACACTTGAATGTATTTTAGGATATCAATATGTTTTTTCTCCACCAATCCCACGTGATGTGAAATAAAACAGTACCAACAAAATTGGCAATAAATGGATTTGTCTCGATGTCTTTCCGATCGAAGTAATATTAATTTTGTCACGAGAAATGACATGATAACATGTTGTCTGGGCTCCAAAAATCTTGAAGTAGATTAAAATTTTATATGCTTATGTATGAAAAAAGGCATCACTGTTTGGGTAGTTACGTTTTGTTTTTGGGAAACCAAAGCAAAATTGCTAATAAGGTGTGGATGATATAATTTAATGCTTCAAAGTAAGAATTTTAGAAATTCCATATATTTTGTAATGGTGATGGAAAAGTATGTGATTTTACGTGAAATTAGCTGGTATTTTAAATATTTTAGAATAGATGGATCAAAATGAAATTTGTATTTTAGACAAATGAAATGTAGCCGTTCGTTATCTCGGTTTATTTATTTTGATATAAAATTTCCAAATCGTTTTTTTTAAATGATTCCACCAGGAAAACAAAACCAACAAATTCGACATAATAACTCGACTTGCTAAAAATTCTATTAAGGTGTTACACATTGATCGTTTATTTTAATCTCAGCCCGTTTGAAGAAGAAACGTTGAGCAAAACCCAAAAAAAAAATGAAAAAAAAAATTAGTTTGTTCTTCCAAACTCGTTACTCAGTGGTTTACAAAAATGACGTTGAAAACAAATGAACTTAACGAAATTTGAAACACAACCTTAAATCTTATTAGTTTTTTGGTCTTATCAGACTTCGAAATTTCATCAGAAGAACGAAATAAAAAGCGTTGAGTTCAAGAAAAAAAGAAAAACTATTCCCTTCCATTTTTGGGCAACATCTTGCGTTAGACTTAAGTTATGAGTAACTCAATAATAAAAGGGAATGGAAAAAAGCTTTCATATATGGCAACGCATTGCTGAGTCAAAAATCGGATCCCATGGGATAGATTGAAATTGACAACCTGGATCGTTTCTCTATTTTTTGCAGTGGCCTTTTTTGAACCTATTCATTGGTTATTTGGATGAGAATTGAGGGTGGACAACTCAATGAACTCGATCTAATACAATTTCGTTGAGAAGTTGTTCAAATTCAATAAAGATGAATTGAAAACGTTGTATGGCTATTTTCGTAAGGCAAGAGGTGGACCAATACAATTACTGGTCAATTTCCCAAGTATTATAAAATGGGTGAATATCACTTGTAGATCTATTCAATTGAGGATGAAAAATTAGGCATTAGTACATGAGATACTTGACCAGGAACTCAAATCTTTCTAAAGATTAGGATATCATGATAAAGCTGATTCTAACAATTTTGAGCTTTTCAGAAGACTCTAATCAAATAAATTCCGTGCTAATGGTCTTATATAATATTTATGATAACAATTTTCATGCAATTTCAAGTAGGTTCAACCCTTAAGTGTTCGATGTTCATTTGTTCAGAAATTCCCGCTAGTTGTTTTTACTCATCTGTTTGAAGCATTGAATTGAAATTTATAATTCAAAAAATCCTCTCAAAAGCGTTTTTTTTAAATAAAGTATAGCGAGACGAAAACAAACTCATCATTGAACCTTTTTTCCCATATGAATGAAGGAATGAGAGGAAGAAGAAGATGGGTAAGAAGAACACATCAAATCATATGGAATTGCTACCAAAAAATATATGAAATTAATTTCTTCTAGACGAAAAATGAACGCAAAAAGTGGGACCCGAATCTCATAAAAAGAAAAATCTTTCTTTTTGAAGACTTCGTCCGAATTTACAGGGTGTCATTTAAGTTCCCGCACAACTTTGAAGACGTATATTTCTGAAACTAAAGGTCCAAATCAAACGAGACTCGAAATATTTTTTATCTATAGTATAACAAATATTTATCTATTAACTCTTTTCGAAATGCGTTTGGGTCCAGGGCATCACATGCTCCTCTAAAAAGTCCCGAACGTAGACTTCTTTGTTCATTTTCATCCCCTGATCTGCAAAAACCAGGGGCGCTTCCCGGTTGAGCAGATGGCACCGAAAACCATCATACTGGCAGGATGTGAGGCTCGATGTATTGTTCTGCTTTTCTCAGAAGCTTGCTAGGATGTCTGGGCAAGTACTCGATGGTTTTGTGAGTTGAATGCCGCCTCCACAGTGAATAGCTTCTCGTCGGAGAAGACAGTGACGAGATGTTCTCCAGACTGCGTGCGAGCAAGAAGTTGTTTTGCTTTTTCGAAGCGTCTCTGCTTGTTGACGGCCGATAGAATTGCCGCTTTTTGGACACGATATGGGGTCAGTCCAAGCTTCGTTTTGACGATTTGTTCCATAGCGAAGATGCTCATTCCCACGTCTGACGCCATCTTTCTCATGCTCCTGTGGGGGTTTTGCCTGATCCTCGATTTGACGGCGTTTATCTTCTGAGGAGTGGTTACTGAGACGAGTCTTCCTTGTCTGGGACGGTCACTGGTCGTATTTAGCTCCTTGAAACGTTTGATGGTGTCGCAAACCGTTCTACGAGGCACAGCGAGGCGTTCAATGATGTCTCTCGGGCTCACATTTTGCTTATGAAGTTCGATAATGGAAGCGCGATGGATGTTAGCCTTCGCCATTTCTCGGAAACACATCCGAAAGAGGTGAAACTTGGAAAGTAAGTAAAATATACCTTATTTAACAAAAATAAATTGTATTGGTGCACGAAAAGTGCGCCAGCCAAGCTCTTCATGGCGTCAAACTTTTGTGCGGGAACTTAAATGACACCCTGTATAGTGCAAAAACGTCGCCATTCTTTCACTTTTAACTGCTGTGCGCAGCATAATTTTATTTCTGCCGGCACATCTATGCAGGCAATGGATATTTATTCTTCTCATACATAAATATACTTAACTTAATGTACGTCCATTAATTTGATTTAGAAAAGTTATGATTGAAAGTAAAAAAAATGTGTTAAATTCTTCAAAGAACAGATTAAGGCCGTGTGAATAAATAACTACTTGGTTCACAAAATGTTAGACTTTTTGCAAATAATTTCATTGTACTATATAAATAACATAGTAATTGATTCTTTTGAAAAACACCTTCGAATCAGGTAGGTTATGAAACTAAACTAGTCGTATTTATATTAGAATATAATTGATGCACAGTAATCAGATAAATTTAGATGGTTTCCTAGAGAAGCTTGAAATATATATTAACAAAATTTTTTTTCAATTTTTTGATGTTGCAGTTAATTTATGTTAAGTTAATTTATTTAATTATTCCTAATAAACTAATAGCAAAAACCAGAAAATATATGTTTTTAATCTTTTTCTGAAAACCATTTAAAATACATAAATGTAATCTAAATAAGGTCCATATATCGTCTGTTCACTTCTGAGATTTTTGAATGATTTAAATAACCACAAAATAATTTTGTCAAACGATTAACGTTATTAAAATAAATAAAGTTTTGAATAATATTACTCTGAAACAAACTATAGTTTTGCAAAAATTAAAGACATAAGAACTAAAAGCATTACTCGAAACAATAGTGTGCGTCTGATAACACGCATGCATTGAAAGTTATTCAGGTCCCTTGAGTAAAATTTTAGACAAATACTCAAACTGAGAGGGGTGTACATTCTTACCCAGTCAAAGTAACTTGCGAAAGGGTCATCAGTTATGTTTTGGAGTGAATGGAGTTGAATCCAAATAGATGGGTATACCACTTGCCGTTTTTCGTGAAATCATTCGGATGATCGTCGAACGGACCATCAATTTCAGCGTTGGAAATTACACTGCCATGATTTATAGCAACGCATTCAACAGTGCGAAATTGGGGAATTGAGAAGAGAAATAGAGCCCATGCTTCACTACGGTAGAGCAAAACGAATGGATTCAATGGAAGAGACCTTCTTTTTGTCTTCAAATCGTTAAAATATGGGAATTTGATTATTTTCTATTTGTTCTTGTTCAGTTTGAAAGTAAAAAAATAAAGTTTCGTGGTCCCAAACAACTCTTCAACTATAAAATTGGATTGTACAAGAGTTATGGAAATTCCTTATTAGCGCATCCATTTTCCACCCTCACCTTTTGAATACGACTTTAGGAAAAATATATTGAAGCAAATTGTTTTGTCTGTTAGCCTCATCGGTCTATTCCAAATAACTGTTTTATGATATTAGAACCCTTTTGCAAACACAATGGAAGAAGTAACATTATTAAAGTATCTACTAGTTTTTTTTTTGTTGTGAATTGCTAAAAAAAATATATAGTTCAAAATGACAAGATGAAGAAAAATGAATGCAATCGCGGGCAGAGCAATTAGTCGAAGACGAGGTTCAACGCTTGCTGGTTTTGACCTTCGGCGTTCTTAACCACACACTTGTATTTGGCTTCGTCGTCCTTTTGAGGGCCGTGAATTTCAAGCAAGAATTGGAATCCATCCTTGTCCTAAGAATTATTATAATGATGTTCATCATATTTTATCATATAACAATACCTTGTCGTCCTTCTTAACGACAGCTTTCACTCTGTCGCTGAATTTGACCGGCTTATCATCCTGAATATTCAAATCCACTCAAAGTTTTGATTAATCTGTTGCTACCTTGAACCACTCAGCCTTCATCTCAAGGTGAGACTTAGCTCTAACCTTGATGACAATGATGTTTCCGTTATCTCTTTGAACAATATGAGGTTTGTCGTGGAAGTCCGGAGCATCTGAATTAATTGCATTGAAATAATGCTTCATGTAATTCCTAACTTCCAGCGGTAACGTTGAAAGTCGCATGGTTCTCGCCATCGTTATTGGCAAAAACCGCCTTGTATTCTCCAGCGAGCGGCTTATCGAAATCCTGAAAGCTTGGTTAGTTGGGTGTTTCAATCGGGTACACATAAAACGAAATGTGATTTATTCGGCACCATTTTTTGTTATGCGAGCCCGGTTTCACATAATGTGGGTGAGGACTTGCAACAACAGTTGTCATCCATTATCCTTCAAGTATTTTATGAGATTTCTAAATTGCTTTGAACTTTGTAGTGCCATGGCTAATAAAACGTTAGACAGATGGGAATGACGGAAGAATCTTGCAACACTTGTCATATGAATAACATACCTTGATTTCGGCAACAAATTTCGTTCTATTGCCTCCTTCGTCGCTGTGTGAGAACTTCAAGAATTCGTTCTCCTCGAGCTCATCGTTTCCCATGAACCATTGGATCTTAGCTGGATCAGCTCCAGTAGCAATTACCTAAATTGAGAAATTAATTATTTCCAGAAAGACAATAGTATACTTCAAGGAAGACGGATCCGTTTTCGGAACGGATTTTCGGCTCTCCGTAGATTGCTGGTGGGGCCATCCTGCAACGAGTAACTGATGCTGACTGAAGCAAATCTATTTCGACGACCTTTTTTCGTCAGATACTTTACAACGCAACGAGAGAAAGAGAAGCACTTGATGCGATTTTTTACAAATATTAATAATAAAACTTCTTTAACGACTTGCCAGATGTCGCTGGGATACTGGACGATTGTAGCGACACCGCTCGAAAATAAACAATGCTTTGTTGCGTCAAGAGAACCGTTCCGATCTAGACAGTGTGAGTGTGTCTATCTGTGTGTGTTTTCTATTTTTTTTTGAGGAGCAACGACTAGTGTTTAAAAGAATGATATTTTGAGTAGGGCAACCATAAGGATGAAAACAAAAATAATTATGAAGTCGACCTACTGAACGAGTGAGTAAAATCGGAAACGTTCTCAAATGAACAGAGATAGCCGAATGGAATGATAGGTAGCCGACGATGAGCTCCGCGGTGTTGTTGTAATCTTTGCTTCTCTTTTCACACAGATGAGTGATGTCTAGGAATATAGCAAAAAACGGAGAAGGATGATATGCCTGCTCAATGCGGAGGCGAGCACGATGACGGAGATTCCACAGTAGGGCGGCACCTACTCACGATGTTTCGAAATTACACTATTTCTTCATAGAGAATAGAGGACTAGAGGAGTTAGAGCTTCATAGAGGAGTTAAGTGAAAAAATGAAAGAGAAATCAATAATAAATATAATAAACTACAATTGGTTCGTTCTTTTGTGGAAGCATTTCATTTTTTTTCAAAATTAATTAAAAATCGAATTATTTACACGTGTTTTCTTAATATTTTCTATATGGACATGTGTTTTAGTTTTATTGTTTACAAATTTTTAAAACAAAGTTTTCGTTTTTTTCGTACTAGATTACTCGCGGTTGCATAATAGTTCATTCATATTACTGACTATTTAGTATAAGATTGATCATAGGAACAAAATTTGATATAAACTAAACAACAGAATTCTACAGTATTCACTACTAAAACTTTTCTATTTTTTAATTCTTTTAATTTTTTTGGTTAATTTTTATTTTTATTCAGCCATTTTATCATTTTTCGCGGTTGGTAAATGAACTAAACAAAGTCAATACCTAGTTGTTCTCCTGATGCAGTATTTAAAAAAAAATGAATATTTTGTGATTTCGATATCAATTTCATAAAAAGCTAACATCTTCAATGCTCGCGGGGGAGGGGGACAAAAATAATTATTGCTGCCTGGTTTCCATTAGTTTCGGACGCCGATTGTTTTGTCTGAGAAATTCATCATTCCGCCACGAAAAAAAAACACCACACACATTGCGGAGCTGAAGTGGAAGACGTCTGGTACGATCATTACAACCATCAGTTAGAAGCCAAGGAGGAACACAACTGCTTCATGAAAATAAGCGATTCGGACTTTGATCATCTGGGTTTTCTTTATATTTTTCACAAAGAAATTGAAAAATTTAGTGATATCGGTGGGAAATATGCAAATTTTAAAATGAAAAATTGTATTATTTGATTGTTTTAAAAATAACAAATTTTACAAAATCAACTCAACATGATGGTTAAAAAACATTATAAATGCTGTGTTTAAACTGATTTCAAAACATTATATAATTTTATAAAACTATTAAGATTTGAAGATAAACTTTATGTTTCATTACATTTTTTAAGTTAAGTTAAACATAAATAACCGCATTAGAAATAAAGTAATTGCTAATAAAAAACAACAGTCTGTTTAATTAGGAAACCAGCGTTCCAGTTGAATGACTAAAACTCCCAATGCCGATATTCAAAAATGTCCAAAAAATAAGGTTAAGTTTAATTAATTATCATAGGCAATTCCTCCTGAAAACTTCCGTCTTTTAAATGATCTGTGTAATTAGAAATTGACATCAACGATGTAGTTTTATCATTATGGTTTTTTCATTTAATGGACACAATTTTGACCAAAGAACAATTTTTATTCGTCTTTAAAAATCATATTCTATCACAAGTTTTCATCAAACAGCCATAAAAATCTTATAAATTCATATAGATATCATGAATGCACGATCAAAACGCTTGACATTTTGAGCCGCTCGTTTCATACGTTAATGTGCCTGTTGATTGTGCATTACTGTCTGTAAACAAACAGAAAAAAAAACATAAACAAAACTAAGAAAACAATAAACTGACTTCTAAATGCGCGATCCCACTGCTAGAAAAAAGAAAACGTGAGAGAAGAAAAAGCGATTAAAAAGGAAAACAATAAGAACGTTTGACTAATGATTTTAAATTTTTAGAGGATGAATCTCAAATTACAGTATAATATTCATTTGTAAATTGGCCATAAACGAATTAATATTTGGGTTATTTTTATTTGGATACTGCATGAAATCATGAATAAAACGAAACGCATATTGACAATTGCAATAAATCTATCGATACGACTGATAGAGCTTTGAGAACAAGTACAATATACTTTACAATTCAGTATACACTAATTTAATATTCAGGCTAAGTTCAATTTAAATCTACACTGACTGTATATCTGTTAAAATTTCAAAAATTGTTCCTCGAATTTCAAGAAAATTGTATACCGAGTCGTTTACTTCCAAGACACATTAACTAAACTTAATCTATAGATATTCTACAAAAATATAATGACTCATATAAAATTATTTTCTGACTCATTCATAAATCACATAATGTTCAAACAATGATCGTCAACAGATGACCTATGATTAATTGTTTGATCTTATTCGCATTTGCATATCACCTTGTTTCTTTCTAGAATATTTCCCTAATTTCTAATCACTCCTCATTTTGCGAACTATTCATATTACGATAAGCAAATCACGTGTGCGCAAAAAGGGATTCCCCCAACAATATTCGTCAGATCGGGGAATACCCTTTGTGTTATCTATCGTTATTATCTCGACGTCATTTGAATATCACAAGATCAAACAACTATTTTGAATAATGTACAATATGAGATTTGCTCTCATGATTCGTTGCACTTCAATTGGTTGCATACCTCCGAATGTTCCACTGCGGCGGTTAAGATGACCGTTGGGCTCATGTTTAATTTTTTGTGCAATACCTCAGCAGAACATGTGTTCGAAGTAGATTTCGCAGAGGACGAATACAAATGATTAATGACAGCTCGAAGGAATGTCTGAAACTGAACGCATCTCAGTGTGAGAAAAAAAAGTACAGATAACGGAGATAGGAAACAGATGATATTACCAGAGTTCAAAACATTGATATCTCGAGGCAATGTTGCTGTTGGGAATCTTTGAGGAAGAAGATGAAAAAAGCATTTATTTTTATCAAATAAAAATAAATATCGGGTGGCCGAAAATTACCCCTGTCAAAATTTATACAGAAGCGTGTGATGCATCAAATACTATTAGAAAGAGAAATTATAAATACTGCAAAAATTAAAACATTCACATTCGACAATCTCGTAAAACGTATTTGTAAATACATTAAAGATCAGTATAAACAATGATTCCATTCCTGAACTTTGTCCTGTTTACATACGATTATTTTTCATGGTTATATTATTTTATATTTAAATATTCGGAAAAGATAATTCATAAATTAGAATTTAAGATTTGTCCCGAACTTCAGAAGAACATCGTACCTTCCTAGACCAATATAACAATGATCTCCAACTGATGTAAAAACAACTTTAAACTGTTGTTTTTTTTTACAATGTGTTGAAAGCTGTTCGAGCAGAAACCAATATCACTTCAAAAAAAAACTAATCAAGCAATTGTGAGAGATTACATTCAACAATTTGTCTCTAGTTAAATTTCAAGTTTCCATTTTCTCAGTTTTTGAATTGATGTGGTGTAACTATTTTTTTACCTTTAAATTCTAGCTGAATCGGAATACCAACATTGTATATATTCATTTTGCGATCAGTGTGTAAATGCACTTTGGGCAAAACTTGAATTCGTGTGTTGTGGTGCTCAGTCCATTTGTTTTTCTGTTATCATTTCTCAAATTACGAATGTTTTTATCGAGAGACGCTTGATAATTGTTCGGTCGTTATGTTGCGTCAGATTGGGGGAACGAGCGGCGACCATTCACCAACAGGCCACGCCCACTTTGCCACGGTCTCGGGTTTAAAAGGCGGACGATCGCACTGAAAATATCATACGTTCTCAAGTGAACCTATTCTGCTCTCAACTACTACAACGACATTCAACCATGTGCGGAATCATTGCGATTTGCCAGCAAACAGCAAAATGCTCTGCCAAATTTGACCTCAAGAAAGCGACCGAGTTATCGAAGTATGTCAAGTTCAAAAACACAGTTTATAAATAATACAATTTCAGACGGCAAACTCATCGTGGCCCAGACTTTCGAGGATTCTATGAAGACCCAACAACTGGAGACATCCTTGTTCATGAGCGTCTCGCTATCATGGATCTTGGCATCAAACATCCACTTCAAGGAACTATGGAGAACAACCAGGTTTGTTGAAAAAGAATGTTGAACCTATTCACATGTTGTTGAAGCTTTGAAAAAAACAACAATTTAATCTTGAATTCATTATCAATTTTTGATCAAATTGTCTGGAGTCATTTCCAAATAAAAATCTCGTTCGGTATCGCAAAAATTGCATGTAACAAACATATTTGTTTGAAAATGATAACACAGCATTTTTAAAGACTTCTTACTCTTTTATAAATTTTTAAATTGCAACCAAAACAAAATTGGTTATCATTGCAATTGGAGATAAATGTAAAAAATGCTAATAAATGGAACAATGTTATTTTCAGGTTATTCATAACGGCGAAATCTACAACCACCAAAAGCTTCGCGATAACGAATTGAAGGAATACAAATTAAGAACAACTTGCGACTCGGAAGTCATCATTTTCCTTTTTGAAAAGTATCGTGACGGTTCAATCTGCAACATGCTCGATGGAGTTTTCGCATTCGCACTTTGCTGCAATGGAGAATTCATGGCTGCTCGTGATCCAATAGGAGTCAAGCAAATGTACTATGGCATCGATAAGTATGGAAGATACTTCTTTAGGTAAAAAAATTCAATAAAAAATCAGTACAATTTATTTTCAGCAATGAAATGAAAACTTTGGAAGATTCGTGCGGATCGTTCAAGATAGGAACCTTCCCACCGGGGCACTACTACACTCCAAAGACTGGATTCGTTCGCTATTTCCAACCGGCATGGTTTGACTATAAGAATGCCATCAAGCCATTGGATTTGAAACTCATCCATGACACGTTCGTTGAGGCTGTTCACAAGCGTCTTATGTCTGATGCCCCACTCGGAGTACTTCTGTCTGGCGGATTGGACTCCAGCCTTGTCAGCTCTATTGCTGCTCGTGAGATGAAGAAGAAAGGAATAACAATCCATTCGTTTTCGATTGGGGTTGATCACAACTCTCCTGACGTAATTTCTGCAAGAAAAGTTGCCGACTTTATTGGAACCAAGCACCATGAGTTCTATTTCAGTATTGAGGTATAGGTTTTTTAAATCAAGTAAAGAAAATTATGGGTTTAGGAAGGTATCAAGAACTTGAGAAAACTAATCTGGCATTTGGAATCCTACGATGTTACTTCTATTCGTGCTTCGACTCCAATGTATTTTTTGACTGAAGAAATTCGCAAATTGGGAATCAAGGTTGTACTTTCTGGAGAGGGAGCCGACGAAATCTTTGGTGGATATCTTTACTTTCACAATGCCCCGAGCGACGACGAATTCCAAAAGGAGACAATTGATCGTGTTCTCCATTTGTACACTTCTGACTGCCTTCGTGCTGACAAGTCGTCGATGGCTCACTCGGTTGAAGTTCGTGTTCCATTCTTGGACAAGGCATTCCTTGACGTCGCGGTTCTCACTGCTCCACACTTCAAGCGACCACAAACCCTTGAGAATGGTCGCCGCTGCGAAAAATACTTTCTTCGTTCTGCATTTAACAACGACGAGAACCCATATTTGCCACAAGAGATTCTCTGGCGTCAAAAGGAACAATTCTCGGACGGTGTTGGCTACAACTGGATTGACACATTGATGGATTACTGTGCCAGCCAGGTTTCTGATCAAGAGGTCAGTATAATATTTTGAAAGCTAAGAAGCAATATTAAAATATTTTAGTTTTCTCAAGCAGCGGATTTATTCCCACACAACACTCCTCACAGCAAAGAAGCATTCTACATGAGAAAGATCTTTACGGAGCTCTTCCCATCGGAAGAAGCTGCTCATACTGTTAGAAAATGGATTCCGAAATGGCAGAAAAACCAAGACCCATCTGGTCGCGCTTCTCTTGTTCATGAGAAATCGGTTCACCATTTGGATACTGAGAAGCCTTCTCTCATTGCTGCTGGAATGACCGTAGAGCACACCCGTCCGCATCAAGCCTAAGTTTTGCATTTGATGGCAGATTATAATTTTTGTCATATCTGACAGTTTGCTTTATTTTAATTGTACGATAATAATTATTGGTACAAAATAAATATATACATTTAAATATTCGGTTTGATTAAACACTGAATTTTCCGGAATAACTAATAAACAGTGCCAAACATAACTATACGGTCACCTTCAAAGATTGTGAAAAAATATACACTTTCAAATATAAAAATCTTGTGTTGGTAATTAAACAATCATTCTCTTGTAGCACCATTTTATTCACGGATGGAAAATGAAACGAAAACGTGCAAACAATATTTGGATAGGAAAATATTGATTTCACTTCTGATTATGAAGAAGAGACTTTGGCATCCCGACAACAAAAAAACGTTACTCACATCTAGAAATTATTTTAGCGATCAAACGCATTTTTTGTGTTGAAAACATATCTTGCATACGAAGTTTGAGAATGAGATTATTTATAAAAACAGAACAAATATGTTTTAACTATATTTTGTGATCTTATAATGAGAAGGTTAATTTGAGGTAATAATTACCCATGCGTTGCTCGTCCTTCAAATCATACAAGACACATTTATGAGATAATAATTGATAGCACACCTGCTTCAACAAGCAGAGTGGGGAAAAAATTCGTAAATAAACAAGAAATTCACGTGAATAATCCAATTCTACATTCAGCTTAAAAACAAGATACAGTATATGCAATTATATAAAATAATAATGTATAATATTATAGCATTCAAATGGGCTAAATTTTTTGATTCATATGAGCTGAAAATTCTGTAATTATTAATAGTATATGTATATACTGAATTGCAAATTAATCCAGTTGGTCTAGTTTAGATTCACTGAATTGCCGTCATCGGCTTGAGTAAACATTTCTAGAAAAAAATGGATAGTAACTTTATTGTCAAGAATAGTTAAGATTGAATTTAAAAATATCACCTCCGTTATATTCATATTTCGGAAATTACTCTAACTCAGCGATTCAAACGGGACAAACCGCGTTCAATTACATAGATTCATTTAAGTAGATCTACTCTGCTCTAATATGCACTTTTACGTTGAAACGAAAATATTTTTCTGTGAAAATTGATTTTTCAATCAATAATACATAGTAGAATTAGTAGAATTGCCCATTTCCGTATCGTTTTCGGGGAAACAATTAGAGAACAAATTAGTCATTTTACCAATTTCAGTTAAAAAAATTTCTAGATCAGATAACAAATTCTTCTTGGATTTTAACCATTATTATTTTTTTTATTTTGTGTTTTTCTCATGGAAAATTATCAAAATTATAAACGAATAGTACGGATAGTAACATTGGCCTTTTTTGTTCGGAAGATAGTGATAAATCGTGAGAATTATATGAAAAACTATTTGTCGCATTATAAGGAAACGCAGAGAAATCGTAAAAGTTTAAACTGTTTATGGACGCGTTTTTCTTTTTTTTTTCACTATGAGCATTTTAGAAACATTTCGTTCTTTCCGAGTAAAATTTTTGTGATGATCCATCAAAGGATAGTCGCCTTATATCGTTTTCCGGCTAAAGGTTGGCTAATTACCTGTCTACATTTCTTATTTAACTCTTAACAGATTCCGTCAGCGGTATTTCTCCACAACATCAATAAAATCTCTCTAATTTTCGCTGAATTTTCTTCAGATTTGTGTAGGAAGCATTTGAAATCTTTTTAAATTTCGATTTTCGCCTCAACTAAAAAATATCTTGAATAATTTTTTCGTCTATTTGTGCGCCTTTTTAACACCTTCATGACCATTTCAAACGCATATCTCACATTCACAATGGATACTTTTATTTAAGCCTTGTTCCACAATATGCTCACTTTCGAATATTTTCTTACAATTATTTGCCTCTTGGATGATTCTTACTAGTTCATTCAAAACAATTACAAAAAAAAACAGTGAGACAAGCGTTGTTATTTTTGGCGTTTGTCCGCTTTCCATTTTTTGTTTTTGCACGTTATCCGCAAGCACCAAATTGCGCTAACAGCACTGCACGAGATAGCGTACCATTGAGATTAGTGTTCCACGACCTGCACGCCCCTTTGATCACCGCAAAAATTGTGCCAACACACGTTTGCGCGCGAAAACGCATAGTTCAATAGACCATCCAGCACTCTCAGTGGGAATATTGCCCAGTTGTGAACAGTTCGCGTCCATTTGTTTGTCTTAATTTGGCTGCTAGTCGCTTTTTTCTTTTCAATTCGTCTTTAATATAATCAGCAATTTCAGACCGTGCTTCTAGTCCAGCTATGAACAACAGCCAGAACACGGTTAGTTTTGCCAGTTGTTGCCTAAAAATGAAGACGCTCATTTCAGAATAACGTCCAAGTTCACAAAATTATCAATCCTGAAAACGACAGCTCAAAAATCGTGTATCTTTCTACGGTATGCTTTCTAATTCGGAAATAGGTGGCAGATCTTGGAAGCGTTACTCAAACAAACATTTTCTAATTAATAACCCAGTTCTAGGAAATGTTCCCATTTAGAAATTTTAAGATTGTTCAAAAACGCAGAATCGCGAATTCTGTGTTTTTCAGTTTAAATTTTTTACTTGTATTTTTTCAGTGTATTTTCAAACTTGGTGTGCAGGAGAATAATTCCTATGATGCTCAATTGGAACGTGACACTAACAAGGATCGTGTACAGAAAAACCTCCCTGTATTGTGTCCAAGAAATTGTCAGGTAACAGCGTCTAAATATTAATTGAATGTTATCGAGAACCTTAATTTACAGTCGCCTAGCTACACCAATGCTGAGCAAAGAAATGGTACTTCGTGCGAGAAACCAGAGGGTACATCTATTGCTCCGGAACCAGTCAAAACTGAAAAGAAAGTCAAGAAATTTGTATTTAAAAAGGTAAATTCATAACCGCACTTTGATATCTTATTCTTTTTTTAAATCTCAGGTGATGAATCCTCCAAAGAGCATCGAAGAAGAGATAGCCAAGTACCCGAACTCGAAATTCTATGGTTCCTGGAACGATTGAAGTCTACTAACTCGTTTTCCTGTACAATATCTACTGACAGCAACTAGCTCAACAACAGCTCAACTTATTTCACATTGAAACTGTAACAATTTCCTATATTATCATTCAATTCTGCTAATAATGTCATATCTCGGTTGTGTTTTTCCGCGTCCAGTGTATTTTTACGTATTTCTTTTCTGTGATTAAAAATTCATTGTTACATAATCACGTTGAAACGAATAAACGGCTAGTTGTAAATGTTGATGAGAATCATAGAAATAAGTTAAAGTAAAATAAGCATGTATCAGTTAATTATCTTCATTGTGGACATCAACTTGGCTCGGTGATGATTGCGGTGATTGGTCCTCTGATAGATTTCTCTGAAAGTCGGATTAATCAAACCTTCTGATAACCTTTTCAGTGAATAGTGTGAACAAGTGCTAAGTTTTTTTTTAAAATATTTTTTTGTTGTTGCATGCAATTCCTATGGAATATTAAATCGTATATCGCGTATTGAACACTTCATAACGCAATTTTTTATATGGCTTAATATTAACTGAAAAACAGATCCATCAAATATTTTGTTGATTTATTGAAAATAAAATTAAAACAAAAAAAGTTAAGGTTGTTCCGCTTTTTTGCATGTTAAAAAATTCGCAAGTGAACGGATTTTTTTCAGAAAAAAAAATCGAAAAAGGTAAAGTTTTCAAATAATTGCACAAATATTTCGAAATCCGTTTTTTTAATTGAAAACTCTGGTAACTCAAAAACAAAAAACCAAAATGGATCTGACAAAATACGGGTCGGAATCAATCCGATCCGATTGGTATTTCTACGGAAAAGATTGTAAAATTGTCAGATCCGATTGGTTTTTTTGGGTTCGAATTGAAATATTAAAACTAATCGGATTCGAATAATAAACATATCCGATAAACTACCAGTCGGATCCGAAAATATCCAACATTTTATAATTTTATTCGTAGATTTTCCAATCGGGAAAGGTTGATTCCGGAGTCGAATTTGGTTGGATCCTATTGGTTTTGAGTTTCCCGAGAAACACAATATTCGATTCACTGTCGTTCCACTTAAATGTTTCTACTATTCAAACGCATTTCTCAATTCTCGCAAATTTTCGACTTCGGGTGGTATTTTTAATATATAATTTTACGTAAACTTTAAACAATCGTGCGTGCGATTAACAAAATCGAAATTAAAAAGTTTGAAACGAAGGGATTTTTAACCGAATCGATGAAATACAATAGGCTACTAATAATTATTAATTCATCAGCGAAAATATATTTTTAAGGTAGGGTACCCCTCTCTCAAAGCATAAAAATATATGTTTTAGAATGTTGACAAAAATCGGAAAAATAAAAAAGAAACAAATTTTTACGCTTTTTAGAAGCGGATAAAAACGGATGTGACATCACAACGGATGTATTATTTCCGCAATGTCGTTTTCAAAAATATTATTGCAATTAAAAATTATCGAAATTACCCCTTAAAACGTATTAAAATAGCGTATAAAATAGCATATACATATTAAAATAAGAAGTTCGTCCCGGCGAGACCAAAGCGAAAGACGCCTGCTCGTTTATTTTCACAATTTTGTAGAAAATTAACCTCATCATTCTCGAGAGTTTCAGAGTTCATACTCAGTGCCAATGGCTGAAGAGGAGTAAGCAAAGGCGGAAAATCAAGTGTTCCAACAAACTGAGGATCGGTCCCGAAAAGACGATCGAATCGATCATAAAACTCGCGTGGTACTCCGAATGGCTACAAAAAATAAGTCAAAAAAGTAAGAAAAATAAGTCATAGTATTACCACGCCACGGTATGGAACATTGGTGTCAGGTAATCCAATTGGAATATTCTGTTCGTTTTCATAATTTGAATTATACTGAGAAGTATAAAATTGTTAATACAGAAAAAAATAAAACAATAATGAGCTTACATTTAATTCATCGTGTGAAATGTTTCGTGGAGCGACGTTCTGCATTGCAAATCTATAGAAAGCATCAGGAGTGTTCTGAAATTCATCATTATTGTTTTTGTGAAGTAACAATTTGGCATTGAACGAACCGCAATAATTTCACCTGACGAGTTCATAATTTCTTCGATTTCAACTTCCTTAATTTGAAAATATATCATTGTCAATTAATATTTTAAACGAACGGCGTGATGATCAGAATTGTCACCATCGACGCTTTTTTCGTCCTCTGAATGGTTCGAGGATTCCATTTCAAATGTTATTGCTTAGCTCTAAAGTTAAAATTATGCAATTCTGAAATTTTGAAATTGAAACGGTCAAAATTAAAATAAACAAATTAGAGAGAAAAAAATTGAGATGTGTAAGAAAAATGATATTTCTTACAAACGAAAGGGTGTAAGAAGCAAACATCAAGCATTATGCATAGCAGAGCTGGAGTAGTTTGCGTCTTTTGGGAATAAGGAGATTTCGTTTTTTCACCAGAAAAATCATGTTTTTTTTTAAATTATTTCAACCGCATGGGAATTTTAATTAAAATTATTTTTTACGGGCTGAAAATTATTGTTGTTCTGCTAATAAGAGTTCTGCTGTCCTCTTTTAAATATAGCAAGATCTCGGAAAAAATACAATTATTTAGCAGAACATAGAATATAAATAAGAATTGCTCAATTTAGATTTATTCTGCGAAAAATAAATAATCGAACGGGTGAATTTTATAAACATCAGAGTTTTATTAACAGGATGGTGTTTCTTATAAAGTCTAAAAAGCAAGTTTATAAATAAATCATAAATAAATCTCACAATGTAATTTTAACAGCTTGAACTTCTTTTTTTTCAAAGTGAGGAAAAGATTAAGCACTACTTCCGGAAGAGAAGGCGATAGTTATTTGTCTTTTGCGTTGTTAGAGTAAATGTTTTAGTATGCGAGCAGTGTTAGGAAATCGGAAAGGACATATATTACGCTTATATTCTTGTTAATTTTTAATTAAAAACTAATGCATTTTAGGTAAACTGTTGGGTTGTTTATTTGATGACACAGAACGATTTTATATGTAGGCCTGGCGACATTTAAATACGATAATTGCATCTTGCTCGCAAAATCGAAATCGAATGAATTTGTGATTTGAAGATATGATGACAAATGGACAAATGACATGACACATCTTTGGTAGAACTCCGAATTTTTAAAATAATTGTGCTGAAAATAATAAATATTATAACCTAATGTACTAATAACACCCAAGTTAATCACGAAATAATGTTAAACTCATAAATATACTTTTCTGCTTGCGCCAGTATTCAGTAACCGCTGCCACTTTTTTGCTAAAATAATTTTTTCGTATTGCGTTTTTAATATAATTTTGAACATAATAGTGTTGTAGCGTCTGACTCTCGTTCACCCCCATTTAACGATTATAAAATGTCACCAATTGAACTTAAAGTATAAATGGGAAGCGGAAAATTATTTCAAGAGCTTCTTCATTTTTATTGAAATGACACAGAATTGAGAACCAGCCGGAAAAAAAAAAAACTAAATGTTGTATCACATACAATAGGTTAAAAAAACGTTTTCTTTGATAATAAGCTGTAGAAAGATCGAAATACCAAATACAAATTAATTATATTAGTACATGTTCTCATCTTGAAATGATTGGAATATTCATATATATTGTATAATTTAGCGCAATATTATATATATATATATATATATATATATATATATATATATATATATATATATATATATATATATATATATATATATATATATATATATATATATTGTAAGCAAGCGGTTTTTTAATGAAATATCCAGATTCAAAATACTATTTTAGTAAACCTTTTCATGTAAAAAATATGAGAATAATTCGTACTGTTGATCTTTTTGAAATAAAAATAAAAAATTGATTGAATTTATAAGTGCCTGCGAATGGAATAGAATCTTAATTTGAACATTTTCATTTGACTTAGGGTGCAAAAGTAAATAAGTTTTCCATCTTCTCAGTGAGATAAAAATAGTTTAAATCCTCTAATCGTATAAAATTTTTCAGAAAGTCACATTGAATTCTCGATGTTAACACAAATTACTAATAATAAATCATCAGTCAAGTTCTTCTTATGACACGAGCTACAAAACATTGTTTTACTTTTCTCAACTTTTAGCAAGTTGTTTTTGAAATTTTCCAACAATTCTAATTCCTTTTTTTGGGAATATCACGACCAAATCCATATGCAAGTTATTCTTTTTTGAATATGTAAGTATTGAGCAGACCGTCCCGGCATTAGCACATATAGGTCAAATTATTGTCATCTCTTCTAATTACGCAAAATGAAACTCAAGGAAATCGCGAAATAATTATACATAAATATAAATGTGTACAACGTTTACTTACTTCATTCAAAAAAACGACGGGGTTAATGGTTTCATTTGGATAATTTTTAATTTAAATAATTGAAGCACTGCGTAACAGAGATTGAACATTGCCCTTTACTCCTAATTTGACACATAACATATTTTTGATTCAATTTTAAATGATTCTTATTTAAGAGACTTTGCGTGTTCCGAAAACACTAGGCAAAAGCCTCTCCGATATGCATGGCGACGTACCCGAATGATTCCTCCCGTTCATATACATAACTTTCTGATGAAAATACGGCGACAATTTCATACATAGTCACAACAGGCACATTTCATAAAACAAAACAAACATTTTTACAATTATGACAATTTTTGTGTTAAACCATTTGCATACTAACGACACATCTTTCACTCAACAACATATTCGTTTCAGAATAATGATTCAAGCGCCAGAAGATCCATTTGTCTACTATCAACTAGGTAAAATATATATATATATATACATATTATTTATGAAATTATAATCCGTGCTCATAAAAACGTTCCCCGGGAGTGAGAACAGAGAAATGGGTTTCCGCGGACATGTTCGTCAGCAATTTTTTGTCTTTATTTCTTGTTTTCCCCGTTCAATCAATCAAACATTTTGAATTTTTTGTCGAATATCTCAACGTCCCGTAAACAACTTTATAATTATAAGGTTAGAGACATTGTCGTGGTGTTTTTGTTCGCTTTAAAGCAAACTTTGGTTTCTTTTGCTGTGTGAGAATAACTCACTCAATCTTCGACATATAACTTATAATCAGCTTTCGAAACTTTCTCATGCGTGTTTATTTATTCAATGAACAATATTTCTTTTGACACCTCTAAAATACCCATTCTTAAGAAGAGTTTGGTTTCTCCTACAAATAATCCAGTCTTAAACACTTTGAAACAAAAAGCCATTCAGAATAAGATATTTTTCTTGAAACTCGTGTTTGTAACGAGTAAATTTTAGCTGCATCATGCTTTAAAATCAAGCTTTTTAAATTAAAAAAGACATTTGCGGAGTTATTTTGTAGCATATTATGCGGCTACAATATTTGTGACACCAAATAAGGTTATATTTGCAAGTTTTCTTGCAGATTAATTTTTTTTTCGTTTCTCTAAACGTCAAAGTTAATGAACAATTTAATTATAATAGAAAAAATATAAAATTATTTTGGTTAGACTAAAATATTATGTTTAACCATAACAATTAAAATAATTAATTTTATTATATATTGCAACATTCTTTGATTTACTTCAAATACTTACTAATGGGAATGAAAATTACTTAGAAAATACACAGTAATCATACAATTTTTGTACGATATCTTAAATTATATTTCCACAATTTAAAATTAGGAACATTCGTCTATTATCTCATGAATAAATTAGATGTGTTTTATTTGAGCAGCTAGAAACGTTTGCCATTTTATCCTCATAAATTAGCTCATTTACCATTTCTAAATTGCACGAAATTTCGAAGAAACCAAAAGACTTGAATGAAGCCAAAATTCTGAGAGCATAGAATATTTTTGTGTGATCAAGTTTTATTCAGCGCCCAATCTTTTTGATTCTTCCAGTGACTCGAAATTGTTTTTCTTTTTTTTCGCCGTGTTACAAAGTGTATTCCGATTCAGCGGGTGGAAGGGAATCGGATGCACATTGGTTGACACTTCCGACATCTCCACCAATGAAAACAAAACAACCAGCTGGTGTCTATTACTTTCTGTGTATTGTTTTAAAATCAAGTTTTCACCTTTTCTTTTCTCCCACTTTGAATTTTGTTCGATCATTGGTTTATAGAGGAAGTCAAGTTTGGCATGACAGCTAGAAATGAGCATGAGCAGGAGCCACTCGTTTCCGAATACGGTAGGCATGCATTTTTATTTTCAAATTCCCAGCAATTCTCTATGCAAGTCATTCATTTCTTGCAAAGGATGAGTGTTGCAAAAACATAAAAGCCGACGTCTCCCAGCAAAACGAAACCACGTCAGAGGGCCCTCTCAGCGCAAATACATACTTATCTATCCATTGACGACATCCACGATAAATTCACAATGTCAAGAAGGCGAAAGACTCCAACCAAAAGCGCTGCTCAGAAACAACTACATCATCTGATACTCATTAAAAATAAACGTTCAGCCCTTTTTATTGTCTTGTGGCGCCCGATTTCCTCTTTTTCCTCTTTTAAATGATTGGCACCGCTTCGTGTACTAAGCCTTTGCATCAGGCTCTTATTCCGTTAGCAGTCACAGTTCCACCAGCGGCGCTTTTTATCTGCGGAAAAGCGCGTCAAATAAAATGTAAGATATATTTGATATTTTTTATTTGATATATTGTACTGCTTAAATTTTGCGCTTCTATTTTGTTCCACAAATATTTATACGAACAATATCGCCCATTGCAACAAAAAATGCATTAATAATTCATCAAAATTTGCCGAGGGGAAAGCCAAAGTGTAGGCGAGAAGACTGCTGCTATATTTTCAAAGGGGGTAGAAAAAAAAAATAAATGGAAGGATCATTTAGCATTGGATTGAAAGAAGATCATATGTAGGTTTACAAATCATTGTTCATTTTCTCTTAGTCCTCTTTCTAATTGATCTCAATTTTCAGTCGAAGAGGATGTAGACACTCAGCCAGCAGTTGAACGGCTCCGTCCGCCAAGCATTGAAAGCATTTTCCGCTCAACGAAATTCAGTAGACAAGAAATTCAATACCTTTATCGAACATTTAAAGAAGTGAGTAATTGGGAGAAAAAATTGTAAGGGAAAATAAAACATTCAGCTGTGGCCGAATGGAATGGTACATTTACATCAATTCCAAATGATATACGCTGAAATTTTTACTCGCGGCAATTCGGCAGCGTATGCTGAAATGGTGTTCAAGAATATTGATAGAAACAAAATTGGATCGATTACATTCGCGGTTTGTTAAATGTTACTATCAAATATAGATAAAGTTCAGGATTTTGTCACAAGTTATTCTAAAATTTCGAAAGGTGACATTGACGAAAAACTCGATTGGATATTTTCGCTTTATGATACTAATTCTAATGGATCGATAGGTTATCAAGATATTTATAATGCCGTTCGGTTTGCTATGAAATGCGACATAAGTAATTTAATAATTTCAGAGCAATGTATCAGCTGGTAGACTCATCATTAAAGCCAGCAACAATTTCCAGCATCTGTCGGCAGCATGTGAAGCTGGTGTTCAAGGTTCCAAAGTTCATTCAAATAATCGGAAATTTGAAAAATGTGAAAGTACAATCAGATACAAAAATTCAGTAAATCAAAAATCCCTATCAACAACATTATATATCAATTGTATGATACCACTTTACAACGATTGCGCGTATTGTCCGGTTGAATTATTTCATCGATCCATCTTGTTCCAAAGAATACCTTTGTTTTTAAATATCAATTTGCCAAGTTCGAAAATCCAACTTGAAACTGATGACGAAAACAATTGATAATTTTTCAATCATTTCTATAACATCCGCAAAAATAAAAAAAAATTGCATTTCTCATTCAGAATGAACTCATTTCAGAACTTGAATATAGACTCAGCCGGGCGTTTATCAAAGGATGACTTCATGAAAAAGTGCAAAGAAAACACTGAGATCATGGAATCATTTCAAATCTTTAATGTTCATTCCAATCATCTAATGTGATTCATTCCAATAACTAATTTACTATTCATATCATTATATTATCACTTTTTTTTCTCTGCGAGAAAACGAATAAAATGTTTTGCATATTAATTCTGTCGATTCGAATTTTTTTGTATCTTATGAAAATAAAGTGTTGTTTCACAAGTAGAGCACGTTCTACGCTGAAAAATTACAAAACTTCAATAATCAAATTTCTAATATTTAAAAAATCGTTCTAGTAAATGGTTTTTTCAATTTTAAACGATTTCAATTTCATTGTCTATAATTGCATAATTAAGATTATAAAAATTCGAACGTATATAATTTTGATACGGTTTACATTATACATACAATACTCATTTTATTCTATACAATGAATAAATACACTTTTTTTCGTATAAATTTACGAACCATTTAATAAAACGAATGGTTGAATTTAACAATGACAATAAAAGTTTAAAAATTAATTTTGTAATAGCAAGTTGCCCAATTATTAGTCAATTTTCAATTCTGCACCACTACATTAGATTTTTTTCGGTTCCTTTCAGTAAATCAATTACATTTTCTGTAATTTTTATTGATTTTCGTTAGTTTTTTAATAATAATTGTTATATAGTCTTAATTGTTTTTCTGAATCAAAAAAAATGAATGAATACAATCAATGGTCCCAATACATTCCCGCTCATTGCATTTTCTGGTGCAGTTTTTTTTTATTTGAGTAATCACAACTCATAAACATATTATTTTCATGTATTCGAATAATCCAATCCATAAACTATTTATGAAAAATGTTTCTTTTGAACAAGAAAAAAACATCAATATTTAATGTTAATGAGTAAATAGTATGTCGTGGATAAGCATGAGTTAAAAAAATCTCACAACGACCAAATAAAAAATGCTAAGAAATAAATTGGTGATACAAGAAGGAAAATATCGAAATGAGAAAGGTGAGCATCACATTCTACACCTATGGACCGTATTAAGTCTTGGACCGAACGCGGTAAATGTCAGTTGTGTGAAGGCATATTGACGATTGACGATATGAGCAAACCGAAACCTCGATGATATTCGATCAAATATTATCCAACGCACAACTGCTAAGCACACCAAGACATTTGATGAGGGCAAATGTTTGTGAAATACGACGGAAAAATTGACAAAAGTGTCGGCGAAGTATTGAAGGTCGGCTCAATTTTCAAGAAAAAACAGGTAAATTGTTAATTTCTATCCCGAACTATTATACCCTAAATTAGATTTTGAGCGTAATACAACAAAAATCAAATCAGAAGCACATTGAGAATTTTTGTAAATATTGGCAAGTAAATTAAACGAATTGATACTAAACTATATGGCATAAAAAACAGGTACACGTTGGAAGTTTCAAAAATGACTTGAATTTCTGTATTGTGAGTGCAGGAGAAAAAATGCCAAAACACAAATTATTTTCTCACAGAATATATTAGTCTAATATATAAATATATATGTATATGTGTAAGTTTTGAACTCTATGACTACTTCGTTTTTTTTTCGTCCGGACAAAAAATGCAACCGTTAGAACTATGGCTTGAATGAAAACCAAGAGTAGGCCGATTGTCTCGATTGATGAGAAGAATAATCATTCACAGTGCAAATTTACAAGAAAAAAGAGAATAGATTACATAAGAGACAAAGAAGAAAATTTTGAGAAGCATTGTTTTGGGTATCTAATAATAGAGAGTGACTCGTCTCCTAAACCCGGTACTTATGCACCAGTAGAAGGGACATATAGCAAGAAAATATTAGACGTAAATATGAATATGATAAAGAGAAGTGAGTTGGTAACTATGCGTGCATACTCTACCAATAAGGGCCGTCAGTGCTCAAATTCTTCCACGAAGCAAACTTGCTCCAATCGTTGTAATCCAGCTTATAGGCATCGTCGCGATCAAGATACTTCGTGCTGAATGTTACTCTATTATTCGCAGGCTTCAATTTGTATTAAATAAAATTGTTCTCTTCTCAAAATTTGCGAAATAGTTTATTACCTTCCAAAAAGAGAAGTGCGACGCGGTGGCGGCTGCGGAATGTTGTGCTGCTCAGATTGAAGTGCATAGTTAACGCCTCCATTTGAATCCCAGTACTCAGCGTCGTTTGTTTTGAAACAAATGCAAAACTCGATCTTATGAACCTGAACATCAGGATTTGGTATATATACAGTACCGTGCAGTAAGATATACAATTTCACTTTTTTAATCATAACTTTCTGAAAAGTTGACCAATCGATCTGAAATTTTTGGACAAAACAGATAGTGTGTTCCCAAACATAATTTATTTACTTTGGGATACTATAGACACAATTTTTGTGTTTTGGACCTTTTTTGGCGTATTTTCAAAAATGCGATTTTTTTTAATTTTTAAGTTTTTTCGATTTTTTTTAGATTTTCAATGTTAACATCAGTTTTTTTTATTTGTTTTAGCAGGAGACGATCAAAATGATCAGAAAACATTCTATCAGACATTTTAAAGCAATCAAGAATGACCGAGCACTAGGTCTTTTCATCCAATGTCTATCACACCAGTTGAACTCATCGACTTGGACCATTTGTGGATGTTTGAAATCTCGATCGGATTCCAAACCACTTGTAAATCCTTCCAAAACATCCCCGGCAATCAATCGCACCATTGTAGGAATCAGCAAGAGCAACCCGCGTCTATCCGCTTCCGAGATTAATCGGCAACTGAGGCAGTTCTATGATGTCAACGTAGATTTTTCCGAAAACCCATGACGTTTTTTCACCAAAAGTCACATACATATCAGCGTTGATACTGTCAAGCGTCGTCTACGTGGTTCTGGATTATTTGGACGTCGGTCTGTCAAAAAATCTCTCCTTTCGGAGAAGAAATGCCGCGCCCGTTTGAAGTGGGATAAGGAGCTTTTGAATTGGACTTTTCAACAATGGTCAAAGGTTGTATGAAGTGATGAATCGAAGTATATCTTGCTCGGAACTGATGGTATTACCTTTGTGAGGTGTTCGGACGGCAAAAGATTCGATCCAAAGCACCAATTACCAACAGTCAAACATGGAAGAGGAAGCGTGATAGTTTGGGGATGTTTTACTGCTACTGGAGCTGGCCCACTTCGTCGAATCGAAGGAATTATGGATCGATTAATGTATAAAGACATTCTAGAGAACCATATGCTTCCGTTTGCAAAGTCTTTGCTCGGTGTGGATACTTATTTCAGCAGAATAATAATCCTAAACGTAGTTCTCGCTTCATCAATGAGTGGTTCCAGCAGCGTAGGGTGGCCGTCAGGGACTGACCAAGCCAGTCAACTGACTTGAATCCTATTGAACATTTGTGGGAAGGTCTTGGTAGACGTCTTCGAGGTCAAACAGTACAAAATTGTGCCGAAATGTTCGAGCAGCTGAGGAGATCATGGATGGATATACCAGTTTCAACCCTCCCGAAGTTGATCGAGTCCATGGGTCTCCGATATCAAACTGTGATCGATGCAAATGGCATGTCAACAAGATATTGAGTTGTTTTAAGTTTCTTGACATATAATTGTTGTTTTCCATTTCATTTCATGTCGTACCGGTGTCAAAATTATTAAAGTCGGTTTTTCGCTATTATGGATTTTCTAATTTTTTGCCAATAAAATATTTCCTAATGTGTTTTACACCATTTAATTTTGTTACATAATCACTCTATCGATGCTTAAAGTTGTCCAAAAATTTCAGATCGATTGGTCAACTTTTCAGAAAGTTATGATAAAAAATGTGAAATTGTATATCTTACTGCACGGTACTGTATATATATATTATCTTGTATTCCTCACTTTTTCAACAGATGATGGGAGATCAAGCTCAAATTTGAAAGTGTCGTGGACCTTGCTTGTCGTTGGTTGATAAACCGCAGCTTTATCCATGTACGAAGCCCATCCATTCATTGAATAGCGGACGAAGACTTTCTTCTCGAACGCGATATTTGCCACCTGCAACGTAAACAACATATTCAGCAGGTTTTTCATCGTGAACAACCTTGATAGTTCCGACAACTTTATAACTATCATTGTTTACAATAACGTTTTCGAGGGTGACTTTGTTCTGAAAATGGTAAGCAACTGGTCCAAGAATTGCATCACTGGGTTACTGTACCTTCTCCAGATTGTTGCGGAAGTTTGCGTAGTCTGCAGCAGGCTGCTTGAACAGCAAATTCCAAACCGGAGCTGGCTCATGAGGACGCTGCTCTTCTTCGAAAGAATCTCCTCGATAGCGACGGAGCACCGATGGGCTCAATCTTGGTGGGCAATTACTTGGTTCGGTAGCAACTCTTATCATGTAGAGTTCCTGTCCACAATCATCAGCAAAGCGTACAGACTTCTTTTGTTTCTAAAACGGAGATTACGGTAAGACAATGATAACGAGATCAGTTACCTCCTCAGTTAGTTCCAAGTTTCCTGCGCAGAAAACTTCACCATCATCGACGTCACAGTCGCTGCTCGAGGAGCTGTGCGATTGGTAATCGCTTCCCTCATCTGAAATGCAATAATTAATCGGGAAAAAAACGCGATAGTTGGGCACACCTTTTTCTTTGATCGTGTTAGCGCAGAGACGATTGCGAATTGCTTCAAATTTCACCTGTGTCATTCGAATCTTGTTCAGTCCTTCGGATTCGCTCTGCGACCGAACCTGCAATTTCAATTGTTTGCTACAGCTTCAAAATCGGGTAGCAACCCTTTGATTGGTTTGTTGCATTATCAATCCGAACGCACGCCCACCACCCCCCGTGTCGCCGTTGATAATGTGCAACAAGAAAGAAACAAGTTTTACAGTACATTATTTAATGGCATGTCTGAGATTTTAGAGCGAAAAAAAGAAAAGGATTCACATTTATTTCTTCTATTTATTTTTTTCTTCGCTGCCCACTCACTCCCATTCGCAGTTGCTCTGCTTCTCTCACCCAACTTGCGATATCGCACGTAGACACAATTTTTTATTTGAATACAATATCAAGACCGAAACAGATAGGCAGTGCGACCTTTTAATCATTAGATAAAAATTATTATAGTTTACCTTCAAGCTTGATGGTTGAATGGTAGTATCACCAAAATATGGAAAGCTCGCTGCTCTACGACATCCAGATGATGAAAAAACCGGGAACGAGGCTGGAGCTGAATGAGAGCAAGTCTCCCATTCTCGCTCTCGACCCATTTCCATCGGCACCCTAAAAAATATAATTTCAATAACGTAATATACGCTACAGTAGTTGATAAGAAGCTTTGAGCAACATTGTTACTACTCTATCAAATATAATGATGTTGAAGATTTGAAAAGAGCAATGAATAAAAGCAAGCTGCTGAAGTCTAAAGATTAATAGTTAGCGGAAAACAAAGAATCTTAAAAGAAGAAAAAAATAACAGAAGCGACCACGAGCGAATAAATGTGAAAACTGGGTGATGTGAGGAGATGCAGAGAAGTAGTGCGAGCTGCGAGTGTGAGCATGTCTTGTTTCTTCACGTTCAGAAAAAAAAATGTAAGCGACAAAAAATTCCAGCAAAACGAAATTCGATCATCATCGCGGAAAATGCGAATCGCGAAGCCTTAATAAATATCATTAATAGAGCGATTGCGAATGATTAACGGCTTCGCTCTTTCTGTATCTGGCGAGGCGTCACCCGTTTACTAAGACTGTCAGAATGATGAATTGTCAGGACATTCTACAGTAATAGTTGGCCATATAGTTTAAAAATACATTTGTAAAGACCGAATATTGGAAAAAACAAGGATGTTGATGTTTACAAATATACATAAACACATTGGGCGCAAATGTAGGAATTGTTTTCAAGAAACTAAAAGGGACAAATGCATGTATGCCAATCGAAGTGACTTGTTTCGATAATTAATTGATCGCTAGAACGCAATAACTTGTTATCCCAAATTTTATGAAAAATAAATGAATTATTGATAATGAGCATTCGAACCCTGGTTGTTCAATTAAATACGACATATGCACATTTTGTACAATACAACACAAACACGACTTAGAATATATTAGAAACCAACCCCAGAATATTATTCTTAATCGCATCCACAGAATAATTATTTTCGAATATATAATCAAGAAGCATCGAGAGTGAGAATCCCATACTTCCTTCCTCCAAAAAGGCTTATTTATCAACGGGGCCTCTCCTTTTAGAATCTAAGTCGGCTGCTTCAAATGGAATAGGATTATAGAATGGGGACGAAAGCCAAAAAAGTTTTGCGAGCGACACGACTACTCACAGAAAAAAAAACTGCTATGCACTTTTCAAAGCTTGATGTGCTTCTATTGCGCTCACTGAGCCCGAATTCCAATTCTCACGTAGACAACGGCACACTTGACGAGACTTTTCATTCAGCCATCAGCTGTTTGAAAATCGAGAACCATTTTTTTTATATTTGTTGGTTTAAAAAAATAAAATATTCGGGTGATATCATTAAGGGGTCATATGATTATTAGAAAAATAAAAATGAGTGGGGAAATGTTCTAGAAAGATCTTTGTATCTAATAATAGCAATGAAACAGAAATTGTTACAATGGATATGGTAACAAAAAAAAAACAATAAACTAATTGATTCATATTCGTATGAGAAGTAATAAATCATGTCTCATCGCGAGAAACCAACACTCATTTCTATCTTGTGTGTTTGTACTACGTGCGCAAAATAAAAAAAAAACCAAAAAAAGTTGCGTCAAAGACAAGCAACGCGAGAGTTTCGCGTTTAGTTTAGAATATAATCAAAAAATATTGTTTTTTTTTGCGGAAGGAATAGAATGGACGCTGCCCGACAAATTCTATGATTCATATGTTTTGGAACTACGCTATTGTTTTCGGTTAAGGGGGAAAATGAGAATCTCATTTAACATTTGTAGCGAAACCATAGAAAATAAATAATATTCCGCAGCGCGGAACAAAACAAGATAAACTGTCATAAGTGCAAAAATAATGAGTGCAAAGACAGACGCGAAAACGTATATAATGATCTTTTGATATTTGGCCGACACTTGTTATTTTCGCTATCGATATGCACGTAAGCAGTAGCATCAAGTTTTAAAACGTCTAAGGAGTGCGCAAAATCGTCTCATATATTATTGATATTGGAAGGGATTTTTTCAGTGTTTACTGTTGAGGCACACCTCAAATCCTAAAAAAATTCCCACTTCATGTGCTTTTTTCTTCTCGAGAATCAGTATTGAGAAGTTTCGGTGATCAAACAATCAACGAAATGAAACTGTAAACAGTGGAAAGCTGCGGCGCCGGACCGCTGATACATCCTACCATACACAGTCTAACACCGAAAAGGGCAATTAAAGCGAAATTTTTTGTGGTAAACATAAAGAGCTACAATTTTACGGCAAGAAATAAAGTTGTTTACTAAAATTGACTGATATGATGATTCTTAATTATTTTGGCAAACTTTACTAAATTTTGATGGAATTTCAGGTAGCTCCGTGAAAAAAGATGTAAGCGGAATATCACACTTTTCGAACAGAATTTAAAATGGTCGAAGAAATGTGAAAATGTGTGAAAGATAAAAAAAATAGCACACGAGTGGCGCAAAATGAAAACGATTAGTAAACTCATTGCAGCAATCTGTATTAGACTTACCCAAAAATTCTCGAAGCCACTAGTAGAATGTGATTTGGGAAAATGATAGAGGTGTTGCTCGAGGATTTTTGAGAAAATAGTTTGCTATGTGAGTTTGAACATCGTCAAAACAAAAAAATAACGAAGTGACAGATGAATTCGTCTTCGGTAAAAGAGAAATCAAAAAAGACTACTGGTAAGAGAGCAGAAAAGAGGAAAGAATTGTTAAACAGCGAATCGTTTGGAACCGCAAACGCAGCAACAATGCGGTGTGCAAACAAAACGTGAGTCCAAGAAAAATTGTTAACATGGCGGATATCAATAAGTTCTCTATATCTCTCTCTCACTCATCGCCAGATTCATTGAATGCTGCTGGTGTGACCAGAACGTCAGACGAAAGGGGCCCACAAAAAGACTCCTCCCCATTATCAAGATCGCTACTACACTCATATACACCGACGCAATCTGATAGGCAAGCACGTGAACTTATTGGTGGTCTGCCCCAAACCCAAGATGAACCTATCCTCCGACATTAATTGATGGCCGGTTGCACGTGAATACGCGACTATTTATATTCAAATGCGCCTGTCACGGAGTGTAGTTTACTAAAAATACGATTGCAACCACACTTGTTTTGAATTCACTGCCGATTTTTGGTGTAATAGGACAATACAATCGTTTTTGGGCAAACAATTGATAGTAAAACTAGCAATAATGTTCTTGGCAAAAATTGTTTAGTGTGGAGCAACCCTTTCAAATTTTGCTGTATATTACAATAAGCATCAATGTGCTTTTTGTGTTGCACAACTGCGTAGACAAAGCTAATGAGATTCATCTCAGGAAATGCGATCATGCCGCTTCATCATCTCATTTCAACGTCGTCTTAGGTTACTGTAGCTCAAGTTGTAAAATTAGTTCTCAACACTTATCAGTTCTTTCATTATTTTAACGATTATATGTATTGTGATAACTTCTCTGCGACCTCCGATAACATGATCGCATTTTGTTTTTTTAAGTTACCGTAATAATGAGATAGATGAAAATGTGAACTAGGAAAAAGGTCAAGATTTGTGAATGCTTTTAACCATGTATGGTGCGTTATCGAAAAATGTTCGATCACTAAGCGTTCTGGCAATGAACGGCGAAATATCGTATCAGAATAGATATGTTTTTTGCGGCTGCAAATAAAATCAAAAAGATTTGCCGGTATGTTGTCACTTTATATAAATCACCGATAAGGTATTCCGGTGCGGCGAATATGCCTTTTATTTTCATGGAATGGAAGAGATCTCCAAGTTCATGCCTTCAGTCCAACAACATTCAACTATTTTGTTGTTCATTTGCAATAAAAACATTTATGGTTTTGTGTGATAACGAAACCCCATAACAAAATTCCATTCTTTGATCATGCGAAAAATGCAATGCCTAGCCACCAATAAATTGTTTAATTACTTTTCATTTTATACACTGATATAATGAGTGGTACGTTGAAATACATACTTCTAAAATAAGTGAAAATTTGAGTTCAACATGTGCATTCCACTCATGCAAATTAATAGTTGATCTTGCCCGTTGAAAGACAACACGTCAAATGCTCGAAGATGGGGATCAATACTACAATTTCTTGGAAAGAACCCGGATCCAATCGCGGATGTTGAACTTCTAATTTCTAGGTCTATTAGATTGAAAGTGTATCCCTCATTGCAAAAGTACGATAGGATTCCGTCACCACTCGGAAGATTGATGTCCGTCCAGATTACTTCGTATTGTTTCTTGTGAAAAACAAGTTTGTTAGAAAAGCCATGTATTTGAAGGCGGGAATGCCGCGAGCCGCGTCGAGCATTACACACAGATCACCATGAGTGCACTTCATACACGTGTAAATCACGTGCACTTTTTGTCAAACATTGGATGCAGGGCAAAAACGAATAATCCAGTGAACGATGAACTTATGCAAACATTATTAACTACCCGTCAGTGCGCACAAATAAGTAATGAGTAGTTGAGTTCTTCTAAAAAAATAGAAAAGGAAACGGAAATAAATATTCGTTTAATTAAAACGAAACCATGTGAGCCAGAGAAGTTAAAGTCGAAGACGGACGAATTTCACAAATTTGAATGTTCTATCGCATTAATCGGATTCGAAAATAATTTCGTTTTCATTCAAAATGGAATATAAATAATCTAATCTGTTTCGAATTATTCCAAAATTTCAATTTAATACGATTTCAAAAGAAAATTGAAATTGAGAAATAAATCAATCGATTTCGAAGAGTTTTGAACTGAAATTATATTTTTTCGAATTTAATCATTTTCTTAATGGAATTTTAATTATTTTTCAATCGAATCCGATTGATTTTCATTTACCAGAGTCCATGATATAAAGATTATATTCATCATCATGACTATAAGCGCGATTTACTACAATTATAGATTATATTTATCGTAAGAAAATATGTCTGAGAGCAATTTTTAGCTTGAAAATAAATCGATAAAGTACTATTTTTTACATTTCACAAATATACAAATTTGAATAAATACTACAATTTTAACCATCTTGTTAAAATTGTAGTATTAAACTTTTTTGCT